GTTTCTTCATATGACACCAGTACTGGTTGGTTCCAGGAAGAGAGCTCGAGTGAATAATATAATAATATAAGTTGCAAGAACTTGTTTCGCAATCAAGCTTGAATAAATATGTTTAAAACCAAAAAGATGGCAGAATAATGGGATCATCCCAAAAAAAGGTGGAGTTGTGAGATTGCGCACCGGGGGGGGGGGGGGGAACAAGTTTTTTATCACATGGATGTGGACATGAAAGTGTTGAAATTTGGTCATTGTAAGTTGCAAAAACCTGTTTCACATATAAATCACCATGAAAAGTAGTGAAGGGCACATGAAGTAAGTCTGTGTTAATGACAATAGAAAATAGGTCACAAATTTTACATGAAACATAACTTTGTTACATTTATATTTCAGCAAATGCAGAATTTCCAGAACACAGTACAAAGACAACAGGCTTTGGCTCTTATGTGCAGGTAAACTTTCCACCCTTTCTTTTATAATGGACTTGCCATACAATTGTTGGTTTTAATGATTTTGCTATTTGAGGACTAAAATATTTAGCAACTAGAAGCTGGTTTGTCAATATTGGTTTGCAAGCTGGCCAGGATCTATTTATGTTGCACAGAGCTCTGGTAGGAGAAATAAAATTTATCATACGACTTATAAATTATAATATTTCATTCAAAGTTGCAAGTATCATAATAAGTAACGTCTTTTCTAAACATTTTCTGACTGCAGTATTTCAAGCATAATTTACTTTTGTACCTTGTCTTGAATACTGTAAATCTCCTGTGAGAGACTTTGGATTCTTTTAAGTGAGGAAGCTATCTAGTTATGGAAGGTTGGTGGTTCTACTTAGATGCCTGTTTGTGCTGTAAATAAAGCAGGAAGGGACACCTGAGGTCTTCATTCATCAGTAAAGCTGGAAGGTGCCATAGGATCATGACAGTGCCAGTGTAACTTCAAATCAATCAAAACAATCAAACTAACTGAATATGTGTCACTTTATAATCCATCTTTCTTCTTTATTATATTTTCAGAATATATGTTGGAAGTATAAACTTTGAAATAAAAGAAGACACTATAAAACAAGCGTTCCTGCCATTTGGTCCTATCAAAAGTGTGAACCTGTCATGGGATCCCATTACAAACAAACACAAGGGGTTTGCATTCATAGAGTATGATATACCAGAGGCTGCTCAGTTGTCACTGGAACAGATGAATGGTGTAATGATTGGTGGCAGAAATATAAAGGTAAGATTTACTAATTTATTGAGACTTGATTATTTCTAAAGGGAGATTGTTACGTCTATTTCCTATGGATAAAATATGTTTTTAGCTCACCTGACTCCTTGCTTTGAAGATATTATGACTTTTCTTATCAATGATCAGAGGTGAGCAATTTAGGGCAATTATGACCCGTTTATTTTGCAATATAATCATCACTTGTTTTTTTTTTCATATTTCACAAAATTAATGTAAAAGTGATGAGGTCATCAAACATTTGTTTATTCAATTGTTGACATTTTATAAAAAAAAAATAGGTCATCACAATGATTTTGCTGTAATTTAACTGTTTGACTAAATAATAATATCCTTTGATAAACACATCTTATATAAGTTGTCATTTCTTCAATCTTGGTTCAGAGATGTTATAAATCTTGCCGCAGGCTCACTTTATACAGAAGTTTATACAGAATGAAAACTTTTGTAAAACCCAAGATATCCTAAACAACATCTTAACCCGTAGATACAAGTAAATAAGAAATGAGTCAAGGGTTATAGATTGTCATGAATTTATTGTTATTGTTTACAGGTTGGTCGACCTAGCAATATGCCGCAAGCACAGCCTATTATAGAGCAGATTGCTTCAGAAGCTAAAAACTACAATAGAATTTATATAGCCTCCATACATCCAGACCTTACAGAGAAAGATATCTCAAGGTGAGTTAACTAATATCAATTAACCTCAAGATATTTACATATTACACACTGCTCATCATTAATTGGGGCATATAAAAAGTTAATGTAACTCTTTAAAGGTGTATTTCGCTAAAGATTAATTTTTGAAAGATGAAGATTTCTTTGAAACAAGCATGTTTTTTACAGAAGTGTAACCTTCTTTTAGGATGTTCTTTGTTACATTTTGGAAAAATAAGACAAGTGACGTGTGTGTGTGTGTGTGTGTGTGTGTGTGCGTCATTTACAGTACTGGAGTATGTATTAACACTTCATTTGCTGATTTCTTTGAATGAACTTGTCCAACATTCATTTTTGGAATTGTCCATAATGAATTTTGAGGATATAAATGGGAAAGTTGAATTTGGTCAGCCAACAGTGTAGGGCCTGGTCAGGCTACTCTCAGATGTACGGTTGGCCTGGCTTTATACTGGTGGCAAAAGCTTTTCACTTTTGGTGTCAGCTGGGTAAGTGTAAATGTTTTGCAGCTGCAGTAATGCTAACATTTTATGCTACCAGTTAATAGCATATATAATTCAACAAAGTTAATGCTGTAATTGATTATATTTTTATATTTCAGTGTGTTTGAAGCATTTGGTAAAATTGTAAGCTGTATGCTGATTAAAGATCCAACATCTAAAGGAGGACTAAGACATAAGTAAGTTTCATACTTGGTAGTCAGAACAGAAGTCAATGTATCTGATATCTTTTGCATTGTTGTATATATGAGTTTAAAGATATTTCTATAAAATTTGTGTCCATGTATTGATAAATGGTCTCACATGTACAGGTATTGGTCTGTCTGAGGTTGGACAACATTAAATTTTGGCCATATCATCTCTGTTAGATAAACATATATAGATTCAACATATTTTGTGGATAATGGGTGGTGGCGGGAGGGCTGGAAACTGTATTTTGACATATTGAATACATTTTGATTTATTGAAATGCTGCTTGTAAATGACTTTGACCTTAAGGTTAAATATTTCATTGTAAAAAATTTCAGTCACTGTTGCAAGGCAACAGTTTTTGGGACATGGCTTTTATGTTTGCAAACATATCCTGTTTATTTAGATTCACTGACAAATGGAGTTTGCTTACATAAGAGGGTATTTTAGGAATATATGGGTAGTGAAGCATGCATAAACTCTCAAATGCAATGTGTAGGAACTAAATGTTATGTCTAGGAACTAAATGTTATGTCTAAGAACTAAATGTTATGTCTAGGAACTAAATGTTATGTCTAGTAACTAGATGTTACGTCTAGGAACTAAATGTTGTATCTAGGAACTAGATGTTATGTCTAGGAACTAGATGTTTTGTCTAGGAACTAAATGTTATGTCTTTGAACAGTTCAGGAAACTAACTTACTAGGCATAAGATATAATCTGTCCATAGTGATTGAATTAGTTCTGATCAGATCCATGTAAAAATGTTTTGTTAATCATATATTCTATAATGCTCCACATTTTTCCCCAAAATATTGCACATTTGAGGTGGAATGGTGCATTATTCTACTTTTACTCACTCAAAATCAATATCTATTTCCTGAACAAAAAGAGAGAAAAAAATGGTAATGATTGTTTTATGTTTGTTGCAGGGGTTATGGTTTTATAGAGTACACAAATTCTCAATCAGCAACAGATGCTGTGGCATCCATGAATCTGTTTGATCTGGGAGGACAATACCTTAGAGTAGGAAGAGTAAGTATTTGATATTTTTATGTATATTTCAATTGTCAATTAGGAAAGTAACAATTATTTTTGAGTAAATTTGAATGGTTTTTGTGTATATTTAAATAGTTTTGGTGCATATTTGAAATAGAATGGTCATTTTGTGTAGTTGAATGATTAATATGTGAAATAAGTGAAATAATTGAAATGATTGTTTTGTATATTTGTATGGGTATTATGTATATTTCAATGATTATTTTGTATATTTGTATTGGTATTAAGTATATTGGAATGGTGATGAATATTTATAATTATTCTGGTTTTACAATGATTGCTACAAGTCAAAGAAATACATTTTGTTTTATCAATTATTGTGTACATATACTTTGATACAGACAATGATTTAAGGTTGCCATTTATAAAATTATTATTAAAATATAATTAAGAATGGATACTACTTTGCACTTAAGAACTTAATGAACAAAAATTTAAAAGATGTCTTTGTGTTTGAGAAAAATGAATACATAACCCAAGAAATATCTTGCGAAATAAATCAATTATTTAAGTTCTTCAGGGGTCATTTATACAACCAGTGCCAATTTGTTTAGGAAGTGGACGTACAAATAATAGTGATAAGAATAAACATAGATCTTTCATCACTAAAAAATAATAAACATAGATCTTTTATCACTAGGTATAAAAATAGATAAAGCTCAGATTAATCTGCTATAGTTTATATATCTTGCGTATAGACAATAAATTATAATTGGTATATTACAGGCAATAACTCCACCAGATGTATTGATGCAGCCTCAGACACCAGGTCTTGGCGCTATGCCAACAGCAGCAGCAGTAGCAGCTGCAGCAGTCACTGCTAAAATAACAGCAATGGATGCTCAACAGCAGCTTATTGTAAGTGGAGAAACATACAAATACAAATGTTATATATTAATTTTATATATGATTATTTGACATGTTGAAAAGACATTTATTGAAAGGTCACCTTTACTGAAGGGAAAAGAAATTTTCAATTTTCTTGCAGACAGGTTTTGTAGACATGTGGATTGTAATGAGTCTCATTCTTTTTCAATTGATTATAATAATTAATTAATACTTTGTGAATTCTTAATGTAAGTTTTTGAAGCCACCTTGAGCTGGACATTGTTTTAAGTACATTTTCTTCTTTTCAAAATGCATATTTCTAATTTCAGCCTCCAGGCGTAGTAAACCCAACCCAGTTGGGTGTTACAGGTAGCCCAAAATTAGGGTTACAAGCTGACCTTAACATGATTGGAGGCCCTGGTGTAGTTATACCACAGTCTCTAGGCATAGCTCCGCCCACTGTGGCAAATATACCACCACCAGGTGTCGTCACTGCAGGCTTGGCGGGACCTAAAGCTCTTCCTAAAGGTAACAGAGATTTCCTAATCCTTTACGTTTTGAATTTGTGTAACAATTTTGCCCTGCTTGGAGTTAAAAAAGTCATTTTGATGTTTGAAGAAATTTATTATCAGAATACAAAAAGAATAAGCCAGCAACAGTATAAAGACTGGTAAAACTATAGAGATGTAGGTTGCCCTGGCTCTATATTTGTGGCAAAGACTGATCATTTTCGGTTCCAGCAGGGTACGAGTTAAATTAAATAGTCTGAAAAACCCAACTGAAATCATGTATGATAAAGATAAAGATTGATCATGTAAACATTTAAGAATCAGATAACATACTCTCATTTGGTTACTTATGCTGATCTCAAATTAATTGCTGGGTAGCTTTGGTTGCTGACTTTGAAACACATCGTTCTTACTGCTGCCGATTTGAATCTCACCTGTTTGCCCTTTTGTTGCTTACATTTACAATCATATCAATACCATATTGCTCTTTGAACACTATCTTGTGAGGTAGCAATCAAGTTTGCTTACATAAGGTCTACAGTTCTTCTTGCATGTAGGTGCTCTCCTTGTAATTGAAATAATGCACTGTGAGGTACTTGTGGTCTCCAGCTTTAAATAAAGCTGACAAAGTTGCCATTTGACCCGGCTAAGATGATGATAATAATTCCTCAATTTGTAATTCTTGTTGTCAGTTAAGCAAAAGTAAAGTACTCTCGTTTGACGTACATGTTTACAATTATCCTATATTCTCACTAAATATATTTATTATTTTAGTATCATCTATGATGCCGCCAACGACAGGAAACAGTTTACAGGCTGCGATCTCTTCAATGGTGGACTCGGACTCGGAGAAAAGACGAGAGAAGGAGAAAGAGAAAGAACGAGAGAAGAAAGAAGCTGAGAAGAAGATGGCAGAGGAAGAAGTAAATCAAACATTAGAACAACAAGAGACGATGAAGATTAGTGGTAGTAACGCGCGGCACATGGTGATGCAGAAATTAATGAGACAATCTCAGGTGAATATTACAGAAATTACTTAACTGCTTAATTAATTAATTAATTGCAGAAATTAATGAGACAATCTCAGGTGAGTATTACAGAAATTACTTAACTGCTTAATTAATTAATTAATTGCAGAAATTAATGAGACAATCTCAAGTGAGTATTACTTCAAAATGTACTGTACTCAAATTTGATGTTAAAAAATATTGATATTTGCTACACAGTCTCTTAATATAAGATAAACATCTTTTGACTTCTTACTAAGTAGATATGTTATGTTTAAAATTCTACACACTATATGGTGGTTACAATATGAATATATACATTATAGTTGGCATTTTTTTATTAAGAAAAGACTAACTTTATACTTGACCTGTAGTAGGGAACGCAACTTCCAGTACATAGTTTATTGATTCTTTTATTTAAATTTGACATTTTTGGTAAGAATTTCATAGATTTCAATAAATTTCTGTGATAAAAATATTTTATGCATGGATGAGCATGATATATCTTTAATTTTATTCAGTAAGCTCATTGTACGTAATTGGTTCAACTTGAGTTTCTGTGCATGCATGAAATAGTGCAATGAATGGCGCCATAGTCGTACTTTAGTTATGCTAGAAAGTCACCAAATTTTTTAAGAAATTTATTTTATATTTTCCACCTTTGATTTTAGTAATTCGAACATTTTAGTAGTAAAACAATCCAAGGAGTTGAAGGCCAACTAGTGTGTGCATCAGTGGTCCCACTATTGCAATCAAGCTAGAAAGTAACAGTGTCAGTGAAACCTAAAACTTAAAGGAAAAAAAGAGAGAGAAAAATATGATACAAGAAAAGCATTTCGTAAATAAATATTTCTGTTTTCAGAGTAGAGTAATGGTATTGAAGAATATGGTAGGTCCGGAGGATTTAGATGATGAGTTACAGGCCGAGGTATCGGATGAATGCGGCAAGTATGGACAGGTGAACAGAGTAATTATATATCAGGAAAGACAGGGAGAAGAAGATGATGCTGAAGTTATTGTGAAAATATTTGTAGAATTCAGCGATTCTGCTGGTAAGTTGAATGAAAGAGAGTAAAACATCTGAATTAGTATAAGGTAAAACAACCAAATTATAGTAAAACACCTCAATTGAGGCAAAACAGCTTAAAACATCATTATCAGGGCAAAAGGTTCACATTTGAGGTTAACGTATTGAAGAGGTTGGTGGTAATGTCACATATGTCCAAAAGGTGTATAAGCTTTAAATAGCTGTATAGTTTCCTACACAAGCTCTTTAAAAAAATCTGTCATTTCTATGACTTGTAATCCAGTTACCTCTCTGGTGTGGGTTCGATCCCAGGGAGATGCTTTGGTAGTTTTGTGCGGAGGAAGGTAGTCTAGTACTGGTGTAACTCTCCAGGAACGATGGTTAGGAAACTACCCGCCTATATGACTGAAATACTGTTGGGAAAAGGCGTAAAAATGAAACAAACAAACAAACAAATCCTGTCATTTCTACACTTCTTTAGTTAATTTTATGTACTGAAACGGGACATTTCTTAAAGGTTATACTGTCTTTTGATTAATGTAATGCCATAGACCAGTGCAGACCAAAATCATTTGACATATATATTATGGTCTGCACTGAGGGGATGTGCAGGCTTGCCTAGGCTCTATGTTTTGGTGGCATGTTAAAAGCTAGGCAATGGAAAAACAAAAATAACTGTATTAAACATAATGCAGAATTAAAATTGTCATTTGAATTTATGTTACAGAAGTGGAAAAAGGCTGCCAGTCATTAAATGGACGGTGGTTCGGTGGACGACTTGTGCAGGCGGAAAAATACGATCAGGATTTGTTTGATGCAAATGATCTCTCGGGTTGAAAATATCTCTTCACCCAATGTGTTGTCATTTTAATCATTCATCATCGACAGGTCTACCTAGAACATCAAATGTGTTGTTTTCATGATTACGAAATAACAATAGGACAATGGTATGACTAACGCAGGGATATCGATTTGTGTATAATGTAAATAAAAAACAATTTATATTTACAAATAGAACTTTGAAAAAAAAAAATAACATAAATGAATTTAATTTTTTTTTTTGATTCAGTGAAATTATGAAATATAGAATTTATTAATTAAAGTTATAAGAATGTTCCAGAGATATGTTTCACTCAGTGAATATAAAAGTGATATATGTTAAAGATATGTTTGGGGTTGAAAAAAGTTGTTAAAATATGACTCTACTTTGTCTTTTAAATTTTTGTGGATTTTAGCATTTTCAGTACTTTAGTATTGAAACTAGTTAAAGGGTGGCAAAATCAATTGTGTATTACCCGAGTTGTCCCAACAGCCTGTTTTAATGTTGAAATTCCTCGTACTAAGATTGAATACATGTAGTTCTAAGATAAGTGCAGAACTAATGTAATACAAATGTACATATTTTTAACACAGTAAAAATAAAAAGTATAGAAAGGTTATTAAATCTGACAGGTTTAGTTTAAACTTATATGATTGTTTTAAAAGGCATTGACCTGTAGAACATTATCATTAAAATTGTTAGGTTTTTTTACTACAATTTTTTTATATAAAAGCAATTTTTAAAACATTCTATTTTGTGGAAAGATTAATATAACCATAAACCTAAGTAAAATTGTTTGTGGGCACACTTCATAAAAAGATACTTTCTGATTGGTTAAGATTTTTACAATGGAGTCTTTATCAACCAATCAGATTGTTTGTAATTGATCTCTGAAATAATCCATCATCATGTGTCTGGTTTAATGGAGAATTTATTTGAACTGGTCCTTTTATCTGTTGTCGTGCATCATTTAACATTAGGGTTCATTGTAAATACCATTTTCCTCTTAGGCAGTACATATCCAGCTAGTTTACAGACGGACCATGACTTTACTTGAAGTTCATTTGTGCCTGAAATAATGCACAGATTGGAGCTTGTGTCACTTTGGATAAAATTTCAAATTGGTCATCGGATGACGTTGGCTCAAAACAAAGTGTCTGTCTGATTGTAAACTGATGTATAAAAATAGTAATAAGAGAATAAAGTTGCACATAATGTATATATAAGAAAGTCCCTGGCTTCTTATAATAAACATCAATATTGTTTAGTTTGTCAGACTGCTTTAGTTGAGTCTGAATTTTTTTTAGACAGATGACAATATTTTTCTGATTTTGAAAGTGTGTTAAAAAAATACTTATTGTTTTTATCGGAGCTTGTCACATTAAATTTTTTGAGGCAGGATTTCCCCTTGCATAGTTTTTTTGTGTGTATATTTAGCACATTTTAGCACAGTCTTTCTTTTGAGGATGTTCTTTATGAAAATTGATTGAGATTTACAGTATGTCTAAATTTCAATTTTGCATAATTTGTACACAGATTGTTCATGTAAATTATGAATAATGAAAAACAAAAACCAATGAATATTGTTGTAAAACATTCCTAAAGTAGATGAAAAAAAATATGCACAATTACATACACATGCAAAGATAATCTATTGTCCTGAATTTTGTTTTAATATGGTATTAGGATGAAATAAAAAAGTGACTCTATTTTGTTAAAAATAGGAAAATTATGCTAAGGGGTTGTTAAATGTCAGTGACAAAAGGGCTTTTTGCAAATGCTTTTTTAACCATGTGCTACTCTTCAGATAATGAAATTAGGCTGAAGGGCAACCCTTACAGGGTTTTTTTCTTGAAAAGGAAGATGAGTATGATTTTTAAAGTATCTATCTATATTGTATTTTAAATTTGTTTTAAAGTGAAAAATGTGAATTGATGGGGGTATATGAAATAAGTTTTTTTGAAAAATATTAAATTTTGTTTCTTTTAGCGACAGTCATACAGCTTCCAGCGGTGATCTGTTAAATTTTTTATACTGTATGTTAAATGTACATGTTTATAATTGCAGTGTTTTCCAATTTTCAAGGTACATGTATTTTTCAAGATTCAGTAGTGTTTTAAAATACATGTATGATTCAAGATGCGTATATGTTCATAGATACATTACTGTTTCATGATATGTGTGGTTCAAGATATACATACATATATATATGTTTCACAAAAAATATGTGTGTTTCAAGATACATTTTATGTTCCAAGATATATGTATGTTCCAAGATACATGTTTGTTCCCAAAATATATGTATGTATCTCAAAAGATACATGTACTGTATGTTCCAAGTCACATGTATGTTCCAAGTCGCATGTATGTTCCAAGTCACATCAGTGTTCCAAGTTAAATTAGTGTATCAAGGTACTTGTATGTATCAAGGTACATGTATGCTCCGAGGTACATGTATGTTTCAAGATACATGTAAGTACCAATATACATGTTTGTTTTGAGATACATGTATGTCCCAGGTTACATTAGTGTTTCAAGGTACATGTATGTTCTGAGATACATGTGCAAGTATGTTCCAAGATACAATGTATATGTTTCAAACTATGCGAGTGATTTATGTAAACAGCTTGTTAATTCTTATTCAATTTGCATAAAACTTTGGATGTATATGTCATTTAAAAACAGCCTCATTCTTTATTCATTTTCATATTTTCTACTATCTATTTTTGTCATCGTCATTATTATTTACCATCATCAAATATCATCGTCATCAAAGTCGGTATAACTCATGTGCTATTATGTGGTTAAGAAAAAATGAGAAATAAATAACATTTAAAAATAAAACAATTTTGTTTTTGATGTATATTCACCATAGCCCAAACAGTTAAATGACTTTCTTTCTGTGTTACAAATTCATACTTTCATCGAAGGCAGTGACAATAGATGTTATTTACCTTTACATTTATATCTATAACTGGATATCTATGTTACAAAAAAAAAAACAAAAAAAAAAAACAAATAATGTTGAAATTACATACATTTGTCCGTTTCTGGTCAAACTGGAGGGGAATTTAGGTTTACCTTCTGTCTGTCACGAATCAAGAAGTACTTAAAATATTGAAAACTTGAAATATAGATAAATGTCCATATGGAGATAATGAAAGTCTTTTTAAGCTCAACTATTCGAAGAATAGCAGGGTTATACAACTTGCCTATGTGTCTGTGTAACACTTTAGTTAAAGTTTTTGCGTGCTACATGGTATCTCATCAACCCGTATTAAATGATATTTTGTTGTATTTTCATACACTTATTTGAAAGTATTAACTCTAGCATGGATTTTGAAAGAAATTATGGCCTTTTTAGCTCACCCTAGGACGAAATTGGTCTGAAAGTGATTTCTAAGTCAATTGTCATGAAACTTGGTGAGAATGCTCGTCTTTGTAATTGCTCGGATGAGTTCGATGGGTCAGGTGATCGATCTAGGGCCATCTTGGCCCTCTTGTTATTGTCATATGTAACATTTAGTTGAGTATCTAGTTTGAATTCTAGATAGCAAGACTGATGTTTCCGGAGCAATCAGAATATCTAAATTTGAAAATTTTACATAAACATACGCTGACACAGAGTAACTAAGTTGTGCGCACGAGATAATTGAGTCACTCACACGAGTTACAATGTCATGCGCACGAGTTACTATTACGAGATAATAAGCCAATCAGAATACACTCAAACATACATGAATGTTGTAAGAAAAAAATGGCTGAAGGCAGAAACAATTTTATCTTAACCTTAATCACCTCGTTCACAACATACTCATGCGCACGAGATAAAGATAAATAAAAAACAACTCACACCTCACCAAACTCGGCGCCCGGTTAATCCTGGAGAGGGGAGATCACTGCGTGGTAGATTGGCATGTCACCCCTGTGTGCCACCATATATAAATGCCCTTAAGAAAAACAAAATGTATGGGAGTACTTAAGTTAGTCCTTACTGCCTTATTAAGAATTAGTTCTCCTAAAGTAAGTAACTCCTTTATTTTGACTTAGGACTTTTAACCCATTATTATGAGTTTTTAAGTCTTATTAAGGAATTTACAAATCCATAATTATGTGCCATTTTCTTAAAAAATTATTTAAATTTGTTCTTTGAAAAAAGTTAACTCCTAATTTAAAGTTAAAATAGCTAGTCTTATTAGGACTTAGAAGAAGTATTGTATTAAAAAGTAATTAGAACCAGTACAGGATGAATTAAAGACAAATAATGTTTATGTCATTATTGTAAGTTTTATATACTTAAGGACAATGAAAACGCACGCCCGCATTATATGCATTTAATTACATGAAAACAAAACACTAACAACTCCATTAGATATGTATCATAACTTTGATACAAAACGCAAATTTCACAACTGAAAATAATTCAAAATGTTTAAAATCAAATGTGCATCAGCAAATCGAAGAACCTAAGGTGAAAATCCCAAAATCACACTTTTCATCACAGTAATGCAAACTTAACAACGGAGAAAAACAAAATGAAAATCCAAAACAAAGTTACTCATAAATGTCTATTCGTAATGTCATCGTCGGGATCTTTAGAAAACGACAATGTACTCCATCAGCTTCTCTTGCAGATGTACATCGTCGCCTCATAGATCTTACGGTGCGAATAGTCGCCTTTGGAATCTGACGCAATTCGGTCTGTAATGTAGTGCGAAAACGCTGGTGAAGCTTAGAAATTGTGGTCTAGACCGATGGACACCAAAACGGTTGGAGCTTTGATTGACCAGACTGAATCTGTCTTAAATCTACCCATTCGGTTTTTCTTTGTAGAACCATTGCATACAATTTGCTAGCAAGTCTTCAGTAGTGTTTTAAATTTAGCACCTTTTATAGAGTAAAAGTGTGTATATGCAGTTTCCATGTGAGGTTTTACGATTTCTAAAACTGACCATTGGCATAGTTTAATATTCATTTTTATAAAGATTTTTATTTCTCATTTGTGTCTCACATTTCTGGAAAGTTGTGAAAAACAAGTTAATAATTAACAGTTCCAAAAATAAAAATTCATTTCATAAAGTAACCATGAATTGGTTCAATTTGTTTTCTGTTGTGATCTTATCACAATTAGCCAAAAGTGTTACTTTTGATTTTTCGGGTACTGTCTTTATTATGCAATAACTTCATTAAAATGCAATCATTTTTCATAACGTTGGTATCTAAATGACCGGAATGCATTCAGTTTTATGAAACTATGAAAAAAATATTTAAATGAAATATATTTTCCTTGTTAAAATGCAATTATCCGACCGTGCGTTTTCATTGTCCTTAAGTATAAATCATTAGGGGACATAGAAGGCAAATTTATTATTTTTGTATAAAATAAACCCTACAGTAGTAAGGAGTTACACGGTTCTAATTAGGATATAGTTTCCTAATTATAAAAAGGCTTTTTCAAGCTCCTTCTTGGGATTTCTAATTCCTTATTAACATAAAAATATTTTTACACGACTGCAAATGTTGTTATTTTACTTAATAGAGGTTTTCGACCGTGCGACCACATACACGCATCACGGGATTCCCCTTCTCTAAGGGACATAGAAATGTCCACTCCTTTATCAAAGGGGGACATTAGAAATATATCATTTCTTAAGAAAGCTAATTTCCAACCACAGTTACGCACTTATCCTACTAATAAGGAAGGTAATATAATGGGATGCAAGAAGAAAATGGTTTAAACTTGAGCAATGTACAGATTTGCAAGCCTAACCCTTACCACGGGGTTGGTCTCATAATTGTGCATCGGTTAAAAAGATATAGGAATTTCCTCGGAATCAGATGTGCGCTATAACTCGATATGTGAAAGAGAAAATGCATGTAGGTCAATCACAGGGTATGTTTTCAACTTTTTAAACATTTATATAAAATTCAAAGCTTTTTTTTTTGAGAAAATCGAAATGTGATTCTACCCTCCTGACTTTCCTCTTTATTTACCCATTTTGTTGGGATTTTTATGCAGTCTTCATCGAGATATTCTTTCTTTCGTGGGTTCTGGTGTGCCCAAAATATGCAATGCGTATGAAGAAAATGTCTCTAAACGGACTCCAAAAACAGATTTTCTGTACACAAATTGTTATCATCAAAGGATGCCTAACACTTGAACAAATTCTTATTGAAACATTTATTGAGATTGGTCGAATTGCCGTTCAAATTCCATCTGAGCTCCATATGTGCTAAAGAGTTCCATAGGTGCATGATATAAGAATCATCAACATTAAACGGGTCACTTCCATGAAGTAATCCATGTTTTATTATTTTGTGTAATAAACTCATATCCGATATAGACACATTGTCCCAAGTTGAGCTTCAATAACATTATCCATAAAAAATAAAACACATTTAGCATACTAAAAGCATTGATGAAAGCTATGTTCGGAAGTCATTCAAGTATTCCACCCCTTAGTACAATACACATGTATAACAGTATTAGTATTTGGCATGGATCGTTTTCGCCATAGAGTACCTTTAATTTTTTTATTTCATAAAATAGTATGTGAATACCATTTAAAAATTCAAATTAAAACGGAAACAGAATATCGAATAGAATAACACGTTACTTCTTTTCACCTGCCCCGTGTCACTTTAAATTACTAAAATAAAAGCGTATGTTATCGGTGTTGATTATATAAACACTAATGATTATGTTGAAATAACAGTTTGCTGCCAAAATCATAAATAGATTTACCATTGTCATACAAATATTTATTTGATTTTGCGTTGTTTACTCGACACAAGAGTAGGATATATCTTTTGAGGACAGTTTTTATCTGGGACTAAAAATGTATCTTTCTGTCCCAGTTTTTACGGAGAAATTTACTTGCAATTCACTGCATGACAATCAATAAGAAAATACTTGTGCTTGTGAGTGAAAGTATATTAAATACACTTGTGGAATCTTGAAGTGACGGTTATCTACTAGTATACAAGTTTAAATTATTTAGGGAAAAAATATTTGAAACAATAGCTTGACAAAGATATGCCCATTTCATTTATCAGCTGTTTAATCTTGTCCAAATTACGTTTTCTCAGAGAGAAATTATATATCATACCAGTAGTATTCGCTCGGTGTCAAATATTTTATATACTCGGTATTTTTAGATTTTTAGTGTATATTTGTACACCAGATAGTAAGCTTATTGAGGTAGTGATATTTATGTACTTTCAGCCAAAGCTACGAAACTTTTATTGTTCCTTTAGATTGGCTATTCAATTGAAAGTTATCCGTAATTTTGTAGATGGTTTCCTATATCACCCATGGATCTTTTTAGCACATATGAAGCTCTCCAGCAATTCCTTTATGTTGATCCCTATCTCAATAAATGTTTTAATTAGGGTTTGTTTGAATGTTAAGCATCATTTGGTGGTAAAATTTTGTGAAAACTCTGTATTTGGACATTTTCTTCATACGCATTGCATATTTTGGGCACACCAGAACCCATTGCATATTTTGGGCACACCAGAACCCATTGCATATTTTGGGCACACCAGAACCCATTGCATATTTTGGGCACACCAGAACCCATTGCATATTTTGGGCACACCAGAACCCATTGCATATTTTGGGCACACCAGAACCCTCGACGGAAAGAATATGTCGATAAAGAGGCCAAAATGGGTAGATATAGAGGAAAGACAGGAGGATAGAATCACATATCGATTTTCTTTTTTAAAAAAGCTTCGAATTTTATATAAATGTTTAAAAAAAGGTTGAAAACTTACCCTGTGATTGACCTATTTTCTCCTTCACATGTATATCGAGTTAAAGCGCACATCCGGATCAGCGGAAATTTACATATATTTTTTTACCGATGCTCAATTTTGAGATCCATATGGGGTTCCACCCCCGCGCTTGTGAAATGGATTTTTCAATCTTCCATTTTCTTTTTTTGGAATTGTCCATTATCAATCCGGAAATAATCAAGTGAGAAATTTAATAAGTTAGCCAGCCAGCAAGACAGAGTCTGATCAGACTGTACGGATGTTCAGGCTGGCTTGATACTGGTTAATACATTTCGGTTCCAACAGCGGATAAAGGTGCAGTGTTGTTCTATTACAGTTGTCATATACACAATTGCTTAAAATGATCAAACGAATCTGACTGGTAAACTAAAGATTGCTGGCTTTTAAGTACCGTCAGGGATAAGTGGTAGTTTCCCAGTCTTAATTTGTACTCAATGCTTGATACCTACTATCATTTGTGAAAAGCTACATAACTCATCACATGCGAAAAAGTTTGATAGCAATTTTAAAGCATATTCCCCAGAGAGAGACAGCATCAAATTCCGCACAATTTGAAGTGTAAAACCAAAGGAACTTGAAATTCTGTCAAAAATGGCGTTAAAGTTCGATTAAAAAAGAATCACATTCCTATATAGAAAAGTTGGGGTTTTTTTTTGTTTGTCGTTTTTTTAGAAACGGGATTTTTTTTTATATTTTGACTAAAATGACATCTATTCCTTGGGTAAATTTAGTTGACAGAATTTCAAGTTCCGTTTAAAACAGAAATTTAATTTTTAATTATGAAGGGGAATGAAAAATATAGAAGAAACCTAGATATAAATAAATGAGATTCAACATTTGAAGAAAAAAATATTGCTTGGTCGCAGTAGCAGTACGTATCAATTTAGGGGATCCATATCACAGATCTCTTAAATTTAGCTCCATGTCCATATCAAGATGAAAATTTAAAGTCACTCAGCCTACAAGTAGTCTTTACATAGTCTTGTCATACTGATATGGCAAAGGCCACGTCTATTTCGGTTCCAGCGGGCTTAATGTTAATATTTTTTTCTATAAATTCCCTAACAGCTATTAACTTATCATTTTTATCTTCTTTTTTTACCTATGATTTAGAAAATATAAGAAAAGTATATATATTAATTATCGTCCGATGTAACAGGAAAAAGAACTTATTAAAGTTTTATCATTTTTTGATGTTTTAAACATTTCCAATTACAGAATGGTCCATTAATGGGTTTTGTCCGAATCTTTTTTTAAGTACGAAATATTTTAAGGGCGAAGGTAGAGTGCTCTCTAAAAGGAGGAGTGCTGTCACAACTTGCAAGCCTATGCAAAACAAAATTTGCAAGTGTTGTGAAATTCATTTTATCTTCTTAAATTTAGCATGACAGGAAAATAAAACGTTGTATTTGTTAAGGATATAATATAAGAAGGTAAAAGCTACTCACTGTGATTGGTATGATCCTTTAAATGTTTGTTTGTGCCGAACTTTGTTGACGAATCCAACGAGCGTTTTGACTTTTCTAACGTTCTATTAGTCTATTACAGATTAATAATTCATGAATATTTAACCATTCAATATAAAAATAAGGAAACTTATTGTCATGTGCATTGGAAATTGCATCACTTGATTTCTAGCTTCTAACAAGTAACTGAGTAACTATGTGAATTTTATATAATTACTAATGTAATTACTTTCAATAATGCCTCAACTGTGATTTTAATTGCTTACTAATAACATTTCAACTGTTGCTGAGTTCTGATCCCTCGTGAATAATATGCAAATCGAATATCAAACAGTGATTATGCGAAAAATCAGCTCGATTTGATATATATTTCTAGATTCATAACATCAAAATAAACAAATAAATGCTGCCAGTAACCTGTATTAAGTATCAGAAATTTATCTGCTGCACATTGTTTCACATACTTATTGACAGCGCGATCGTTTAATAGTGTTATTCATATGTATACATGAATTATTGTCAATTGGTCTAAATATAGTTCAACGTCAAAAATGACTCTTTGCATATACACACCACTTCGGTTTTTATTTTATGTTCAAAAGGAAAATTATGTGGAAATCGTGGAAGTTAGAATTTGGGTCTACATTAATTAAACTATTCATGCGTAATAACCACCATAGCTCTCATAGCTATTCTTCAGAATTGCAAGTGCCTTAATATAAAAAGATTTACTAAAAATAGCCATAGCTAATACTTGGGGTGTTAGGGCCGGTAAAATTCGGGTAGATATATCTGTGAATTTAAAAGAAAATCAGTAATAAATTTAAAGCAACATAGAATTCTTAGCTACAAGAATATTTCAGTTCAAACTAGGACAGGGTTTCAATATGTATTCATGATATAGCTGCAGAATATCTGTAAAGCGGCATTTTTGGGACTGAAGTAATAACGTACTTTTCGAAGGTGCCAAATCCCATGAATTTAACAAAAATTGACCCTTCAGTTAAAATCCTAGTAAATCAGGCTTTGGAAATTGAAGGTCAAGAGTTTTCAAGGGTCAACGGACACCCTGCATTCGACTGTAGCAACAAATCAAATATAAGTGACATATAAAGCTACATGTATAGAAGCCAGAACTAAAAACCTGTAAATTATTTCTTGTATCATGAATATTTATTGATCTCGGCACATTTTTCACAAATATTTTGGCTCATCTGGCGGCATGCTGCTTTATAGATTGTTTTTCAAAAGTAACATTTGCAATATTGGACAGGTTAGTTTTAGGGATCTTGAAAATATAATGTAGTTCAGTATTACAGTAACCAAAACTATAGAGCTCTGCATGTATGGCACATCTTCACAGATGTATTTTTTTTTTTATCTTTTAGGTAGCCATGTCAGCAACTGAAAATTCACTGTTGGCAAAGTGGTCTGGAAGCCATGGTAAGAATAATAAAGAAGTCCAGAACAACTTCAGAATGTATGCGTAGATAAATTTCAGCAAGCCCACATAGGGCATTTCTGGGGTCAAGATGATATTTCTTCATAATATTATGTTACCAAGTATTAATCCATGGCTGAATGACTCAGTTAAAGAAGATTAAAACAAGCATTCAGCTGTAATACGGGGAAGTGTAGGGCCGGGTCCGCGAAGCGGTCCGGGCTTTGGCTTGCCCGGCTATAGACTACATGTGTATATTTAAAAGAAAATAAAATAAAAACAATTAAAGAACACATAGAATTCTATACCTATCAATGAAATTTTCAGTGTCAGTTCTAGTCGGGCGGCGCCATTTTCAATGTAATTCAATGATAATAGGCGGGATATTTCTATAACAGACAATGGCAACTTTTCGGATGAATAATAATCGTAATAATAAACGGAAGAGGTGCATAAATACCGAATGACACCTTTAAAACGGAAAAAATAACATTTTTTTTTCCCGTTCATAGGCTTTGCCTAATTTCATATTAAGAAAAGTTAAAGAAAGCTAAAAATTATCTAATCTAATACTCTCAAATAAAAAGGGGTTGTAAAGGAAAATGTAAATGAAATTGTTCAGACCAGTGTAATAAAATTGATGCTAATTATCATTTATCTAGGATTGTCCAGCTCACTGCTCTCAAGCTCCCTGGGGTCAACAAAAACAGAGTCTAGTTTACAGAAGAAAAGTGACGAGTCACAGAGAAAGCGTAAATCTGATATCTCTACGACAATAGAAAAAAAGAAGACAAAAGATGGTGCTGACAAGTCGGCAAGTCTGTCTAGTAGTCTACTGTCATCCAGTCTGCTGCAAAAATATGGTATTTACTTTTTGTCTTTTGAGCCATTGTTTACATTGTACAAGAAACTTAACACTCATTGCTTAATACTGGTTGGCTCCAAGAACATTTTCAAAAGTGTGTCTATAAGTTTATAGCTTCCTACACAATTGAACTAAAATAAATTCTGTAAGAACTAATGCACAGAGAGGCATCTGCCATTATAAATACTGGGATGCTGCCATTTAACTTAAACTTTACTGAAGCACCAGTCACCCTCAAATATAAGAACTGGATCAAGGTTTTAGATTTATTGAATGAGATAGGGTGATACCTGTGATCATGTCATAGAGAGGATTCTGAAAATAGAATGATGCTCTTCTTTTTAAAATCTTTGAAGAGAATTAATTAGTAAAAATACTTGTTTTAAACTGTTTACAAATGTCAAAATATTGTAATTTCTATTTCTTAGACTTTATTTTGTGTCCTATATTATGAAACTAATTTAAAAGTGATTAAGTTTCTTATATCTTGTGTGCTTGATGCAGTAATGTTTCTGTATTTTGATATATTTAATATTTTTAGATACCGGATCAATGTTAGGCATGTCTAGTGTTTCCATGACAACTAAGACGATGGGTACTGGCCTGGGAACCAGTAGTAGTCTGTTATCTAGGTCAGGATTATCAACAACAGGTAAAGATTCAGTCAGATAATTTGACATAAGAAATTACTTGTACACTGTTGAATGATAAGGATGTTGACGTATTTTTTTGGCAATCAGTATATGGCCAGGTTTGTCACATCTTCTCATGGTTTAGGTTGCTGACTTAGAATCATTTGCCCTTCACCTCTGTGGGTTTGAGTTTGATTTATGAACGTAAGAAAGCTATCCAGCTAGCTTTCAAAGGTTGGTGGTTCTACTCTAGTGCATGTTGTGCCAGAAATAATGCACAAAGGGGATCCTTTGTAGAACTAGTAATATAAATATGATATTGGCAGTGCTGATGCAACTTGAAGTCCAACAGACAAACCTCTGCTTATGACTTGATTTTCTCAATCATTTTATTTAATTAACAACATTGTCATTTACATTGAACTGTATATGTATTCTAAATTAAACTTTTCTGGCATTTACTACAAAAAGTGTTCTTATATGTAATTTTCCTGTATATTATTTTATGTTTAAAGTGCTTTTAAACTTTGCTTGTGAATGAGTTTGAATAAATGTGTTTATTTTAGGCCTTCTTACTAAACCAACTGGTGTAGGAAGCTCACTGACAACATCTTTGATGTCCTCATCCTTGCTGACGAGACAGTCTAATACCGTTGGTGAATCGTTGTCAGGGAAACGGACTAGATCACAGTTCAGTAGTGGAAGTAGTAGTCAGACAAGTTGCAAATCAGAATTAAAGGAAACGTCCACATTGGCTTCTGGCTCATTAAAGTTAACAGGAGGTGTGTCATCCTTATCCAGTGGCTCCTCCTTCCTGTCAAAAGCTCCACCTACTTCTTCTCTAAGCTCCTCCTTAATTGAAACTGGTTTAAAGGAAACAGACAGATTGTTGTCATCAGGCTTGTCATCTGGATTAAAGATGGACCTTCTGAGGAGTACAAGCTCTACATCTTCACAAGGGGAGGGAGTAAAACAAAAGAAGGCAAAGGGGAAATTAGACAAAAAATCAGGTAAGGGTACTCCTGAAAAATTTTCAAATTTTATTATTTTGGCAATAGTTGTTTCAGGGTTTCTACAAATGCGAAAAGCACTACTTATGAGATCATTAAATTCATGACATTAATTAGTTGGGTTTTTTATTTTCTCAGAACACGAGAAAGTATTATGGTTTATTTACAAAGATTTAGAATGGTTGAGAAAATTAGAGAGTCATTTTTGATATCATTTGTAGAATTAAAATTGGGAATACAATGTTATTGAACACAAAGGTTTTTTTGCATCCTTTATAAAAGTTTTCCATCCACTAAAAAAATCATGTTTTTTTATTGTTTACATTGGCACAGATTTTCTGGAAATTTTGAATTATTACTCATATATGTGGGTGTATTTAGGCCACTTTAATTCCTTCTGTGGTTTAATTTTTTTATTGAGAGCTTTTATTCTTATATATTTCATTCTTTCTGTGCCATATGCATCTTTCAGGGTTAGTGAAATGAATAATTTATTTCAATATTGAATAAGTTACCAAATCTGTTCAGGTTCCTCATGTATGAGGCATAGGAAAAAGTCACCTCATTTATCCTTTGAAAACTGATACTATGAGCAATTTAAAATGCATAAAAGATTTAATTTCTCATTTATGATAAGTCTTTATTTAATGGTTAACAGCTCTTTCTTTTTTTTCAAGGGAGGAAACGTACAAAACTTGATAAACATACAGCTCCGCCTCCATTGTACAACTTATCCAATGAAATTGAAGCAGGGCGGGAGATAGAGGTGCCAAGATTCACGCCCCCAGATAGAGACAGGTCGTTGATTATTGCCACAAAACTTCATGATGTCAACGGTTTGAAAGTAAGTTGTTGGAACAGTATTGCCAATTATTTTTTTTTGTTTCATGTGTTTAAGTTACTACTAGTTACGGTCATATACAAACTTTTATCTTATATTACTTGTAAAACTCAGGTGACCTTCCATGCATTACTATAGGTGCAAGGAAACACCTGTGAAGTTAATAGAACAACTTCTGTATACAAAATTCCGGGAAAAGGAGATCCCAAAAGGAGAATGAAATAAATCAAAAGGTGAAATCTCAGAATCAGTTTAATTTAATGTGCCATGCCTCCTTACAACACCTTATGCAGTATTAATTTTCAGTCTAGAAATATCTCAACACTGTAAGGAATTATGGAGCAATTTTTTGACAGCTTCTGTGACCTAAATTGCTTCATTAAATAAAGTCTTTTAATGTTCTTAGATAGACTAAAACCAACAAAAGTTTTGGCAGAAAGCACAACCTCTTGGTTGCATTCTCTACTCCTAGATCATTGAGATGCAGACTTCTAAACCACTAGCCCTGTACCTTACTTTAAAGTTACTTACTTTAAATTCCTTACTGTTATAAATTTAAGATCAGAATGTTTGATCTGATTTATTTAAAACAACTTTCTGTACTTACAAAAGTCATGTGCGTTTGTATCTTTCAGTTTGCGCTAGTGAATGCTGTAAGTGGGTCACTGATATGCCAGCCGGATTTCCGTTCTGGTACAGATCCAACTCGCATAGCACTTGTTACCATGGCAGAGAAAGTGATCTGTTATGACCCAGAGTTTGTTCTTAAGGTATTTTCTATATATAATTTTTACATTGGCTCAACCTCAAATTAGTTTAAAAGTGTCTCAGTTAAACACTAAAATGCTTTTGTGGTAGACATATATAAATTTGAATTTAATATGGTTGAATGATAGAAAAAAATACTTTAATCAATATGTCACACACGTCTTTAACCTTTGTCTGCTTAATTTTATTATATAAATTTAAATTCTAAAACTCCCAATGGTTATTTTCAAATTTAAAGCAGGGCATTACACAAATTCAGGAGTTAAAGTATTGAAGACCATCCCTTAAAAATGTAAATAAAGAAAAAAAAATCATTAGTAATTTATGGCTATTCAGTTTTAGATGGCCAGAAGAACATACACATTGCACTGTTTAGCATCTTTATAGGCAGGGATTTCTTAAATGAGGTAACATATAACGCATGATAGTATGACAGTTTTTTAATACATGATATGTTATTGATGATATAGGTGGCGCTGTATACAAGGAAACAGTTGAACATCAGGACAACGGCAAACTTTATGTTGGCTCTGTCATCACACATGCCTGCTTGCAGACCGTACCTGAAAAAATACTTCAGTGCTTCCATTGCTTTACCCTCGGATTGGATCGAAGTAGCTGAAATATACTCCGTAAGTCATTTAAGTATTTTAACATTTGCCATTTCACCTGTTTTGAGATTTGTAATGATTTTGATAAAATGGAATATCAAATTTAACTCACATTTCATATCATGAGGTGTACTAGGATTAATGTTTGTATTTATTAAAGCATAGAATTAAAAAAGAGCAAAATAGAAGGATGGTGGTTGTAAATCATTTTTCATGTGGTTTATTTGACTAAATCTTTGTGTTTTGACATGTTTTCTTTATTTTCAGGCATTTCCAGAAAAGTCTCTTCCTCTTGGTTCTCTGCCATCTGCTCTTAGACGAGCCATGGTGGCAAAGTTTCCTGATTTTGACAAGTACCAGCTAGGTCAGTATATCATATGATTATTATCATGACATATTTCCATTATCTTTGTTTATGATTGATTACTAGAATTCAGACTTTATTATAATTAATGATTATTTGAATTTATATCATACTTGAAGATGAATTGAATTTTTTATTTATAATTGAAAATACATTTGTATTGTTTAAACGTTCTGCTAACAAGGTAGAATTTTGATTGTACTGCATAAATTTAGGCCATGTCATTTATACACCTTATTATAATTACTCAATCTTAATTTATGTAAATCAAAGCTAGGTTTTAGTATGGGAATGTAAACTTTCTGTTATTCTTGGAAATATTTAGTTACTTGAACATCTATATATTCCATTGTAGCGAAATATAACAAGGAAAGCTCTAAAAAAAAGAAGAAAAAGAAGATGAAGAAGGCAGAAGAAGCCACTGAATCAGGTAGGGGTAGGGGTAGAGGTCGGGGGAGAGGTAGAGGACGTGGTGCTGCTAGAGGAAGAGGCGGGGCTGCAGTAGGCAGGGGCCCATCAGTGTTGGACTCTGACAGCTTGAGCTCAGGTTCAGAAGTAGACTCGGATGAGGAGGCTGAGGCTCGAAGACAGGTATTTGTTTTATGTATTAGTATTATTGAAGTCATTTTATTTGCCTGCGTTTCAAGTTATTTCAAAGTTAGTCAAATGCTAGGTAGTGATGAATTTGTATTATGCTGCAAGAGAGCAAATTAAGTAGCTGGTTATTGTTTTGGAAAAAGATTAAATGTTTTCATTCACTAGATTGGCACCAAAGTAAAACCAAAGTAAAACCGCCACTCTTACATAAACTAGTTCAAATAGCTTTCTGGCAGGAAAAAAAAATATATGCCCTTGATAGGGTTCAAATTCACAGCAGTATGTGACAAGTAGAGATGAAAGGCAGTGAGTTTAACACTTGTTCACAGAATGTCAGCTATGTTGTTTAGTACTGTATGTGAGTAAGTAAGTCATGCAGAAATATTTGCAAATTTCGCAAATTGACGAAAATCGCTAACATTTCCTCTAGCTTAAATATGAACCAACCCGTCATTTAATTCTAACCTTGCATGATTTGCTAATATTTCCTCACGCAAACTTTTCGACATGCGGAAATATCCACTTATACAGAAATCGAGAAAACTTTAAATGTGTAAATATGATAATAAATTGAAGCTTTTGGTTTAGTATATTTATGGAGAAAATATTTTCAATATTGCAGAATGAGAGAGAAAAGAATTTGTCATCCGTTCTGTTTGATGATGGAGAAAGTCCAGAACAACTTCAGAAAATGAGCTTCACAATTAAACAACTTATCAGAAAACTACACATCACGGAACCAGTCGAACATGTCATGTGTCTTATTGGGAAAAAGTGAGGATCAGTCTATAAAGAGCTGAGATTTTCTATAAATAACTTTGAATGTCTATAAATAGATTTGTACTTTTATTATGGAAAAATACACATTACAGAAACTAGTTGAAAAATTCATGTTTCATTTGAAATATTCTATAAATAACGAATGGTTCCTTTAAATTGATTTTATTTTCATTGCATAGATTTTTCATGTGAGAGATAATTTATAATCATTATAGGAGCAGGAAAAGGGCATGCAAATTCTTAAAATATGAACAGTAGTAAATCACTATTAAATATGAATCTGGAAAAAAATCTGGAGAAAGGGTGATCCCTTGGAAGCATTAATCACGACAAAATTACATAAAAGTGCAGACATAAAAGTGCAGACTCGTTTTAAGTCAGTACATGAGGGATGGAAACTATAATAAACAATATAATTCTACAGTCATAATTCCCTTAATTCACAAGAATGCATTGCAAATTAAAAAAATAAATGTACTTTAATTTGCAGGTACCCAAGTTCTCTAGATGAGTTTTACAGGTCCAGGTTGCCTGGTACATTTGAGGAGGAGAGGGCTGGGAAAAGAATGAAACTTCCTGTACCTGAAACCTGGGAGACCCAGGTATCTCTTAAAGGCAACAAGGCTTCAACTTGGCAAGAATTGCTAGGTATCAGTTGTTCATTATTTTATGAAAATTGTCTGGAACTCTGTTACATTGAGTGATATATTTACATATTTTGTCATCCGTTTCTTTGTCTTGGTTGATAAATGATTAAGATGTCTGCCTCTCTATCCAGGGATTATGGGTTTGAACCCTACTTGGGTCACGACTATGTTTGCTCATATGACATCATAACTGGTTAGTTTCTGGAGGCAGATTCAAGAAGGATTAATCTAACTTGCGACAACTTTTCACAATAAAGCTTGAATAAATGTTTTCACTAAATGGACATTCCTTTTTCAAGGCTTTATTAATATTTTAATACTTGAGTTAGAGAATTTTTTTAAATAAAAATCTTCTTTTTTTCTTGAATCATATGGAAAGTATGTAGAAATAACAATAGCATACATGCAATTATTTTTGGCCGGCATTCAAGACCACCCATCATTAATGGCTTCTATAAGCTTCTGCTTTCGGCCAAAATCTATAAGTATTGTTATGTTGTTATTTAAACATGTTCAAATATTCTAAATAAAATATCTTTAAACCAATGGAGGGGAGGGAATCATTGATTGCTGTTTAGTACCATCAGAAGTTGTCTTTCTTTAAAAGATTAACAAAAATGTTGGCTAAGAAATTATGCCCAATAATGCTGTAATAATATGTGGACTTGTCATTGTATGTGGAAAGGAAGTAGATTGATATGTATGGCTTATATGCACATTTATACACAATGTATTAAATATTTTTTTTTTAAATATTTTCAGATCACAAAAAATTACCTTTCATGGCCATGTTACGGAATTTGAGAAATCTGATTAAAGCTGGGATTTCCTCCAAACATCATACTGGAGTCATCCGGAGACTGACAGACGAGGTATTTTATTGTTATATTGCTTCAATTTATTGAAAGAATAGCTAATGAAATAAAGGTAGCGTAAAATTTTGTCTGAAATATAGTTGGTTACATGGTTGGTTGGTTTTTAATGCTGAATTGAACACAATTTTTTATGGCCATATTTCTTTTGCTCAATCCACCTAATATTGCTAACCAGTATTTAAAAAATTCTCAGCAAGTGACTAAGAGTACTAATTACACAAGATTCTTGAGACAAATGATCTTAATACACAATGTCTGAGCTAAATTGTGACTGAGAAATTACACTTAGCTTCGAACATAGAACCCGTGAACCATTCAACCATTGAAAACAAATCTGATGCCCACCCACTGAGCTAAGCTTGTCAACATCAGACCTGGAGTTTAACCTGAAGTTGCCATGTGGCAATGTAAGTGTGGGTATGACTGTTGGCAATATAAATAATAGTAAACTAGAGCCACTAGAGGTGGGCGTGGCAGAGTTAAGGAAATGGGTGGAGCAATAGGCAAGTTTAATATCGCCAAATGTGATAAACCTACATATAATTCACTCTCTGTTTGATTTATTTTTGAACATGCATGGCAGTGTTAAACAGATTTTAAGATAACAAAAGTTGAAATTTTAGTTTTGCAAAAGTTTACACTCACTTGTACATTTGTATTGGTTTTATTTTTTTGAAAAAAAGCAAGTTGAATTTTTTTATTTGCAGAGATCAGTTATCAACAGCAAGCAATTTCCGTTCAGATTTTTCTCTGCATACGAAGTTCTGGAACAACTGCAGAAGGATTATGAAATCTCTCGTAAGACACCATTCCTTGTTTTAGTTCATGCTGTTTAATATAAATAGTGACTTTGGAGAAATATTGAACTGTTTTGACCTGTATCTTAAAAAAAGGTGACAGGTTTTATAATCATTTGCATTGTTAAAACTAAAATGTCATGTATAAGGTAATTTTTCATTTTTTTGAAAATTTCTAAAATTTCCCTAAATGCTGAATATTTTTTCTCAATTTATGACAGGGGGCCTTTTCCCAAAATTGCTGGAAAAAGCCCTGAATCTGAATGTTAAACTTTTAGTACTAGAGATATATATCATGTATTAAAAAAAATCTTTCAAAAACAAAAATGTAATAGGAATTGTCATCTTTTTTTAGAGGCAAATATCATTGCTATGGCTGAAATTGAAGCCAACACCCCAAGTGATGCATCTACAAGAGGTGGGCGTGGCAGAGGTAGAGGAAGGGGAGGAGCAACAGTCAAGAAAGAAAAATTGACAGCAGAGAACTGGTGGATTATTAAAAAGCAAAGAAAGCAAGAAAAGAACAAGAAGCCAAAGTAAGTAATATGATATTGAAATAGATTTAAATTAAAATCAAGTTCTGTTTCATTGTTCAGTTGACCAACATTTTATCTTTAAATTACCTTTACATCATGCTTGTTTAACCCTAATCCCTCTGAAGTTGTGTAATTGACTTGTCATGCTTTATATTTGGAATAGTCTAATAGCATTTTAACCCTTTACCTCATATATACGCGAAACAACGCATTTTCGACCACACCCCCTTTTCTAGGCCTGAAATAGTAAAAAAATGTCCTATTTTGGCCCCAAACACATGTTTTCGTTTGAGAAATGTTGCTTAAAAAAGTGAGCACTTTTTTCGGCGCCGTCCCCCATCCAAAAGATACATCAGGGGGTTGCCAGAAGGGGGATGTGCCCCCTTCTGTTTGGGGGGTTTGAAGGAGGGCGGAGTCCCCCTCATCGCCAAGAAAATTTTGGACTTGTGAGAGGCTTAAAATGACCCCAGTTGATCATAAGGTAACGTGTTACCAACGCTGAAAAGCATTTGACTCTATCTCAATCCCTTGAGAAGTTGAAGCACTTTGAAATAAATTTTGATGGAAGAAATCGAGGCAAAATAGTGATTTTTGGCAATTTTGAGATGTGCCCTCGTTGCCATGGTAACAGGAAATTTAAGACTGAGCATGTCGTTACAAAGGCAATGGTCCAGTCAACATTTGTGCCAAGTTTGATTAGTATTAAAGCATTTTTAGCTCACCTGTCACAAAGTGACAGGGTGAGCTTTTGTGATCGCTTTTCGTCCGTCCTCCGTCCGTCGTCCGTAAACTTTTACTTTAAATGACATCTCCTCATAAACCACTAAGCCAATTTCATCCAAACTTCACAGGAATGTTCCTTTGGTGGTCACCTTTAAAAATTGTTCAAAGAATTTAATTCCATGCAGAACTCTGGTTGCCGTGGCAACCAAAAGAAAAAACTTAAAATATCTTCTTCTAAAAAACCCAAAGAGCTAGAGCTTAGATTTTTGGCATGAAACTTCTTCTGGTGAGTGTCTACCAAGTTTGTTCAAATAAAAGCCCTGGGGTCAAAATTGGCTCCGCCCCAGGGGGTTATTGATTTTCCCTATATGCATATAGTAAAAACTTAAAAAATCTTCTTTTAAAGAACCCAAAGAGCTAGAGCTTAGATATTTAGCATGAAACATCTTCTAATGTGTGTCTAGCAAGTTTGTTCAAATAAAAGCCCTAGGATCAAAATTGGCCCTGCCCCAGGGGGTCATTGATTTTCCCTATATGCATATAGTAAAAACTTAAAAAATCTTCTTTTAAAGAACCAAAAGAGCTAGAGATAAGATATTTAGCATGAAACATCTTCTAATGGATGTCTACCAAGTTTGTTCAAATAAAAGCCCTGGGGTCAAAATTGGCCCCTCCCCAGGGGGTTATTGATTTTCCCTATATACATATAGTAAAAACTTAAAAAATTTTCTTTTAAAGAACCCAAAGAGCTAGAGCTAAGATATTTAGCATGAAACATCTTCTAATGGGTGTCTACCAAGTTTGTTCAAATAAAAGCCCTGGGATCAAAATTGGCCCCGCCCCAGGGGGTCATTGATTTTGCCTATATGCATATAGTAAAAACTTAAAAAATCTTCTTTTAAAGAACGAAAAGAGCTAGAGCTAAGATATTTAGCATGAAACATCTTCTAATGAATGTCTACCAAGTTTGTTCAAATAAAAGCCCTGGGGTCAAAATTGGCCCCGCCCCAGGGGGTCATTGATTTTCCTTATATACATAAAGTAAAAACTTAAAAGAAATCTTCTTTTATAGAACCAAAAGAGCTAGAGCTAAGATATTTAGCATGAAACATCTTCTAATGGATGTCTACCAAGATTGTTCAAATAAAAGCCTTGAGGTCAAAGTTGGCCCCACCCCAGGGTGTCATTGATTTTCCATTTATACATATAGTAAAAACTTAAAAAATCTTCTTTTAAAGAACCCAAAGAGCTAGAGCTTAGATATTTAGCATGAAACATCTTCTAATTGGTGTCTACCAAGTTTGTTCAAATAAAAGCCCTGGGGTCAAAATTGGCCCCGCCCCGGAGGTCATTCATTTTCCCTATATGTGTAAAACTATAGCAAAAATTGAAAAATCTTCTTTGAAAAAACTCAAATAGCAAGAGTTTAGATATTAAGCATGAAGCATCTTCTAGTGAGTGTCTTCAAAGTTTGTTCAAATAGAAGCCCTGGAGTCAAAATTGGCCCCGCCCCAGGGGGACATTGATTTTCCTTATACAAGTATAGCAAAAACTTAAAAATCTTCTTTTAAAAAACCCGAATAGCTAGAGTTTAGATATTAAGCATGAAACATTTTCTAGTAAGTGTCTACAAAGATTGTTCAAATAAAAGCCCTTGGGTCAAAACTGGCCCTGCCCCAGGTGTGTCATTGTTTTTAACTATATGTGTAAAGAAAATACTTAAAAAAATCTTCTTTTAAAAATCCCAATGAGCTAGACCTTAGATGTTTAGCATGAAACATCTTCTAATGGTTGTCTACAAAGTTTGTTCAAATAAAAGCCCCGGGCTTTAAACTGGCCTTGCTCCGGGGGCCTATGTACAGGTGAGCGACTTCAGGGCCATCATGGCCCTCTTGTTTATAGTTTCATAGCAGTTTGAACTTGTAAGAGGAGGCTTTTCAGTGAAAATGGCCATTTTTCACAATATGCTCATGGGGGAAAGGGTTAAGAGGGATTCCGGTATCAAAATACTAAGATTTGAGTATTAGATTTGTTTTCTTTTTATTCATGATTGAAATACACAATGGTATTAGTTTTGAATTTTGTAAAATGAAGTATTTTGAATAGGGGTGTCACGTTTTTCCATTTAAAAGGGTACGGTCAGTTTTTAGATAAAAACCAGTCCAGTAACCAGGGTTAGTATTTGACTAAGGGTCGGAAAATTGTATATTGATTATAAATATTACCTGAGTTTTTTATGACAAGATATGACAATTGTTTGTATTTAAGTTGTACCCAACAATGTATTTTTCTGATCTGATTGAATACAGTACGACCTTAGCGGAAAATAGCTACTCCATTTGGATATGTCAACAAAATATGAACAAAATGTCATATCTTGTCATAAAGTGACAAAGTTAATGTTGAAAATTTAAGGATTTTATTAGTATGATAATAATATTTTAAACGTTTAACATGATCATTACGTTGACATTTAAAAGGTTAACATTTTTTCTAACTGTGACACCACAAATTTTAAAGTCAGGTGTGTGATCAAACCCATAGTTCCTAAAAGCTGCCATAAAACATTATAGTACACTTTAGTAAGGAGTAGTAACAAACACAATAAGAACAATGAGTAAAATTACACTCTTAAATAAGATTTGAAGGAAGCAGATCAGGAACTGCCAATCAAAATAGTAGAAGTTAAACTGTATAAATATTTAAAAGTGAAAATTTGTTTACAATATTTTAGGGAGACACCATTTGACACTAATCTGATCAATCGATATCGTAAGGCCTTAGATACAGCTGTTAAACTGGCAACCGTGTATAATGTTCAACCAATCAGAGGAAGGACGATTATTCTGTGTGATGTCGGACCAAACATGAAAGTGCCGTGCACAGCAGCAAGAGGGCTTGGAAAACCTAGAACAGTTAGTGTTCATTTACATACCTTACTTCTCAACTCAAATATTCAGTGAAAAGTGGAGGAAAACTCCTCAACTGGGTGTCAGTGTTGGTGCAACACTTGTTAACAGTTTTGCTTTTCCAACTTCATATCCTATTCACCACTGATTATATTTGCGTGAAACTTTGCATTTGTGTAATGATCATAATTGTAGGTTTAGATACTGTCCAATACCAATAACTCTAGCATGGATATGAACTAAAATATTCTCCTTTTTGAACTCAAAAATATCCGAGTGCAAGTTCTTCCTTGTCAATCATTGAAGGTATTCATTAAAGTCTAAACAATGTTTCCAGTGTCGTAATTGTATGCTACTGATAAAGACTTGAAAACTTTAATAAGAATTTTCATGTGGGCTTTCGTGGCCGAGTTGTTTAGGATGTTGTCTTCCAAGCATTTGCCTGTCAACACTGTAGGTTTGAGCCAAACAAGTGTCTTCGAAATCTTATATGTTATATAGCTATCCAGCTAGCTTAGAGAAATTTTACAAAATAGATTAAAACCTTTGTGAATTGTAACAAAGTATGAAATGATTTTTCAGAGAATTCTATAACTTTAACTGATCATTTATTATTTAAAACAAATATGAGCATATTTCTGCCAGTTTTTTATTTGTTGTTTTGTTTCTCTAACCATTTAATGTATGTATCAGATGCAGGAAGTAAGCGTGTTGCTCGGCCTGATGTGTAAATATTCATGTGAGGACTGTACCATGGTGATATTTGACAGCTCATCGTCCATGTACTGTACAGTACAGTTAGAGAGTGGAACAATTCTAGAAAATATGTCCACAGTTCTAGACAAGGACATCTCTGAGGTAATTATCTAAATATACTTGTGTGCACAGTTGGGAGAATTTATGATTTTTCCCTCTGAAAACTTAAGTTGTACTTATTACATCTGTGTAAAATACTGGGTTTTTCCCCCGAAAAACAAACATATTTTACATGTCATTATATGTAGCTGGAGCCAAAAGTGATTAACCTTTGTGACCACTTCCATGCAGTCTGACCACTGACCAGGCTCTGTCCTGTTTGGCTGACCAGTTGTTGTACATACCCAGGTGTAGGTGTCACATTTTAGTTAAGTTTTTGTGTGCAAGTTGGTATCTCCAAAACTTCTGAAGGGAATGAGTGGAAACTTCTTACACTTATTTTAGAACATAATAGGAGGTAACTCTTTGAGGCCCATAACTCTAACATGGATTTTGACAGAATAATAACCCTTTCTTTAACTAAGAAAATTTTGCATTATCCAGGCTCTTGTTTCGCTATTGGGCACTGAAAATAGTCAAGCATGCTGTCATACTGACAGCGACCAGAAACTGATAAAAGTAGCTGAACAAGTTTGTGTAAAAAAATAGCAAATTAAAGGGCTAATGATTTGACACAGAATGGAGTTTGTTTACAGTGTATGTTGTTTGGGTTTAGTGCCAGTTGATGACAGTTTATTTATTAACTATCAGAAAAGCTGGGAGTGTGTAACAATTTAACAATTACAGGAGTAGTGAATACTACTAGTATTGTGGCTATATTATCAAGTGTAAATTAGGATAAAAATTGAAATTTGAAACAGCCGTGAGCTTCATATTTCAACTTACACTCTGTTGTTATCCATTGTTGTTGAAATTTAAGCATTGGATTGATTAACAGAGTGGTTAAGGTCATTGACTGCAAACCACTTATCATTCATCGCTTTACGTTTGGGACTTTGGATTCTTTCATGTGAGAATGCTATCCGGTTAGCTTACGGACTGTTGATGGTTCTTCTTAGGTTCCCGTTCATGTCTGAGATAATAAACGAAAGGGCATCTTAGGTCTTCCTCCTCTAGTAAAGCTGAAGAGTCCCCGTGTGATCTATACTGTATGGAAATGTATGGTATGAAAAAAACCAAAAAACAACAACATCTATTGTAAAACCTTTTTTTTATGTTTTACAGGACCCAACAGCAAGGCATTTCACGAAGGTGAAGGCAGACTTGCCAATGTCAGTGCTATATGACAATTTAAGAGATAGAATACAGGTACAATAAACATTATTATGATTTAAGTAGTTGCTATTTATAGCTTTATACTTGATATTTTTAGGGCTTGTTACTATTTATAGATAGATACATGTTATTGTTTTTAATTGTTACTATCTATAGATTAACACATAATGTGTTGAAATGACATTAAGGTTTTGTTACTATTTATAGATTGATAACCTGCTTGTTTTGACTGGTGGAGGTGACCAGTATGCTCAGAGATATGTGCTGAACTCATTCCTTGAAATATACAGACGTCTTGTGAACCCTGACCTACTTTATGTAAATGTTTCCTTTGCTGGAAGGTCATGTGGGTAAGTATAAGTTACTTTAATCCCTAACCTGCTTTACAAAAATGTGATCTGTAGTCAGTCACTTGCAGAGAAGTTGGTAATTACTGGTTAGTTATCCAGTATAGCCAGTATGGTGGATCGATCGCCTGGATATAACAAAAACGATGTAACAAAACAAATCATTTATCAAAAAATTTAGCCTGCCAGTCTGGACCTCTGTGCAGTTTTAGGGGCTCTATATTGTTGCCTGATACATGTGCAATTTGATATCCAAACATATTTTATGACGGGCAGTTTCAAAAATGGAAGCTGGACAAGTCCATTTAAGAAATTCAACATTTTTTTGTTACATGAAAGTGTCTTCCGGGGTTTAGTCCCAAGTTATTGGTATTTCAGTAAGCTACCTTACACGTTTTTCTGACCTGTTAATTTCTGCAAATAAAGCATAAACTGGTAAAATATGCTATTCAGTTTCTGTAGATTGTTTTCATGATAAGATAATCAATGTAAATGGCAGGTATGAAATATATTTAGTTAGGAGATTGATAAATAAAACAACAACATTTCCGTATTTGGGACAAAAATAATCTTAAGAAATATCATAGAAATCTTCGGTGCAAAAGTTGATAATGCTTTAATAGACAATCTTGTGGTATCAAAATTAATATTTGAATGGAAATGATTAACTTTCAAAAGTTTAGAGAAGTAGTTTTAAATTTTTATGCCCCCGCCATATAATGGCAGGGGCATATAGTGTTACCCTGTTCCGTCATTCCGTCATTCCGTCCTTCCGTCATCATCAGTTTCCGTTCATTATCTTAATAACCCTTGCGCATATTGAACTCAAATTTGACATATGGATATGTCATGAGAAAATACAGGTCAAGTTCGAAATTGGTCATGGTTCGATGATTTTGGCAGAGTTATGCCCCTTTTACATTGAAATTAATAATATGAAATTTTCAGTTTCCGTTCATTATCTCCCAAATGGTTCAAAACATTCAATTCAAAATTGACATATGGATATGTCATGAGAAAATACAGGTCAAGTTCGAAATTGGTCATGGTTCGATTATTTTAGCAGAGTTATGCCCCTTTTACATTGAAAATAATATGAAATTTTCAGTTTCCGTTCATTATCTCCCAAACGGTTCAAAACATTTCAATTCAAAATTGACATATGGATATGTCATAAGAAAATACAGGTCAAGTTCGAAATTGGTCATGGTTCGATGATTTTTGGCAGAGTTATGCCCCTTTTACATTGAAAATAATATGAAATTTTCAGTTTCCGTTCATTATCTCCCAAACGGTTCCAAACATTTCAAAATTGACATATTGATATGTCATGAGAAAATACAGGTCAAGTTCGAAATTGGTCATGGTTCGATGATTTTTGGCAGAGTTATGCCCTTTACTTTGAAAATAATATGAAATTTTCAGTTTCCGTTCATTATCTCCCCCAACGGTACAACACATTCAACTCAAACTTGACATATTGATATGTCATGAGAAAAATACAGGTCAAGTTCAAATTTGGTCATGGTTCGATGATTTTTGGCAGAGTTATGCCCCTTTTACTTTGAAAATAATATGAAATTTTCAGTTTCCGTTCATTAACTCCCCAATGGTACAACACATTTCAACTCAAACTTGACATATGGATACGTCAAAGGAAAGCGCAGGTCAAGTTTAAATTTGGTCATGGTTCAATGATTTTTTGCAGAGTTATGCCCCTTTCACTTTGAAAATAATATGAAATTTTCAGTTTCCGTTCATTATCTCCCCAATCGTACAACACATTTACCTCAAACTTGACATATCGATACGTCAAAGGAATGCGCAGGTCAAGTTCAAATTTGGTCATGGTTCGATGATTTTTGGCAGAGTTATGCCCCTTTTACTTTGAAAATAATATGAAATTTTCAGTTTCTGTTTATTATCTCCCCAACAGTATTAAACATTCAACTCAAATTTGACATATTGATACGTCAAAGGAATGCGCAGGTCAATTTCAAATTTGGTCATGGTTCGATGATTTTTGGCAGAGTTTTGCCCCTTTCACTTTAAAAATAATATGAAATTTTCAGTTTCTGTTTTATTATCTCCCCAACAATATTACACATTCAACTCAAATTTGACATATGGATATGTTTTTGGAATGCGCAGACCAAGTTCGAATTTGGTTATGGTTCAATGATTTTTGGCAGAGTTATGCCCCTTTCACTTTGAAAATGATATGAAATTTACAGTTTCTGTTCATTATCAACCCAACAGTGTTACATATTCAACTCAAAATTGACATATGGATATGTCAAAGGAATGCGCAGGTCAAGTTGGAATTTGGTCATAGTTTGATGATTTTTTGGCAGAGTTATGTCCCTTTCACTTTGAAAATAATATAGATACATCTTAGGAATAAGCAGTTTAAGTTTGAATTTGGTCGTGGTTCAATGATTTTAGACAAACTTATCTTTCCTGAATGTTGAACTTTCAGTTTCAGCACTCATACTTTTGTGGAAATGTATATAGCCATTATGTTGGCTACAAATATGCAATATGCTGTTTTTAAAAGGTTAAGACTGAATAATTTCAGGGCCTTGAACATTGTATAAAAATGGTTTGTGTTAACATTGAAAAGTTTTAAGGGCTTTGAACTTAGAATGAAAAAAATAATTTGTGCAAACAAATTTGGAACTAAATATTATAACATTTGAAATTTTGGCTGCATGCGGGGGCATCCGTGGCATGATGACACATTTCTAGTTTAAATAATAGCAATGATATTGACTGACCATTGTAAAGAGTGACTTGTCATGTGTAGACTGACCAGACTATTGTCTGTCCAGACTATATGTATTGTTGGGTGCCCTAAATACGTCCCTGTCCTAGATTCACCAACCTTACTGTGTATGTCTAAAAGTTTCAACATATATCCTTTAAGAAAGAAAAGAGTGGGATATTTTTAAACATCAAAGTAAATTTAATGTTTCTCTATCTAAATTTCTAAAACATAGAACACTTGGATCATTAGAAAATATAGTGTATCAAACTAATGTAGCACTGTAAAAGGCTTAGGGTAAAAATCATGGCCACCTGTAGATATGTTTTTTATTGTTTTTTTTTATTTCAGATTTGCAACAGATATAAAACCAGAACATGACAACGATATTTACATCTCTGGATTCAGTGATCAAATCCTCAGGTAGCTTTTTATTATACCTACACATGTCTTTACATCCAGTTGTCTTATTATCATGATGTCAATCCGTAGAATGACAGAACAGTAGATTGTTGGTGCATCTGTGCTTGAAGACATATTTCTTGTTATATAAATTATTCTTAAGAACTCAGATAATAATAAAACAATGCTATATATTAAGGAAAGATATGATCTAGCAGTGAATGTGTCTGCTTCTCAACCATTGGATCATAGGTTTGAGCCCTACTGTTTTCATGACCTAGGTTTCATCATTATGACCCCAATACTTAATAGTGGACTCCAGAATAGTTTAAATTCACAATCAAGCTGAAATAAATAATGATTAAACTATTGTTATATTTTCTTATTTTCTTTCCATATATAACTATTTACAGGTAAATCTTGAAAATATCCTCATTTATTTACATACTGTAGTAACAAATTAAATTCTAAATTCCGATCTTTTGGCTAGTTTTGGTTATACCTTAAAGCTGTACATTTAAAGCATAATTATATGTAAGGATTTCTTGTATGAATGTAAAAAGAATCAACATTCTATTATTATTGATGCTAGAATGAATTTTGTTTAACAGTTTCATATGTTTCTGCCATCTATATAATAATTATATTCCAGATTTATAGCAGAGAGGGGTGAAGGGGGACAACTCCGACATATAGAAAAAATTGATGAAGCTTTTAACCTGAAACCTCTTCCAACAAAACCAGGTGAAAAACCGGCAGCACCAAAACTTGATATAGAAAAACCATTACAGATTGCTTCACAAACACCAAGGTAAATAGTATTTATGTACAAAATAAGTCTTTTCACTTATTAAAGGAGAAGTGGTGATAAATGTTGCTAATGATTACATGCTTAAATCATAGGAGTGTTAATATTGCTTTCTTATTTTTAGATTACAAGGTTACTGGAGAAAAAATAAATTTTCCCACTTTTTCTTTTATTAAAGTTATGTTATTATCAAGGTTTGATCAGGGAGTATCCATTGGTGTTCCATGAAAACATGGTGCTTGTTGGCATGGATGATACCTTGCATTTTTCTGGTACTGTCCATGGAGAGGCTCAGTCAAACCAAGTCTGCAACATTTACAATTTTGCTGTTTTGGATGTTCTCAAGGGATTCCTTTTCTTCTCTGTTTGCTGATTTTCTTGTTCATTGGAGAATTTAATATTGGTCAAGGATATCTTGAGATTTTTAGCCATTTGTTGCTAGATTTGTTTTCATATTATCAGTTTATTTTATGAAATAGTCTCCATATGTATTTTGCAGCTGGAGAACTGCTCGTGTGTTTATTTCATCGACATTCCGTGACATGCACGGGGAGAGAGATCTGCTGACGAGATATGTGTTCCCAGAGTTACGTGCCCTTGGAAAGAAGCATTTTATAAATGTATATGAGGTGGATTTGAGGTGGGGAGTTACTGAGGAGGAGACTAAAAACTCAAGGTATTATACTGTCTTTATTTCTCCATTGGTCTTGTAGTTTCCTAATTTCAGTTTAAATGTTAATAGGTAAAAACTAAATAGGAATAAATGTGTTTTAGAATTTATCCTAGTTGAAATTGAAACCAGGACTGATTCTTGTTGTAGGTACAATTCAAATTTCTTGGAATATATTATTGTACTGATAATTCATGTTTATTGTTAGGAAATAAAAACACGCAAAAGAAGATTTTTTTAATTGTTTTGTTTACTTACTGATTTACTTTTTTATTTGTTTTGTCTTGCATAATTAGTCTTAGTTGCAAGTAAACACTGTAGTGAAGCTACAATGATTTTGTATTTTAGGACACTAGAGTTATGTTTGTCAGAGGTGTCCAAAAGTCAGTTCTTTGTTGGAATGCTGGGAGAGCGATACGGCTGGGTGCCGGATAAATACGATGTCCCCGACACACCAGAGTTTCAGTGGGTGAAAGAATACCCTCTTGGGGCATCTGTCACAGAACTGGAGATTCAAGCTGCAGCCCTCGGTCAAAAAGACATAAGTGACATGAAAAACAAGGCTTTCTTCTATTTTAGGGACAAGTCTTTTGAATGGTAACTTTCTATGTTTGAATTATTTTGTGTTTTAGAGTAATCCCAAAAGAATGTTAATTGGCACCAAAAGGTTATACCTTTAGATAAAACTTTTTTTATGCATAATTTGTTTTAATTTTGGTATTGAATGAAATGCATTAGATGTAAACCTTTTTTCAGTATCTTGCCTTTTATCAGAATCACGGGGAGAATGACATAGCTTTATAGTTTAAATAATTAAAAAATTATGGTATTCATTTTCAGTGATATTCCGAAGAAATTCCGAGAAGATTTTGAATGTGAGAATGAGAAGAATCAGGTGAAGATGGATGCCTTGAAACGTAGAGTACGCAGTAGCGGTCTTGAAGTATTTGACAAGTATGCTCTTCTTTATCATTTATTTATTTTATCATTTTCTTAAATGTGTTGACAAGTATATGTGTACCAATATTTGTAGACTAATACATTGTATGTTTAGATGAATATCTGAAGACCAATACCTAGACCAGTAGATGTGGGCTAATATATATGTGTCAATTTCTGTATACCATTATATTTTGACCAATATTGGTAGACGTTTACTATATCAATATATGGACCAATTTATAGATCCCTATTCTGACCTTATTTGAATGACAATAGAATAAACCAGAAACATTGACATGTTCTTTTGTGAGAAACATTTTGTGGTGAAATTCTTATTGTATCCACTAATCTGATAATTAGAACTAGACATTTCAAGAATCTATGCATATCAGTAGACCACTAGATTTAGACCAATATTGGTAGATCAAGATCTTGACCAATAACTGTATGCCATTGTATATGGACCAATATTTGTATTTAATGATAATGGTTATTTTTTTCAGCTATCCATGTCAGTGGGGAGGGGTAGTAGACGGGAAACCTATTGTCTCAGGACTGGAGCAGTTTGGAGTACGAGCCTTGAACAATCTTTGGAATGGAATACAAAAGTGCTTCCCAGATGAGGTAAATATGATTTTATGCATAAAACATAAAAATTCTAGGCATTTCTAGCCTAATGAGTATGCCCTATTTAACCCTTTCTACACTTAATATAAAATGGACTTGTCCATCTTTCATTCTGGACAAAACCATTCACCATTTTTAGGGAAAATTTCAAGATATGTACTTCTAGTGAATGAAAAAGAAACAGTGCAGATTTGTCTCACCCCTGTGTGTTCAAGTCTTGTTAGAGATTTTTAAAATTTTTCAAGATATGAAGGTTGTTGGATGTATATGGCATGTCTGAAAATGAATAGGACATGTGGTCATTTTTTCAAACTTGATACCCCGGTAGCTTTATTTAAATAAAAGACTCTTTATGGCATATAATCAAACTACAGTTTACTTTGTTTTTAGGATAATGTACCAAACCTATTGTTTTCTTCAGTGGTCAACTTTGTCTTAAAGAGTATGCCAGTGATTGAAAGATATTGATATTATTGTTAAACCATTTTCATGAATTGTTCTTTGGATTTAGGATTATCTTTATTATACATTTTCACTTTGGTTTAAGGTAATTTTTATCTCATCAGATTTTCTGAATTTTTGCTTTGAGTTGAAGATTACATTCATCTTAACTTTGGTTTAAAGATTATTTTGCCATTTGTTATTAGGATGCCATGATGGATGAGACGAGTCATACAAATAAACTGCACAGTGCTTTTGTTGAAAGATTAAGGAAAGTGTTTGTTGGACGTTCTAAACTGAGGAAGGAATGTGTGAAAATGATGTCAGACATGCCATCAGGAGTTATTGCCCTTGCTGGTAAACCTGGAACTGGCAAATCTGCTTTACTTGTAAGACCATATTTGTTTACTCAATAGTTTTGGTTTTCATTATTTATCATTTAAAAAGCACAATTTTTGTGAGCTGCTACCAGATTTTTTTCAGTAATCAAACTTGTGTGTATGTGAAGAAATATTTCAAATAAAAATTTCTTGTAATAAATGGTAACATTCACATGATATTTTCTCTTTTTCCATGGTGACGGTTTGTTGTAGAGCCTCTGTCACAGAGTAATTTTACAGCTTATTTAAGAATAAATATATAACCAACAGTGATTTTATCACTAAATAAAATCTTTGTTTGGAGTTCTGAATTATATCAGGAGTGATATATGTGTAATACTGTGCATCTGAACAACAAACATGATGGTCTTAAACCATTAAATCACTGCTTGGGATATATTATTTCTATTCTAACGCATGATCTACAAATGAGCTGCGACACGACAAAACCAACATAATGCGTTTCGCTTACAAACCCTATTACAAGTAGAGAAACTGATAGCGAACAGCTTTGGACCCCTGATCAACGCGCGATGGCAGGCTGGTCTGGATCATGTGGTCGAAAACGCATTTCGTTGGTTTTTGGGACGTGGCTGAAAAAAAATCCCTGACGTACAGATTAAATAAAATGCCTAATTTTTTCTTTCTTAATTTCAGTCTCATGGGTTTATTTAATTTTTCAAAAAAAATTGCCAAACATTGTTACACACACTTTATCCTTCTTTTTTTTAAAAAGGGGAAAATTTGTGTCATGTTAGAATTAATTTAAGTATATGAAAAACATCCTATATTCATGTATATATTTTAGGCAAGTTTAAAACGACTACCGGCAGCACAAAAGGTAATGCTCTTTCAAACTCCCCTTTTCGTTGGGCTGCCCCCCGGGTTAAAAAATATTGTAGCCGCAAAAAACGTTTGTCCCTGAATTAAATGAAAGGGTTCAGTCTGAATATGGAAGTACCAGAAGATATGAAGTAAGATTTTCTTGCAGATTATTTTTTCATTCAAAATTATTTTCTTGGACTAATTATGTCATGGTACTTTGTAGAATAACTGTTGAATAACAGTTACAAGGAATATAATTGCTATCCACTTGATTTCCAAATACATGTAACACTTAAGGGGTTCATGATCCAAGTTATTTGCCCCATACAGTTATGTGTTAGTTTAGTTTAAACATATTAATTATAAAAGCTTGATTGCGAAACAAGTTCTTGCATCTTATATTAATCACTTCTGAGTTTGCTCCTGGGAACCAACCAGTACTGATGTCATATGAGGAAACATGATCGTGACCTGAGTAGGGCTCAAACCCATGATCCCTGGGTTGAGAGGCAGACACCTTAACCACTAGGCCACCGCTCACTTTTAAATCTTTTTGTTCCTTGATAATTGCATGGATTGGCATCAAAGGTCTTACACCACCATTAAAGATGGTAAGATTCCATATGACTTAAAAAAATTGCTAAAAACTAAACCTGTTCAGATTAGTTCAAGAATGGGAAGTATTATTAGTTTCCCCTTTTAGGTTTTTAATTGGGATTTTATTTTTGCTGTGTGTTTTGTTGTTTCAAAAAACTTGGGTTGTAAAATTTTGAAACTGCAAGAGTCAGCCTCATATTTGTGGCCCCCCTTGTTTTGTTTATAGATGGTTTAACAACATGGAACCAGCTCTTTTACCTCATAATTTAGACGGGTTTACCAGAAAATGTACCAAAAGGTATTGTTTTTGTTGTTTTAAATTTTAAACCCTAGAACGTACCATTTCTTTCTTTCTTTTTAATTGTTGTCAAAAAAGTTGTAAAAACATAAAGATTTGATTGAATTTTTTTTCTATAGATTTATCAAAAAAAGAAATGCCCCCTTATTTTATTTATGTTTTTGACCTTGACCTTCATTTTCAAATTTGAATTTTCATTAAAAAAAAATGGGAACAATGCGCCTTTTTATCTGATTTAGAAAAAATGATTTATCCATTGTATTGTATAAAATTTGATTTCTCTTTTTATATTTTCAGAAGTATTTTTGTTGTACATGTCGAGACAAAGGAAAATTTACCTGTCGCTAAAAAACGACAGGGGCCAGAGGTACTGAGAAGGGGCTGGATTTATTTTGGGGGAAGTGGTGAAGGTATCAGCTGTCATAGCAAGATTAGATAAACACCTTTTAATAACCAGGTACATGTTTAAATGTTTAAATATCTCGCATAACAAGTACTTTTGTAGCCAGTTAGCCCTCCTTAAGTAAAGTAATGAATCACTTAAATATAATTATAATAGTGAGATTAAGATTTGAATAAGTTTGGCCAAACTTTCATATAGAATTGTTCTTCATAGCTATGTATTTATGATGGTTTTGAATTTTGGCAGGATTCAAACCTATAAGGACAAAAAAAACATTTTAAGTCTGCATTTAAACCACCTAACCATGTCTCCTAAATCATCTAAAGACTTCTTAAAATTCATTACAATTTCTTTGACCTTCATGTTGTTGTGATAGCAAATATTCTTCAGATTTGAAATGTTCTTTGTTTTTTTTTAGATGAAGCTGTTGGTGTCGAAGAAAGAAGCAAATGTTCCCCTGTATTTGAGTCTAGCTTGTGAGGAACTCAGAGTGTATGGTCTATTTGAAAAGGTAAAACACATTTTCTATATATTGTTACATGAAGATGAATAACACATGCTTATACATTTTGAATGGGAACAAAAGTCTTATATCTAATTTAATGTAATTGAATGTATTTGAATATTAGATTTTTGGACGTTCATTTATCCTAATTTTGGTATCTGATTATTTAGTGATTTTAGTACTGTTTTTTAGACTAGATATGAGAAATGACATTTAAAGGTCCTCTTTATTGAAATCTTTGAATATTTTGTAAGTGATCAGCATGTTATAAAAAAACAAACATACCAAATTTATTGTTTAAAATAAAGATGTAATAAACACATTAACAATAAGTTGTGTTTTGTTTTTCAGATGACTCTGAAGTTAAAGTCCTTGCCACAGACAGTACCCACACTTCTACAGGAAGTGATGTCACGGATGGAGTCTGACCTTGGGAAAGACATTGTAACTGCAGCCTTGACCTTGCTTGTTTGTGCTAGAGATGGTAATTCATTGTTTGTTCACTGCAGGATTCTACTTTTTCCTCTCAAATAAAATGTCTGAGCTACAGGGACTGGAATATAGCTGATTTATATAGATTAAATGCTGTAAATAAACTTCTTAAATTGTCTCATGTTAGATAACATTAATTTTTTGTAAAAGAAATCAAATCAAAAGACTTCAACCACAACCACAAATATTTTGGAAATTCAATAAGGATACCTATGCTCGTCAAATAACATTTTTACTTGCAAGCTGATTATGTACTTTACTTTGTATGTATTTTAATCTCTGACATATGACAGGAATGAATATTTGAGAGTCATAAAATTTGACCTATTTCTAAAACAGCCTCTTTGCCTTATATACAGGTCTGGAACAAGTTGAACTTCATGACCTCTTGAACTTGGATGGAATTTTGGGAAATGAAAGGCCAAATGTGAAGGAGATTAAAAACATGAAGCCAAATCCCGAAGAATGTGTGCCGTCTGCTGTGTATGCTCAGTTACAGAGGGCCTTACAGGGATTCCTGAATGATCAGCTAGATTCAGGGTATGTCTTATGAGTGAGACTAAAAAAAAGTGTTGGAGCACCAAATTAGATACCGGACATGGTGCTTGAATGATTATATGCTAAAATCTCGCCTTTTTACCCAACGGAATGAACTTTAAAGCATCTAATTCATTGCTTGTTGATTTATCCAGTATTTGTAGAGTTATTGCCCTTGACTTAGTAAAAACCATTGAGAATAGCTATATTTTCCTGCTTTAACTCATGATTTCTGCAAGTGTCTATAGGTACTGCTCCAACACTAGTGAGTTAAAGTAGGCCATACTTACCTATCTTAGGCACCAAAAGAATTTAGTGTTGTTTTTTTTAACAAAAAATGGTGTCAGGCTTTCATTTAAAGCATTAGAAATGATTTGCTATAACACTGACTCATAAAATGTGAAAAATAATAATACTGTTTGGCCGCATCTAAGTATGTCATGCTAGGATATGACAACTAAATGTCCCTAGCATAACAAGGAAAATTCCAGCAACCGAATAAACCAGTTAAATGCGAAATTTTACATGCGAAAGTTACTGAGCATTTAAGGACAGATGTGCCTGCTTCGGCATATTGCGTGCCAAAGATTTGCGTAATTACCCTATGCAAGGTGCCAAGATGCGTAAATGCGATAACTTCTGGCATATGTGTGCCAAGACTGCCCTATAATTGAATATGCGAGGGTGCCCAATGCGTTAAATGCGGTAATAAATGGGAGCAACTTTCAACAAATACTCAGTTACTTAAAAAATGCCAAAGAGACCACCTGGGAATACCGAGCATAGCGCAAGCCTTTGAGCAAACCCAGGACTCGTATAAAAAAATTCCAGATTTTGAAATTAATGTAATCTAGTAATTCCAGCTTATAGAGGAAATTCTGTCGAAACAAGACCCGATCTAATAAGATGAAAATATCATACCAGACTACAGACTTAAGCGTAAATAGTTTACGAACCGATTTTCCCGAAGGATGTACCATAGAGGCCATCGAGAGAAACGGTTTTGAAAAATTTATACATAAACATGACTGGTTCTCGGCTGCCAGAATTTTCCGCCACAATAAATTTTAACAAAAATTTATTCCCCAAAATTCAAAGACGAGGATGACATACTTAGATGCGGCCAAACATTCCAATACATTTTATTTCTAGTCATAAAATTGTTTCTAGTCTCGACTTTGTTCCTTATAATGTTATTTTATGTTTATTATTATTATTGATTACATTAAATAAGTGGTACATGCTATGCTGGCATCAAGATCTGAAATAAGCTTGAAATAATTAAATTGATATGTAAAGTTATGAATTGTTAATATTGATTATTCCAATCCATAAATAATAATCAGATAAAGAATATCATGTAGTTTTATAACTATACTGTATTTTTCATATTTGAAATGTGTACCTAATTGAAAAGCCATACAAGAAGACTTGCTTGGTGTCTTATCCAATATGGTTTGGCCAGCAGTTTTCTTGTCCAATAAGCACTGTAATGCTCTGTGAAATAACTTGATGTTCATTATTATAGATATATCATGTTTTTGTGCCTTTCTCTGAGTGGTATAAATCAGATTTTATAATAATTTATTACAGGACTAGTAGATTAAGTTTGTCCCATGTTGACATAGTACAGGCAGTGAGACAGAGGTATTTGAAGGCTGCTGGTTCCATGGATACGGAACAATATTATCACCGTCTGCTGGCAGGTCAGTGTACAGTTTCTGTCAATATGCAGTGTCTTATATAAAAATCTTTCAGGTATTTTAATCTTACCTGTGTGGTGTCAGAATAAATGAGGAAGTGTTGATTAATCTTATGATAAAAAGCATACATGTGAACTTTTTTTGATGATCAAGTGGGAGATTTTTCTTAAAAAAGAGGGAGATTTTAGAATTTGCAATAAACAAAAAAGGAAGTTTTGACAACAAAAATAGGGAGATTTCTTTAATTTGTGAAAATACCCCTTATTTTAAGAAAAATCTTTGAAAATATGGCTGCAGAAAGTGGGAGTCTCCCGCTAAAACATGGGAGAGTTCACATATAAGTAAAAAGCCATTTTGACATGTAGTATGTAGACATATTCCATACTGTCTCACCTCAGAAATAAAAAATCTTCTTTGTCAGTTTGCCTCTGAAACAATTTTATATACTAGTAAATGTTAGATATAAAAGTGTGAGAAGATGAACCATGTAGGCTTACCCATGTTTGCTGGATTGTGTGTGCTTAATTTTTCTTGCATATCAGACAGGATTATCTACCGTTTACACCGGTGCTAGAAAACCCTGGCTTTAAATGACGTCATTGCTGTGCGCCTTTTATGAATGAATTGCGTTCTTAGGATGATGTCAATTAACCGTTATGAATGAAGTTGTACGTTTATACGCTAATATAGGAAAAATGTGCGTAATGAGAATATCAGTTTTCATAATTTCTGTTCTGAAAAAAAATGATATGTAATATGCAAGAAAAAGAATCAAACACTGGCTGTCGATATAGACGCGAATATCTAGCTCTCGGGTAACTGTTAAGCTAAAACTCGGCAGAGCCTCGTTACCGCTGTAAACAGTTACCCTGGAGCTAGATATTCTGGTCTGTACCGGCAGCCGGTGTAAGATTCATATATGATATCCAAACCCCCTCAATTTAACAGCGAGCTGGGCAGGTATGTTGTATCAAAATAAGTGGGTTAAATTTGAAATATGAACTCATTACAACAGTGGTATTTTATAAATTGATTTAAATGATATGCATTTCAGATGTAAATCAAATATTTTATAGTTGAGAATAGCAGTAAGAATATTGGAATGATGGTGTTCAATACATAAGAATTACATAAAATTACAAGTGGGGTATTATTATTGTATTTTTTCAGGTTATTTCTACAGTCTTGCAGACCCAGATAGAAATGGTAGTTTTACTGGAAAATCAATCAGAGCCTTCCATGAACTGCCTTATCATTTGGTAAGAAAAAATAAAAATTTCTTTTCCTTGCTAAAATTTGAACTCTGCCCCTCAAATATAACCGGTGCCCCTCAAATATAACCCCTGCCTCTAAAATATGACACCCTGTCGCTCAAATATGACATCTTGTCACTCAAATATGACACCATGTCGCTCAAATATGACATCCTGTCACTCAAATATGACCCACGGCTAAGAAATATGGTTCCTTCCTTTCATTTTTAACAATATTTTTTATACATGTCTATACAATTCAGGTAATTCTGATAATCAAATAAAATAATGATGAATACATGTAAATCTGATAATAAATATTTATAATGCTTCATAAAAATCCTCCTATGTAAAAACAGAACAAATGTGGAAGTTACAGTGACCTTGAAGATGTTGTCTGCAACCTTAAGTTCATTTACAACAAGAGCATGCTGGGATTGACAGCTGAACTGATAGAGGACTATCAACCATTAGGTAATTCATGAACTCAAATGTTTACTTACTCTGTGGTTGACGGATTGGGGGTCACTGACTTATTAAACACTTCTGCAGTTAGGGGTTCTAGTTTGACATATGATATTCAATTAATTGACCCATTGAGAGTCATTACTTACAAAAGGGTGAACTGACGTAAAAATGCAGACACAGGGGAAATTTTAAAGCTGGGAATGTGAACATTACATGTTTATTTGAATGGAAAAAAAAATGCACAAGTTGATGAACTTGAATTGAAAAAAAAATTATTTTGCTCAAACATTTGTTTATAGAAATCTACATACTGAATAGTTTTTTCTAAATATTTCCTTTACTTTCAACCTTCTTTTGACATTTTACAAACAATATGTTATGTGTTTTTTTTTGTTTTTTTTTGCAATTGAATACTGTTTGTTTTCTTAGTTTTTTTCATGTTTGGCATCTTGTAATGAAGAACATGCATCTTTTTTTCTGCAGACGTAAGTAACAAGACACAGGAGCGTGAGCAGATGAAGTTCTTTGATAAATCTACAGTGAAGGAATATAAATCATTTGTCTCTAGAAGTCTACATATACTCTCAAGGTAAATGATGGTTTTTTTTACTCTAACTTTGCTAAATATCTTAAATGGACTTGTCTTTCTTTCAATCTGGACAAAACCATTTATCATTTTTAGGGAAAAATTATATACTATCTGAATAGAAAACAGTGAAGACGACACATTTTGGCCAATTAATCTTGGTCTGTACTGGTGGCAGGGATAGAATCTGTTGCCGACTGCAGGCTAAGAGTAAATACTCACTCTCCTACAATGTTACTGTTGTTTCTTTTCATGCTTCACATAAATCAGTAGATCAATGACTGTATAAATCCCTTGACCACAATATCTTAATTATTTAAACTAGAGTCCTTATATCTAAATTTACCTCTTATGATAATCATGTTTTTCAGTGCTTAATCGATGAAAAAAAACCACCAAACTGTTCATGAATGCTTTAAAACAAACAAACATACATAAAATTCTTCTAACTTTTATATGCAGTTGTAAAGGATTTCGGATAACAACTAGACTTTTCGAGTATGCGCTTCTATATAACTTTTATTTTCATACATCAGCATAAAACAAAGCGATTCTCTGAAACAAATGATAAAGTAATTAACTAATACATTCATTTCTGATATAAACTTAACAAATAAATAATAGAATAGAATAATTAAATAACTATTTCCTATGACGAAGAATCTTAATAAACAGAAGTACAGTTAAAATCCATAAAATAAATAATCGTAACAATTGATTAAAATTAATAAATACTTCATTAGAAAATTCTTTTTATCCGTTAACAAATAAATAAATCAAAATAATTTAAGCAGCTATCATACCGACTATAATGTCTTTCACATCGAAACCTTTAAAATACAGTTTCAGCTTTAACGTTTAACGCCGCTACATATAACGGAAGTTACCTTTTAAATTCATAACAAACAATTACGTCAAAATGACGCGCTTAACTATTCAGCGCGTAACGTTAAATAAGTTGGCGCCAAACAACGCTTAACGTAAGATATATATTATATATTTTAATTAGAATCGGTAATAAACGATTCTTACAGCAGTGTTTGAAAAAATTTTGGTTACAGTATTTATCTTGCCTAACTAGACTAAGATGAATTTAAATATTTTATTTTGATCTTATTAGTCATTATAATGGACAACACAATATTGAAAGTTGGACAAGTGGGTGAAAATGGTTAACGTGTAAAACTTTTTTACAAATTTTTTCATTTTCCACTCCAGTCTGAATACCTATAGATAAAATTGTGTATATATGTTATACATGTTTTTACATATTCCAAGTTATTACCAGATGTACAATAGTTCTCTTACTTAAAATATTTCAGTCATCCAGCGTTGACATGGCAACAAGCTTACAATGAGAATTCAACCTCGGCACCAGCCAAGGACATACAGACTGTGCTGTCTTCTGCTGATATTCCTAGAAGTCAGAGGTCACTGATAGAGTGGAACAGTAAACCAGTCAACATTGATCCATGCTACCTCACTATATCAAATTTACCCGAGGTAATTTTGTAATGATTAGAAGAAATATTTTTTATGAAAGTTATTAAGCCTTACTCAGTAGATATTTCTCTATTTATGTTTCTGTGATAGATAAAATCAGGTGCCCATTGGTATGAAAAATAAAAAAGTGCTACTAGAGAAATTCTTGCACTAGTTATGCTGAAAACTCACCAAATGAAAAAGTGACAGTGTTACTTAAAATTGACTATGAAATAACTTACTATGATGAAAAAATTTCTTTAGATTAAAATAATTATTTTCATTTTAGCCAATGACCTGTGTGAGTGTATCTCAGGATAATAGGTACTTCGCTTGTGGAGGATTGGATTGTCTCGTACATCTGTATGATCTGAATACAGGAAAGGTTAAACATGTTTTGTGATTACAGTCTTAAAAAATGGGATAAAAAAAATTTAAGCCTTTTTTTAACAGGTTTTAGGTTTTGGGTTTTTCCCAATTTCGACCAATCCAGAATACTTTGAGCATCTGCGTTAAGATTAAAAAATTCTTTACAACCTTGGATGCAGTCACTCCAAAAGACTGTTATGATGTTGATTTTAGGTTATTATATAAACAGATACAGAATTTACCCCCATTTGTAGTAGAAACAAATAGTGCTTTAACCATCTCTGTGTAAAGCACCATTGCACTGAAGTTTAGTTTTTAAAGTCACATTTTAAATATTTATTTGTAATTTTAGTTTTAGTAGATTAGGATCAAAAACAGTTTTGAAAAATTTCGTCAAGTTTTAATTTATTTTTATCAAAAGTTTATTTTGGAAGCTTTAACTTGACTGTTTCTTGTGAGGAAAATTCAAAAAGTTAGCTAACAGAAGATAGATAGAATAACTTATGTGCAAGTTGGAATCATAACAATTACATGGAGTAGAACCTGAGGTCTTCCTGGAACCAGTATTGCTCGAATCTTAGTCAGTTTATGACCTGTAAAGTGTACATGTGACTTAAATCACCTCCCCCCCCTTCAGAAAAGCTAACAAACAAACTGTAATTCATTCAGAGGTTAAATTTTGGAATTAGAAATTTCTCAATTCCTATTTTTGTTGCAGGAGATAAGAAGTTATCGAGGACATGCAGACAAAATAACAGATGTGTGTTTTGTTGGCAGTAATAAATTATGTAGTGCATCCTGTGATGCCACGGTCAGCGTGTGGGATGTCAATGAAGGTCATAGGTCAGTGTTGCTTTGGATGCTTCTTTATTTTGTTTCAGGAGAGTAAAGCTTTTAATTGTGAAATATATGTATAAAAAAATAAACAAAAAAAAACAAAAAAAACTACATGTACATGTACATACATGTAGTATAATGACTGTACCAGTACTGGAATTGCCCAGGAGTCATTTATGTAAGCCTCAAACTTTTATCAGAATCGCCCTAGCTTGAATATATGTTGGAAGTTATCTACAACATATTTTCCCTTCTTTCAGGTTGTTTTCCCTCAAGGGTCACCAGAGGCGAGTGAACTCGTGCTCGTCAGACAAATCCGGTACAGTGGTAGCTACGGCATCCTGGGATTGTACGATCAAAGTTTGGGACATGAAGAGAGGCAGTATGATCTGTGAATTCAGAGTGGGATGGTAAGTCATGTTGAATGAGTTTTAAAGGAATAAAAGAAAAGGACAATATACCTTATGTGACAATTGCAGGAAAATTAAGTTTTTTTTTTATCCCTGACTTAACTAAAAAGTTTGAATGTACCTTTCATATCACAACATATGATAATTATATATACTAGAAATAACCCAGATAAAATAATTCCATATTATAATAAAAGAAGGTATATTCTAATGGCGGAAAAGCAGTCTGTTTTCAAAAGGAAAATGTCAAAATATGAAAATTTAAAGCGACATTTGATTTCTTTCAACAATTGTTTGCTTTTGGAGAGAGAATTTATAATATTAATATGAGGATAGACTTTCTTTTATCATCTGGAGGTGAGCAGATTTAAACTAATCTTTAATATAGTTTTCTTTAAAAATTAATAGTTAACGCAAAATACCTTACATACCTTTACACAAACTTGTTGTGAGAGAGGTAATAGATCTTTATTTTCTGTTTATAGTCCAGTGAATTGTGTGAGTTTCCATCCAGAAGGACAGAAGATTGTGTCAGGACAGTGGGATAGTACCATAAAAATCTGGGATATTTTCCACAAAACAAAGAAAGCTGTAAGTAATTGCCTCCTGTTACTTCTGTATTCTTTTTAAATTGATAGAAAATTCTTTGTCATACTTCATAAACAGTTTTCCTTAAACAAGAATGCATGTACAGGTGGTTCTTTTTTACAAGAGTGTTCAAATCCTGCATAGAACTTTAGATCCCCTCATGTGAGGAGGCTATATAGTTAGCATATAAGAAGGTCTGTGGTTTTGCTCACTTGTTTGCTGATGCCTGGAATAATGCACATATTATCACCTGAGATTCTCTTGCTAATAAAAGGGAAAAATTGCCATATATCCTTTACTGTGTTGGTGTGACTCGCAAACGCAAAAAAGAGAGCAAAAAAAAGAGCAAAAAAAAGTAAATTTTGTATGATGAAGAAATGTATATTTGCAGGTTTTACGTGGTCACATGTCATCAGTGAGAGATGTTGCATACTCACCGTCTGGTCGTCACATTGCCTCTGCTGCTCTAGATGGAGATGTAAAACTGTGGGCAGCAGATACAGGCTCTCAGGTACTGGCTGATTCTTCTTTTTTTTAATTTGATTTTACTGAAAATCTTCCAAGGCAACTATCGAAACTATCAATCAATATCTTTGAACAGATTTGCATATTGTAATTCTAGAGGCTTGTATGAAATCATTCCTCATTTTTAGATATTTGAATTTGATGTTATAGTTAAAATGAACTAGATTTAAATAAATTCAAAATGTCGAGGAAAATTTACCAAATTGACTGGAATCTCAATCATGGTTTATGTAATGAATACGATATTTCAGTAAGGCATATAGAAGCCAGTTTTGCCCTTCCTTTCTTGTAACAACTGTCCTTGTCTGTAGATCCATTCTTCTTTCCTTTAGCACTGTTTTATATCCACGGAAATCTACTATACCTCTACTTATAGGTGAAGTTTTAGGTTGAGTGGGTCATGGTCATGGTCACTGACACTAAAGTAAGCCCATGTTTTACCACAATGATTATGTAAAATTATTAAAACATTAAAAACTAGGGATGGCAACGAATACCAAAATCAATACTCGAGTACTCGGTCATTTTTCCATTCGAGTACTCGGTTACTCGGACGATTTCCAATGATCTTCAAAGTTTATCACACAATATCAACACCGTCCGCATGCTACTTTCGTTTTCTATTTAAATTCATAGAATTCATAACTATAGATAGGACTGCAAAGGAGACAAATTAATCAAAATAAAATCAACGACATTTTATTTGAGAACATTTTGAATAATGCAATATCAAGTTTAAAACATGTTAAACATCTTTTTCTTATTGTAATAAAATAGACTGATCGGCGGCAACAAAAATTTAACCGGGTCTAAATACTACTTTTATTATTATATCATAATAGCAATACGGCCCTTTGTTATTTCAAAAATGTTACCTTAAAACATGATTCGGGAACAAACTGCGCTGTGTTACACAATAAAAGGTTACTAAATATCATAAGAGGCCGGATGACGTAAGCGACACATGTGCGCGTGTCAAACTGTTGATCGCCTCATTAAATTTATGGTATCATTTTCGCACCTCTGCAAGGAAGTTGTGATTGCATTTAACAGGTATTTATGAAGGTATATGCACATCTCCGAATTTCTGAACTTATTGGATACACCAAACTGTCTAAATAGCAAATAAAATAGAAATTATACATTTTTTCCGAGTAATCGAATATCAGTTTTGTTAACCGATATTCGGACGTTCGATCGAGTACTCGGTTAACCGGTTACTCGTTGCCATCCCTATTAAAAACATACAGAAATTTTAAAAAATAATGTATTGTTATTGCTTATTGTAGGTTGGTAACATAGAGGGCCATGCTTTACCAATCAATAAGTTGACATTCTCACCAACTGGTAAAGAACTTATCACCGTTAGTGATGATCATAAAGTCAAGGTAAGAATAAATTTCTTAAAACCCGCTGTTTCCTACAGTTGTATTTTATTCAGTAATTAATTTTAAAACTTCATGTAACATGTGTAAAGGAAAGGGCTCCTCTGGGGGCTTTTATGTAATGTATGATTTTATAGTCAAGTGGTTAAAGTTGTTGACTTCAAATCACTAGCTCCTCACCACTGTGGTTTGAATCCTGTCTGGAATTTTGGATTGTTTCATGTGAGGATGCTATCCAGCTTACTTCAGGAAGGCAGGTGGTTCTACTGAGGTGCCTGTTTGTGTCTGAAATGATACATGAAAGGGCACCTGAGATCTTGCTCCACCAAGTGAAGCGTCAAAGAAAGAGGCAATATGATCTTAAACAGCCTTGGTGTGACATCAAACCCAACAAAAACAAAAAAAGCTCCTCTGTATATATGATCTAACACAAGTTGTCATTTCACAAAGTACATTTACTGTATATTACATTACATTACATACACCATATAAACAGCAGTATCATCCAAAATATTTACGTCTGCCAATGATGTAACTTAACTTTATTTAAAGGTGTGGTCAGGACATCTTGGTAAACCAATTTCAACTATTGGTAAAGAGGAATTAGGCCCAGCTGTTTCCATAGCAATATCTCCACAACAAGACCTGGTTGCTATTGGATACCATTCCGGCTTTATCAAAGTACATGATGTCCTGTCTGGTAAGTAGTGAAAACATTAATAAGAAATACTAAAAGGCATTTGTTTAATATTGTCTGTGCATTATAACAGTGAGATGCTCACCGAGTATATTAGCTTTTTCCGTGAGAATATCTTACAGATTTCTAAGCTTTCCATAAAATCTTAGTCTGACTATGACAACAATTTCAATTTTAGCCATAAGACTCTGTAAGCTTGAAGCTTCTGAAGTCTGCCCGCTTAGCTCAATAGGCTGTGCATTAGATTTGTAATCCTGGGATCTTAAGTTCGATCCTTGAGCAAGGTGAAATTTGTATTGGTGACAATTGGTGTTAGAGGTTGAATCTAACGGTCATTTGCTATTTATGGCAGATTCAGATATTATGTTTGATTATTTAATATTATTTGCTTACTTGCAAAGAAATTGGATTTTACTGGTTTGTTATCCAGGAAAACTGGTTAGGTGGACTGACAGCCATGATATGACCAACAATGTGTTGAAACTAGCATTAAAATCAGATAAAACAAATTAGAACCATCATACTTTGGCACAATCTACTGATAGATATTGAGACAATTGAAATATGACCTTGACCCCAAAATGACAATGACTTTCAATTTTCAAAATTCTGGCATTGTATCTTACGAATACATCTTATTTCTCTTTCTTTTCTGACATAGTCCGCACAAAAATAAAACTAACATGACTACTACAGTATACTTATTTTGAAATAACAAAAATAAAGATATTTTCAGTATTTTTATAGAAAAAATTGTGTACTTTTTATAATTGTAGGAACAGAGTTATATTCAAGTCAGGTGCATTCAGCATCAGTGAGATGTCTGAAGTTTTTGTCATCTGCTTTCTTACTGTCTGGTTCAGATGATTGCTCAGCAAAGGTAAGTAATGATGAATATTTTTTTTGTGTGAAATTTTGAGAAAACTTAAATAAATTTGTCATTTTTTTTTTAACTAATAGTTGATCAATTTTGATGTGAACTGTACAATAAAAATACATGTTACTAAGTTTTTGTGAAAATTTAAATCTTTTGAATATTACTTTTGTGTGTGAAATTTTGAGGAAAAAAATGAAAGCTCCAAAAATACAATTAATTTGTCATATTTTTTTGTTACAAATAATTGATTAATTTTGATATGGACTGTTCATTTAGAATACCTGTTACATGCATGCCCTACTGAATTCATGTGCAGTCTATCCAGGCTATTAATTGTGGATTACTCGGTTTTGAAATCCCTATATATAACAATCAACAGTTCTGTATTTAAAGACACATTGTACCTTAGAAATTTTTTTTCATTTTTAAAAAAAGCTCAACATGACTTTTATAATGCTTATATAATGGTTTTAGAGAATTCTAAATGCTGATCACTTGAAGAAAGTATCTCTGAATGTGTAATTATTTGCTATAAAAGAAGCAAAATGTAAACAAATAGTATTTTGACTTCCATACAAAATACTTGATCACAATAATGTTGCTAATTGCAAAAAAAATAAGGGAAGCAAAAAAATGGTTCAGATAATTGGCTGATAAGTAACTTTTTGGGAAAAAAAAAAGGACAGACAAATTAAAAAGCTTTTGAAAAATGAAAAAGCCTTTCTGAGGCATAATGTGCCAGTCTATTACATAAATAAAGAAAGGTCAGGGTTATTTAGTTAAAATACACAGTTCAGACTTTGTTTATAATCAAATTTTCTATTTTTATGTAGATACTGAAAGTAAACTTGAGGAAATCCCTGGTTGTAACCACTCTAACACAGCCGGTTCTCAGTGTAGCTGTTTGTCAGAACTACTTTGCTGTAACATCAGCTGATTGTACATGTACTGTGTATGAATCTCTCAAGTACAACTCAAATGAGAGGTCAGTGATTATGTAAATGTTTAGCCTTAGTATATACCAGTAGAAATTTTACAAACTTTTTACAGTTTTATTTATCCTACATTTTTGCATTCATGTTGAACTCAGATATTGTTTAAGTTAATGAACTGATAGCATTCTTTTTTGATTACACTGCAAAAGAAAGTAGTTCTTTGGCATGCAAGAACACACACACACATATGACACATATTATATTTGAAACTGTGTGGGTCTTCATTTATTGACTGAGGAAAGTCAATATATCACAATTAACGTTTATGCAGTGTGATAGAGTTAAAACGTTTAAAGCAAGCTGTATAGATATCTCACAAGTGAATACTACCAGTGCATTAAGCACTTTGATTGAATTTAGTTGTGGTGAAGGTCGTTTTACTTAAAATCACTTGTATTTCACTGCTTTATGTTCGTGACCTACTTATGACTTCGGATTCTTTCATATTGAGTGGATGGGACTATCAAACTAGCTTATGGAAGATCAGTGGTTCTACTTGGATGCCTACCTCTGTCTAAAATAATGTACATAGGAACAATTTTAAACTTCCAGGAAAGCTAGGAAGTTGTCATATGATGTGTTTACAGTGTCATCCTGGCTGAAAACCAAATCAGAAGAAATATCTTGTATTCATTCGAGAAAGCTAAGAGCTGATGTTTTTGTTTTTGTTGCTCAATGTTGTTTTTCCTCAAGTTATTTGATCTTCATACAAAGTAAGTTTGAATATGCAGAAAATTTAATGAAAAAAATAGATGAGAGCATGTTTAAAGGAATTTTATAATTGTATTTTAGGACTGTTCTAAATGTGCCACCAAACAAAGTTTGTGTAATGGGAACTCATACAGGTGCTGTGACAAGTTGCTCCTTCAATAACAGTGAAACCAGAATCGTAACAGGAAGCCGCGATATGGTAAATTATTGTGATAATTTTATCGATGAGATCATGCACATACATATATTTTGGTTTTTCGATGAATTTTTTTCCAATACCAGCTTATGAGGTGCACCAAACATAATTAACTGAGTATCTCTCAGGTGAAATTTATTCTCAGTCTTTTAGGGAATCTTTTTTTATAGTCAATAAATATGGTGTTATTTAGTCTTAATACCCAAGATTACTGGGTTACTTCTACATGTTCATTAAGGCTTTCATCATTCATTCCATAAAAGCTAAAATAGTTCAAAATTCAAATAAAATACATTCGTTACAAAAACTAAAAATAACTGGGATAAATGACTTCATCACTTTCACCTCTGAATTATGTACAGTTTGTTTCTGTTTAGAACTGATCACTAATGTGTTTGTGACAGGGTAGCTCAGTCAGTTGGGCTGAGGAATGGTGCTCTTGGGATCTCTAGTTTCAAGTCCTGGCCAGGCAACACATTTCACCCTTTGAAATGATAAAAGCTAAAAAATTGATAAATAAGGAGAAATGTTGTTGAATGTTACATCAAACGAAAAATATTTATGATATTCTTCATCATTACAGAGTGTAAGAGTTTGGGATATCGTTCAATGTGGTTTTGATGGAGAAGATTCTAAGCCGTTACACATAATTCACAATGCCCACGATGACTGGGTGACAGACTGTAGCTGGTCTAACACAGCAGATTTCATTATCACAGCTTCTAATGATTTTAATCTGAAAGGTAAAAAAACTTTTGTAGAAAGCTAACCTATTCTTATAGACGGTCTGGGATTCATGGCCAGTGACGAAATTACTTGCCCCTTAACCTTTAATCAATTATCTGTTCAATTTGAGTATAGGATATTAATTTTTTGTGAGTGTGTAATCTACTATCTGACTATCCAGTATCCTAGTTCCATTCTGTGAGAAACCCATGTATTTTCCTTAACCAAGATAGCTATAATGAAGCTGCAATACATGTTGATATAGGTTTCAAATTTTATAGCTCATTTTGGAGTGCCAAAACTTTTCCTTACCTTCCTCTATGCATATTACAAATTTGTTTACAGTATTTAGTCTGTTATCCACTATAACTAAAATTTCTTTTTTCACAGCTTTATGTTCCCAAAAGGTGTTTTCCTCTTGGCTATTTTGTACATTTTTGCATTTGTTTTACCAGTTTTCAATTCTGATTTTTTTTAGATAGGGTACATATTCAAAGCTTTAATATTTAACATGAGTAGGTGTGGCTAATCTTCAGTTTTTAACAATTTGTTTATTGGGCTGTTGCAGCATTAACTAAATCTATACATTGTTTCCGACTACCATAAACAGTTAGTCTAAAATCAAATAAAGCAGTTCAAGAAGGCCATCTACTATAAATGTAAGTGTTTTCTTGTTGACAGTTTGGGATGTATCTAAGATTGGCAACACATCTGGTGAGACAACAAAAGAAGGTACTGGAGATAATATGTGCAAAGTGAAATACAGTATGAAAGGACATATGGCCTCTATAAATCATATAGGATACAGTGTAAGTGTTATATTGTGTACTTAAAGTGTACAAGTAATTACGGGGCTTTTTTACTCACTATGGTATCAGTCTAATGGTAACACTTGATAAATGTTTGAACTCTCCTTCTGCTGACGGAAACAAATTTGTCCAAAAAACCTGCTAACTTCTCTGTCATGTTTATATGCTCGTTTGAAAAACAGGTCGTATTCTAGTTTCCCCCTTGGCGGGTGGTCTGGTAGGCGGGCGACGTCCAATTTTTGTTCAGAGCATATCTCTTACATGCACAGAGGAATTTTAATGAAACTTCATAGAAATGTTAACCACTATGAAAAGCCATGTTGCACGCATGAACCTGGCTTCGAGGTTATAAAACTTTTATCTAAGTTCTGTCTCGAATCTCAGGATTTTCATTGGTCAAAAATCATTCTGTGCTGGTTTCAGACCAATCAAATACCTGAGATCTGAGTTTGTGCTCATTAAATATATTTATAACCTCGGACCCAGGTCTCTAGGTTAAAGGTCAAGGTCACACTTGTAGGTCATTGAAAAACGGTTGTCCGGAGCAAAACTTCTACATGCATGGAGGTATTTGAATATAACTTGGCACAAATGTTTACTATTGTGAGGCAGAGTGTCACATGTTTAATTTCTCAGTTAAGGTCAAGGTCACACATAGGGGTCAAAGTTCAGATAAAAATATGAAAATGTGTATTGGGACCATTTAGTAATCAATTTTTGAGGGATTTAAACACTAATGGTCATTATCCTAAATACTGGTGTGAAACATGTAATTAAGGTTAATTTATACAAGGTCAAGGTCACTAAAGATGATAATACATAGAAATTTTGTCCATAACATGTCTCCTCCAGGCATGGTGGGATTCTAATGAAGCTTCCTAGGAATGTTCACCACTATGAGAAGCAGTGTCAAGTGCATGAACCAGGTCTCTAGGTTAAAGGTTAAGGTCACAATTAGAGGTCATTGAAAAATGCTTGTTCTGAGCCAAACTTCTACATTCATAAGGGGATTTTAATGAAACTTGGCACAAATGTTCACCATTGTGAGGCTTATTGCACATATAATCCAGGTCCCTACTATCAACGACAAGGTCATATAGAGAGGTCAAAGTTTGTGAATGGGGACTATTTAGTCATCATTAATTTTATTGATGGATTGTATCACAAATGATAACTATCTTAACTAAAAGTGTGACACATGTAATTAACCTTAATATTTGCAAGGTCAGAATCACTAGAGATGATAAAATATCCAGATATTTTCCAGATACTGCCTAGAGCATATCTCCTATATACATATCTATAATGCCCACATCTCTGTCAAAAGCTTCTGTGACAGGCGTATACTGCGACAATGTTGCCCTTGTTTTTTCATTTCTGAAGGATGAAATGGTTAAAGACATACCAATATTTTCTTCATCATAAAACCTCTCCTGTTCAATGTCTGTAGAAAACCTTACACTGTGAGCCAGTAAAGAACAGCAATCAATTTAAAATATATATATAAGTATAAAATTTAGGTGTATAAATACATTGTACAAGTAAAATTGGTACCTTCCTTTTTACCAGTTTGATATACAGTATTTCATTTGTTAACACTGTTACAATTTTAGGACTTTTCTTTCAGTATGGTTGTGTGGTTTCCACATGTGCGGATGGGTCGGTGAAAATGTGGTCACATAAAGGTGTGGAGATCACCACACTGTACGGCCATACACAACGAGCAAATGGATGTGACATATCAGTTAGACTTGTTGACAGAAATCAACAAGGTACAAAAAAATTACTGTAATAAGTTTCTCTAATTATAGAAGAGATAATTGCTGCCTAGGTCATTAAAGGGAAAGCATCTGATTTGTAATCCAGGGTTCATTGGTTCGAACCTCAGGCAGGGCAAAATTTCTTTAGGGACAATTGATCTGGGACACGGAGTCTAATGATCATTTCTCTCTCACTGCTAATTCAGATTAGTAGTCATTCACTTGTGGAGAAATTGGTAAATACTGGTTAGTTATCAAGGACAGCTGGTTTAAGGTGGACTTGCTGCTGAGATATGACCAAAAATGTGTTAAAGTGTACTTAAAAACCAACCAACCATACATACAAAAAATGGTGTAAATGTTGAGTTTATGAATAACAAACCAATTTGTATGCTACAATACAACATAGCTACATAGTTATTCTTATTTTTAAACTTACTTATTCTTTGTCTATTTTGAATACCAGGACTAAGCATACTTTGTGGCATTCTAAGCAGAGACTTTTTTCTGTTCCATGTAAGTCTTAATATACGAATGAGCTAGGTATTTAACATTTTTCTTTCTTTATGTATATAGAAAATTTAAATTTGCTTGTTTGATTTATTAAAAAAACCATTCTTTCAGGTGATGATGGAAGTTGGGGTATGGATGATGAACCACAAGAGAAGATGTTACAACCTAAACTGGAGAATGTTATGGTTGCGACATGTGGGGATGACGGAACTGCTAGGCTCTGGTACCCACTTAAGGTATTTGAAACCTGACTTGTATCTGTATCCTTATTCCCTGGTTCCCTTTTTAGGTTTTGTTATGAAGGAAGAAACTAATAAAAGCAGACACAGTGAATAGTGGTGATCTTTCCCTGCCAGAACGTAAATTATTAAGCTGCAAAATATTGGCCGGAGAAACAACTGTTCTATAACAAATTGATCTTTTTTTTTCCCCTTCATAAAGCCATATAAAGGTTATAGAAACACTCTAACATATGGTCCTAGAACAACCAGTATTATGCAATGAGTGAACAGTTTCTTACTCAATTAACTAATATTACTTGCTCCTGACAGGATTTGAACTAAGGCAACCAGCAATTCAGAGGGTTCTAGTCCAACACATTAACATTTTGGCCACACCACCACTACCTATCCTTTAAATAAGTTAACAAATGAAGTAACCAATGCTAGCAACGATTGAAAAGTTTCTTGCTCATTAAACTAATTTCTTGCCCCTGATGGGGCTTGAATTAACGGACCAGCAATCTTTTGAGCTCGACACATTAAATATTTGGCAATGCGGCCACTACTTATTATTTAAACGAGTTAATAAGGAATGTTCATTTGATACAAATTTTCCATTAATTTCCCATTTTATCATGTAAGCGCCTAAATAATTATTGTTGTTCTGTTCTGAATAGGCAAATGAGCTGGCGTGTCTGACTGGTCATTCAGACAAGGTGTTGTCTGTTGCTTCTGACAACCAAGGTCGTTTGTGTACCTCCTCATTGGACAAGAGCATCAAATTGTGGTCATGTGACAAGGAACCGCAAACTCTGATTGGTGAACACGATGCTCCTGTGACTTTTGTATGCAGCAACAATAGCCAAGGGAAACCAGTTATATTGTCTGGAAGCAGGTGAGTTCATATTTTCTGTTAATTCATATATAAGAGACTTATGTGCTGAATGATTCTTCAATAGTGAAAAAGATGAATGGTTGTTAAAATTGACTCTTCAAAATGAAGATAATAAAAGTGCAAAAAAAAAGTATTACGATTTTATAAAAGCTATATAAATGAGTGGAAATATTTTATTAAACATCTTTTGTATCTTTTAACAAACAATATTTGTTTGTTTTGAGCTTGAAATATTTAATCTTCTGGCTATTTTTGTGTGTGACATATTCATAATCACAGACACATGTGCTATATTGAAATATTAAAACATCTATTATGTTCTGTTTCAGAGATGGTATGATTAAATTGTGGTCATCAACATTTACAAATGGTCAACACAAATACATATGTGTGGCCACATTAAAGGTAAGACTTTTCTCTTTGTTATTTTCATTATGACAATAACTGGGAAAAATGAAAGTACTGTGAATTCACTTGGATTGTCTGTGTGTGCAAAAATGTAATGTGCAAATAACATAATTAAAATAATTGTATAGCAGACCAAATAAGATTTTGTTGGATCTTGATTACAATTCTGATGCATATGATTGATTGATTGATTGATTGATTGAATTATTCATTCATTGCAAAGACATATGTTCATATCTTTCTGAAAGATACTGATAAATTTCTGAAAAATTTTGATTTGATATAGTGTTACCTTAGTGCAGTAACAGGTTAACTCCTATTAAATTATATAAGTGAGTCAATCAATTACTGCACTAAGGTGGCGATATGTTGATAATTTTTTTGACATAGTTATGTAGATATCTAATATTTTATACATGTTATAGGCACATACGAAGGCAGTAACGTGTGGAAGCTGGTCAAGTGATACAACATTTGTGACAGGATCAGATGATGAATGTATTATAACATGGCAGCTGAATGTAGTTAATGGATCTATAGTGAGGTACACAAGGGATTTTTTCAGGGGTTGGAAAGCAGCCCTGCCCTTAATCCTTAATTTTTTTTTTATATTTACAAAACTTGATGTTAATTAAATTTTCAGGGGGGGGGGGGGGCGGGGAATTGAATAATTTTAAGGAATTTTTCTTTTTTCTTTGAGGTAGCCGCCCTTAGACAGCCCCTGCTATGGAAGAAAAAAGAAGACCTGTATGTAATGTTTAATCTTTCAAGTCTTAAACCAGCTGGGTATCAAAAGTGATAAGTCATGGCTAACAGTATCTGACTAAGCATTATACAAATGTACTGTTGGCTGACTGACTTCCGTTTTTATTTTGATATCCCATAAAAATTAATAATGGACAGTTTCAAAAATGGAATTTGGACAAGTCCATTTAATTAATTCAGCAGTTTAAGTGTAAAGACAAAAACTTGAAAAAGATATTTGATTGGCATTTGTTTTTTTGGTTTATGTCTTAGTGTTAAATCTGTCAGGAGGGTGTTTGGTACTTTTTTAATTACCTTTCAGAAGGTCAGTAATTCTAACTAGGTGTTGTTTGTGACTGAAATAAAGGTGTAGAGGAATAGCTGAGGCTGTAATTGACAGAGAAAATGTCATGTGACCTTACATTATTATTGATGTGACATTTTACTCAATTTTCCATATAAAAAAAAATTTAAGATTGGTTTATTGTGACATTTCAGTGCAAGTAAAAGGAACACATTGAAGACCGAGTCACCAGTTCTCAGTCTGGACACATGGAATTATGGAGCAGATAAGTTGATCTGCTCAACAGAATGGTCAGGAGTGATCAAATTATGGGATTCAAAACTAATTGCGGCCAAACAGACAGATTATGAGTGAGTTATTCATTTTGAATGTCAAAATAAATGATTCTGAGTGAGTTATTAATTTTGAATGTCAAAATAACTGATTCTGAGTGAGTTATTCATTTTGAATGTCAAAACTGATTATGAGTGAGTTGTTCGATTTGAATGTCAAAATAACTGATTTTGAGTAAGTTACCGTATAAGTGTTTTTTCCTGCAGGCTCAAAATTCTGCGTTTTTTCTGAATTTTGGCATGTTTTTATTTCTGCGGACTTTATTTCTGCGGCACATTCTTTGGACAAAACGTGATTTAAATTCTGCGACTCGTCTATCAAAGACACCTATCTATTATATTTGCATGTACACGTTCGCATTTGTTTATCGTTGTCACCGCAAAAACTGTATAGTAATTATAAACAATTTTTTTGTTTGCTTGCAAACAAATATAATGCGCAACAATAGAAAGGTATACATCTTTGATCAGCGTGAAATGAAGTGTGAAAAATATACCCCGTTAGTATCTTTAATTTAATAAAATTGATAGAAGTATACCGTAAATCAGATGACAATTAAAGTATATAACGATTATTTAGCAGTATAAGGGTTGGAATGGTTTGAAATATCTTTATTCTTTAATTAGCATAATTAACAATAGGTACATCCTTACAAACACAGATTACATACTTAGGCTACAGCAATTTTATACAACTCGAAAACCGGCTAACCGTTATAATCCGTTAGTCGTTATTACTTTAGACGAAACAGGTTACAATGTAGGATACATATCGTAGCAGGTAAAAGAAATGTTCTGCGGTTTTTATTTCTTTGGTGCTGAAACTGACCGCAGAAAACACAGAAATAAAGTCACCGCAGAAAAAAACACTTATACGGTATTAATTTTGAATGTCAAAATAACTGATTTTGAGTGAGTTATTCATTTTGAATGTCAAAATAACTGATTTTGAGTGAGTTAATCAATTTGAATGTCAAAATAATTGATTTTGAGTGAGTTATTCATTTTCAATGTCAAAAGAACGTGGGTGGATGTAAGACAGGTTTTTGTAGCACTGGTGTAAACAGTACATGTATATAATCCTGTTTGATACGCAAGAAAAGATTATCACATGCCGCTATCTAGTCAAATACTTATGAACTATTTTTACTATATTTTCATAAATAACTTGCCATGCTTTATATTTGCAACTGTATGTAGTATTAGTTAACAAGATTCCAATATTTGTATTTCTACATTATTTTTTTCAAGACTTAACAATTTAATACTGTATGATAACCATACTGTGAATCAAAGTATGATTATATTTTTATTAACAGCCAGTCATCATGGTTACTAAAGGTGAAATGGGAGCAGCATAACAGGATCACAGTCATGACAATGAGTGGCAGTGTTCTTTATGTGTCTTTGGTAAGTCTTGTTAATATATTTACAAAAATATTAAGCGTGGTGGGGTGGTTAACGCTTTGGACTAGTAATCTAAGGATTGCTGACCAACTGGCTCAGGGGCAAGCAGTTGTTTCCTTGAGCCCAAGAAACTCATTGCTTAGTACTGGTTGATTCCAGGAACGGATTCCAGAGTGTTTCAGTAAGCTTATAGCTTCCTTTACATTCAAACTAAAATAAATTTGTATAAACTAACAGTGATATTATCGCTTAATAAAATCACTGTTTGGAATTTGGATGCGAGAAATTATATCATGAGGACGTCATATGTCTATAAATAGATTGTCATGGCAATGTGTAACTGTTTAATCAAATACTTCATCAAACATCAATCAAGCAGTTATACTGGCAGCCTTTGTTACTAACTGACCAACCATTAAAAGAAAAATAAATTTTGAAAATAATTTTCAATGACTTAGATTGATACATAGTTTATCATTAAATTACTTATTTTAACATTCTATCCTCAAAGCTGCTTATTATTTGTCTGTCATTTATTTACTATTAAAACTTTACTATTCCGTAAACTTTCAAGGGTATATTATATGATTTACAGGATAGACAACTTTAAGTTGTTGCAACTTTGAATGTTCAGAGGGTTTCTATTTACATGCATCATTAAATTTTCATTTTCTCAGAGGGATATCAATTATTGTTATATTTTCATTTTCTCAAAAAAATATCAGTTACTGTTATGTTTTCTTTTTCTCAGAGGGATACCAATAATTGTTATATTTTTTGTTTTCTAGAAGGAAAAGAATGGCAGGATTGCTGATTTCAGAGACATAAGAACTGTCAGTGTTAAAGATGATGAAAACTCTATACCAAAAAACATACCTGCTCACAAACTTGGGGGCAAGTGGATAACTGATGTTACATCTGTTGGAGGGTCACAGATTATCGTAGATACAAGGGGACAGGTTAACTGTACCAGCTCTCCCACAGAACCCCAATACTGTGTGAAGGTAAGTTTTAACCCTGAGCATGTTAAATATCTTAAATGGAATAGTCCATCTTTGAATCTGGACAAAAAGCATTCATCATTTTTAGGGAAAATTTAAAAATATTTAGTGATTAAAATATTGATCAGTACAGGCAGTGATCAGATGGCAGGGATGAGATGGCTGATCTTGGTCTGCACTGGTCACATGGATAGAATCTGTTTTGGTCAGCAGGGAAAATGTTAACATTACTAGTATATGTTTGAATCTGCACTGGTCAAATGGGTAGAATCTAATGCAGTGATTCACATTACTTTAGTATAGTATACATGTATGTTTGAAATAATGTTATGGTGAAATATCAAGGTCATTGATGTTCAGTCTCTTTCCTGGTATTTATTGCTTTAAACATATTTATTTAAGCTTGATTGCTAAGTTCTTGCAACTAATATTGATCGCATTCAAGTCTGCTTCCTGGAACCAACCAGTACTGGTATCATATGTAAGTACTGGTGGCTTATGAAGTAACATGGTTATGTCCCAATTAGGGCAGACACCTTAACCACTAGGCCACCGCTCCCCTTTGGTATTTACTAAAGTGTATTTCATAAATTAACCAGAATGAGGCATGCCCTATTAATACAAAAGGACAATAGTTATGTGTTTGAATCTTCCTACCAGTTGTGAAATAGTTATGATATACTTAAGTAAATTATTGGGATACCATATGCATTTGTTGTTTCTGGATTTTTGTTTTGTTAGCTCTACAAACAATAAAGGAAAACAGTAAATTTTCTATAGAGAATTCAATTTTTTTATTAATAAATTATATTCACTTTTGTAGGTGCATGCTTTAGAGATTACCTGTGTGGCTACAGGTCAAGGTTACATCTTCACTGCATCTAAAGATAAAACCATCAAAGTCTGGGACAGGAATATGAAACAGGTAAAATTGTTGTATTTTTTACATCTGAAGATAATACATTTCTATTATTGTGATACCCATTTAACTATTCTTTTGATACCAACTTAGAGTAAGGATCAGGTTTACTGTGGTTTTCACTCTCTGATTTGGGTATGTAACCCAATAGAGATGCTTTAAGAGACAGTGGCAAAGATGCTTGACAATCAATCATTTAACCATTTCTTCTCTAAGGAGAGTATCCCAATCAATTATGCACAGTCAGTGGTCCTACTAAAATGCCTGAAATAATATTTAGATAGTTATGCAAGGTCAGTGGTCCTACTAAAGTTCCTGAAATAATGAAGGGGTGTACAGAGCCTAGCTGTTCTAGTCATTTTGAGAGATAGACTTTAAACAGGCTGCTGGCTTTGCTCAATAGGGAGAGCGTCAGATTTGTAGGTTGCTGGTTCAATCCTAGGGCGAGGCAGAATTTCTCTGATACAATTGATCTCTGATAGTGAGTCTAGTGATTTTTTGTCCCTAGTAGGATTAGTGGTCTGTCATGTATTACTGGATAATTATTTTGTAAAGCCGATTAGGTAAACAGACCATCCAGAGTTGACTAAATATTTGGTAAAATTCGGTATAATGTAATAACCAAACTGTACTTCTGTCCTTGAGTTTCGATTTTGTTCAATTGAAGACCATATATCAAACTCCTTTTATCCACTACTATCGCAAGCATTTTTCTAGTAGGGATACATCGTAATCTAAAAGCCTTTAACTACTGCAGTGTATAACTGAAATACATGTACTGTAAAAAAAATGGAGAGAAACACAAAATTGAGCCGCGTCACGACAAAACCAACATAATGGGTTTGCGACCAGCATGGATCCAGACCAGCCTGCGCATCCGAGCAGTCTGATCAGGATCCATGTTGTTCGCTTACAAACCCTATTACAAGTAGAGAAACTGATAGCGAACAGCATGGATCCTGATCAGACTGCGCGGATGCGCAGGCTAGTCTGGATCCATGCTGGTCGCAAAACCATTATGTTGGTTTTGTCATGGCGTGGCTCAAATAATGAAAATGAGCCAAAACTTTTAGAGAAAAAACAACTAAAGTGTTTTTTCTTTTATGTTTATTCTGTAATTGTATTACATTACAGGTGGGTCAGTTTTTCTGTACGTCACCAGTTACATCAATGATGGTTATTGATGACTCCACCCCACAGCGTGTACCGATTGTGTTTGGTGATGAACTTGGATTTGTTAATTATCTTACATGGACCTGTTGCTAGGCAACATAATCAAAGATGTTGTAAATAGAACATTTTTTAAAAAAATTTAAAAATACTAGAAAATATATGTCAGTGTGACCAAGTGGGTAAAAATAAAATTTGTACAATACACGAGTATTTATAAAAAAAATAGCACTTCTGTGCAAATATAAAAATATCATTGCGTAGGAATATTACAAAGTAATAAAGAAGTTCTCAATGTGTAAGTATGAACTTTAGTGGAAGAATGATAGAAAATTCATTATTAGTTGTACCATATTTAAATTATTGTGAAAAAAAGATTGAAACCAAAAAAAAGTTCCAGACATAGATAAAAAAAACCATTTTGTGTGAACTTCATTTATGTGAACTGAAAGAGTATGACCAACAAATAAAGGTAGTTCTCACTTGGCATAAATGTCACATTGAAATAAAAGGCACCATGCGAGTGTTAAAAATCATAAAACGTCATGGTGAAGTATTCTATACTTTCTTGAATGTGTGATGCAAGGTTTTGTGATTAAAGTACCTCATGTGGTACCTGGTACGCTTTACCCATAGGTTAGCTTATGATTTTTTTCTATACAATTTTTTTCAGCACTATTTATATGTAAGCCTCAGTCATTTAGTAGAGCTCTGTTAATAAAAAAAAAAGAAGAAGAATTTTGTTTCAATAATATTGTTGATGTATATTAATAGATATGCATGTGTGTGTGTATGTACATTCAGTATGCCCAGTATTCTGTGAAATGAGACCATTATGTTTTTGTTGCTCTATATTAGTGAGGAAGTTTCTTTACATTTGAGAGGGCATATTGACTTCTGTATTTGAGCTAGGGAGTAGTATTATATTTGAGACAGCAAAAAGCTGTTTTGAGAGAGGGAGTAGCATTTGCTATATTTGAGAGGGAATATTAGTTATTATATTTGAGAGTGCAACAGACTTCTATACTCGAGAGGTAGTAGCAATTGCTTTATTTGAGAGGAAGTGTTAATTTATTATTACTGTGCTATATATATATGCGAGAGGGAATATTATTTTATGATATTTTGGAGAGTTTATGTAATTTCTTGTTTGAGAAAGGGTATTCTTTAATCTTGAGAAATATCAGTGTTTATAATTGTGTATATTTCTTATCTACTATTGTATAAATGCAGAGTATGCATCATAATTTTATTATATTATGTCATAACTTTTATTCTATGTGTATTACCTTTTGTAATTGTTGTATTTTGTTTTGTGGTTAGGTAGAATGAGATAGTAATTTTGGTTAATCTCATGTTCTTACAGTGCAAATGAATTTAATTTCTGTAAAAATTTGGGTTGGTTATTGTTAAAATACCTTACTTGATTACATTTTGTAGTAATAAATGAGTATGTGATGTTTTATAAGTAAATGTATTTAAGCAAGTCCTGTTTTCTTTGAGTGGGTCATGTTTTATTAGTAAATGTATTTGAGTGGTTTGTTGATTTTTTTTAGTAAATGTATTCGAGTGGTTTGTTGATTTTTTGAGTAAATGTATTTGAGTGGTTTGTTGATTTTTTTAGTAAATGTATTTGAGTGGTTTGTTGATTTTTTTAGTAAAAGTATTTGAGTGGTTTGTGGATTTTATTAGTAAATGTATTTGAGTGGTTTGTTGATTTTATTATTAATTGTTTTTGAGTGGTTCATGTTTTAATTAGTAAATGTATTTGAGTGGTTCATGTTTATTTGATTGATTCATAGTGGTTCATATTTTATAGTAAATGAATTTAAAACATTAGTTTGCAAATTGATTTTTTAAAAAGATTTTTCCAATATTGTTTTGTTTTTTGTTACCATGTATGGATAAGTTCTTGTTTACAGTTATGAATGATATTTAGATACTTTTTTGTTCTTGATTGTCATTTAGTAAGGGACTTTTCAATGATTGGATTCTTTCTCCTGAAATTCTACATACTAGTTTAGTGTATGTAGACGATATAAGTAACTATAGATGTATTACTATATAGATTAAACATATCTCCTGTTATAACAAACATTTAAAAAAAAAAATTAAAAAACAATCACTGCCATGTTATACTGATTGTATGTATAAAATATGATAAAATAGTTACCTCAAATTCCCACAGTGCAGGGGTCACACTGTCGTTGTTTTGAAATTAAGAGCTCATATTATGAGGAAAATGATAATCAATCACCATGTGTTTAGGGTAAGTGAAAATTATTTTTTTCTATATTAAGACTTTTTATTTTGTTTTGGATTGATTAGAACATACAAGTTCATCAAGGGTTGGTATTATAGTGTGATTGAGATCAATCAATACTACACAAAATGTATTACTCCGCAGGTACAAACAAAAAATAGATTTTTAGTTTTTGCAAGATTTTTTAATATTCCATTGAATAAATGATTTTATTATGAAGTTTAACATTATTATTTTGATAGAGAAAAACCGTATTTTGAATATTAGAAAACTAAAATTTCCAGTTTCAGAATTGGAGACTGGAAATAAGACTGGAAATGCAAATTAAGGGGACATAATTGAAAATTCAAAAAAAGGGGATATTTAACTGAAAATATACATGGTTACAACATTATTACAAATATATTTATATTAATTTAATTGTTATGATATTCAAGTAGACAATGAGATTTTGCATTGAGTGATTGATCTGTTTTTGGCAGAGTACAATGTATATAATTTTTTTACAGTTATTTTTTGGTTCATTACAAACAATGACAAAGATGTTGGTTTTATATTTTTTATTCTCTTCATTCATTCCATATATGTAACACCAAAACAATGGGATGATTATAATGAAAGTGATTTTAAAACACAAAACTTAACAGGGTACTTGCTTGTTAATAGAAAATATCTTTTAGGATGTATCAATGTGTTAGTATTTTTCATTTACATTTTCCACTTGTTCTTAATCTGTGATATTTCTTATAGAATTTTTTTTCCATAGTTTTCAAATGGCTAAAACACTTTTTGATATTTATAGTTATGCACCATGTGTAAGAAAATTGTCATAACACCGAGCGTATATGTCAAAATTAGACATATCCGGAACAAAGACGTGCAATCTTTGTTGATCAAAGCATCGAGTTTTTGTTCTCTCGGTCATCCATTTGCATAAATCAAGTGCAATATTTCGCTTTTGATACAATTTTTGATAACGTTATTTATTATTATTCTTTTGTTAAACAATTTTGAAATAAAAATATCAAATAAAATCTGTTCTTATTCAATGCTGATCGTGGTGAAGGCCATATGAGCGGCGTCATGACAAAACCAACATAATGGATTTGCGACCAACATGGATCCAGACAAGCCTGCGCATCCGCCCAGTCTGATCAGGATCCATGATGTTCGCTTACCAACCCTATTACAAGTAGAGAAACTGATAGCAAACAGCATGGACCCAGATCAGACTGCGCGGATGCGCAGGCTGGTCTGGATCCATGCTGGTCGCAAACTCACTATGTTGGTTTTTTTGTGAGGAGGCTCAATTATGTGTAGCAGAAATTTGAAGATTTTGTACATTTCCTTTACATAGTCTTCACATGTTGTTTTCTTTAACCATGTTTCTTTTTTTAAAGCCGGTCATGGTATATTATTCAACCGTTACTAAAACCTTCAATAAAATTGCCTATTTTTCAATCTGAACAAAAACTTTTATTACTTTAAGGGAAAGTTACAAAATAAGTACCGACTGAAAAGCAATCAGTTACAGACTTTGATCACTTTAAAATGATGTGTGGGCTGACCTTGGACGGCACTGGTCACATGGGTTAGATTCAGCCACTGGCAGCAGACAAAAGGTTAAATAATTTAGTGATCATACATCATTAAGGTAATAGCAAACACCTGTTTTAACACTTCCGGTCAGATTAAAACTTAAAACTTTAGACCTGAAGTTAGCCTTTGACCTCAAGTATAGGGATCTTAGTATCATGTATGTCATTAAAGTACATGGTAACACTTCCATCAAGACAGAAAAGACATGCTTTAAATGCAAACACATTACATTCACTAAACATTCACAAAAAAAGCTAGAATATTGAAATATATCACACGTATATCAACATATACATATATATCACATGTTTATCAAGGTATTAAAATTTCTTATATAACAAGAAAGACAAGTCAACTTTCAATCATTTTCCATTTCATCGTCGTCATCATCATCATCGTCTTCAGACGTGACATCTTCATCATCAGCTTGTGACAGACATTTTGGACATGCACAGGTAAACAGGTAATTTTCTCTGAAATAAGCAAGTTCATAAACATAAAGTTCAGTTAAGAACCAAAATTTCTTCCTGAAGCTGTGAATAAATTTCATTTATAGGCTATGTGTCTTTTGTGCGAATGAAATCTCTTTAAAATCATATCCTTACTGTTGCTGCTACACTTTGCAGCGAAGAGTAAAGAAGCCAAAACGACGATCTTACTGGGATTGGTTAAAATGAATACAATAATTTTGCTGATGGCACTGTTTTTGTTTGTTTTGGGTTTTACGTCACATCGACACAGTATAGGTCATATCGCGACATTCCAGTTTTACTGGTGGAGGAAGACGTCAGGTGCCCTTCCGTGCATTATTTCAGGCACAAACGGGCACCTGAGTAGAACCACCGACGTTCCGTAAGCTAGCTGGATAGCTTCCTCGCATGAAAGAATCCAAAGTCCCTGTCAGGATTCGAACCTACAGCGGTGAGGGGCAAGTGGTTTAAAGTCAACGACCTTAACCACTCGGCCACGGACACACTAATTAATTATTTCTTTAAAACCATGCCTGTAAAAATGACACTTCATTATTAACAGGTTAAATAATTCCAATAACAAATCATACAATTACATTGCGCTGCTTAAAAGTCATAATTATGGGAACATTCCAGCTTTACTGATGAAGGACGATCTCAACTACCTCTCCGTGCATTATGTAAGGGTAATGCTCTAACCCATTTGTTAGCTAGCTGGACAGCATCTATTAAGAAACATCTATGAAAGGATCCCAATACACAACAACCCATGACAAGTGATTTGAAGTCAGTGGTAGGAAATATATATGCTACATACACATAATATGTAACTATCCCTTCTATTACAGACAATAAGTGTCAATACCCATTAAATTTTTTAAAGCTGCACACCTCTAGATTCATGTGAATTTTCATGAAAATTTTGAAAATGTATTTAAAAGTAAAATATTGTGAAAAGAACAAACTAAGACAGTAATTTCCACATTGCAAACAGGCCTTACAATCAAAGTAAATTAACAAAAAATAGGTCAAAATATGCAAAAATAAGTAACAAATTAGAAATATGCAAAATTGGTCATTAATCGCATGACTGTAAATTATTAATTGAATCTTTGATCTTTTTCCCTTTCTTAAAATCTTAGTACATTTTTCTCAAGTTTGACTTTCTTGAAATGAGCTGCATCACGACAAAACCAACATAGTGCGTTTGCGACCAGCATGGATCCAGACCAGCCTGCGCATCCGCCCAGTCTGATCAGGATCCATGCTGTTCGCTTACCAACTCTATTACAAGTAGAGAAACTGATAGCAAACAGCATGGATCCTGATCAGACTGCCCGGATGGGCAGGCTTGTGTCAAAAATTGCATATAACATGTAAATTATTACTTGAATCTTGGACCTTTTTCCCTTTCTTAAAATCTTCGTACATTTTTCTCAAGTTTGACTTTCTTGAAATATTTTTGGTTTATCTAGAAGCATGCAGCTTTTCATAATACAGCAAACTTCCTTTTTAGAGGAAAAAAAGTCATAAATTGACAGCAGCCGTGTATATAAAACCATATAATTGTCACAATTATCCAATGAAAAGCGTCATTACAAAGGTTAAGTATTACTATATAATATATTAATACCTCAATATTTTCTGTCTGCTATGTCTACTCCGCTCCTTGGCACAGCCATCTAGGTAACTTATACATATCTCCTACAATTATATATTCTTGAAAGTGAGTAAAGAATTCAAAGATTTCATTTCTTTCCTAGGATCAGAAAATTTAGGTGCGAACAACATTTTATTGACATATGGTGAATGCGATTTCAATCTATTTTAAAGTTACCTTCCTTGTTCAATTCTAGTGGAGGGAGTAAAGGGGAGCTGTGGCCTAGTGGTTAAGGTGTCTGTCTCTCAACCCAGGGATCATGGGTTCGAGCCTAAATTGGATTAAGACCATTTTTCTTCATACGACATCAGTTCTGGTTTGTTCCAGGAAGCGGGCTCAAAAGTTTTTAATATAAGTTGCAAGAACTTGTTTCGCAATCAAGCTTAAAAATTATATTTAAACCAAATAAGGTGGCAAGAAATGAGGATCTGGTGTAACTTCAGAATGGAGAATTAACGCATATTCCATGTTCTTTAAAATACATACAGTGCCTTACTTTCAATCTGGCTGCTCAAATTGGTCCAATGTGACATTGTCTGTTTTTTATAGTAAAACACGGGGCATTAAAGGGACTCCATTGAGATTTTTTTTTAAAATGACAAAGCTGAAAATATTTTCTGAGGTTTCAGTACCAATTGATTTAGGTCTTATCCAATAACTTGAGTGCAAATTTTTAGCTTGTTCCCTCCATTTCTCTATAATTCAGCTAATAAAATTGCATATAACACTGATTTTCAGTTTAATTCTGAGTATATTTCTTTGTTATCCTTTGGGGTTTTTCCAATTTTAAGTGATTCTTTTGATATTTGTAAATTTTCAAAATTATATCTTTTTATGTCTTTAGACCGCAGTGGAATTCCTTCAAGTTCATAATGCCAGTAAAATCAGTGCAAATATTCTCACCCCAAAGTCATGTATAATTGATATCTCAAATAAATACCTTGGCAACAGAACTTGCATGTAAAAATTAAGCAGCAATTTCCCAATATACACAAAACCTTGCGTAAATTCAACAAACGATAATCCCATTATTCTTCTGATAGTGGAGTTGAAAAAAATAAGTAAAGGACAGGTATTAATGTACAAGAAAACATTACGAAAGTATCACCTGTTCTGCATCTATATCTTCTAATGCCACCAATGACAAGGTGTGGTTATGTTTGTTAAATTCTATCTCTGCATTAGGCGAACAACTGTGATTACCTGTGTATGAAATTTGTGTTAAATTAGTACTGCACTTATGTTAAACAAGAACTTGTTGAACAGGGTGATGCTCCCCAAAAAGGTTTTGGACACAGTAAAGTATAAAAAAAAAAATGAACAAAGGGCAAAAAACTCCAAAATTAGGCAAGGCAGAGTTATGGTTTTTTGCACTGCACTTCTATTTAATGAGATCTATCTATCTATAAAGTTTTGTGATGATATCTCTTATAGTTTCAGAGTTATGTCCCAGGTAAAATTCAAAGTGTAAAAATGAACAAAGGGCAATAACTCCAAAATTAGACAAGGCTGTGTTTAGGTTCTTTAGCATTGCAGTTCTATCCAATGAGATCTATCTGCCTACAAATTTCATGTTGATATCTCTTACTGTCGTGGACAAAGTTCAAAGTGTCAAAATGAACAAAGTGTAAAAATAAACAAAGGGCATTTCAAAAATTAGGCACGGCAGAGTTACGGTTCTTGTGCATTGAAAACCTACTCAATGAGATCTATCTACCTACAAAGTTTCATGCTGATATCTCTAATAGTTTTAGAGTTATGTCCCGGACAAATTTCAAAGTGTAAAAATAAACAAAAGGCAATAATTCAAAAATTAGGCAAGGCAGAGTTATGGTTCTTGTACCCTGCACACCTACTCAATGAGATCTATCTACCTACAAAGTTTCATGTTGATACCTCTTGTTGTTTCAAAGTTATGTCCCGGACAAGAAAAGCTGATAGACGGAGGGACGGACAAAGCGGCGACTATATGCTCACCCTTCGGGGAGCATAAAAACAGACATGCTATTTTTATAACAGCTATGTCTTTGTTTATAAATTTTTATTATACAGCTTACTAGTATACAGTGTAACTTCTGAATTCCGGAAACTTCTGAAATTAGAATTTAAGGATTATAAGTTTGTTTAATAAACTTTTTAAGAATCCTCAAATTCAATCATTTTGTTAATTTTATCAGCATCATATAATTTCCATCTTGTCTAAAACAGCTGAAGTTTCATGTTTCTACTTGTTCAGATAATACCAAGCTTCTAAATTCCGAAAACTTAAAAAAATAAAAATCAAACTTTTTGGCTAGTCCCAGGTGTTTATTTTCAGAAGTTATACTATATGAATATTGAAACAAGAGCTTTTTTCTTGTCACTAGGGCAATTTTGTATCGATGTATCGAGAGACAAATATTGACGACATATCAATATATCGAATTAAACAGTACATAAAATGAAAAACATTTTAATACATGTATGTAAAAAGATATTTAAATATTTAAATTAGGATCATGGTGTTATGCATGCTTGTATTAAACATTACAAATACTAAAAACTAACAGAAAGTTTGCTGTTTGTTATTTTCGTCACTGACATTTCAAAACAGAGTTTAAAGTTCAAGTTAGCCAAGAAAACTGGAAAATAGTGACACAAACAGAAATAAATAAATTTGAGCTTGTATCGATATTTGAAAATGTGTATCGATATTGTATCGGATGATGAATATCGATGATATATCGATATCGCGATAATCAATGACAGCCCTACTTGTCACTAAATTTACGGAGCTGTATTAAACAGTTTAGGTACAAAATTTCTGATATTTTCAACCTTATCATTCTAACCACTCTTCATACCTTCTTATTATGCATATGTTCAATCAAGTGCACTATTATGTATGCACTAAATAATGAAAGGAATGATTACATAATACAAGACGTCAGATGAGACATCAATTAACCAATCACATCTTGAAAAGTTAATTCTATACTCAAAATAGTTCAACATACTTTTTATAGATTTTTTTTCTTTTTTTGCATTTAGCAAGTAAAAATGGAAAATAATCTCATTTTCGTTGTAGTACAAAAATGCAAGGTTACATTTGTTAAAATGTTTTATAATTAATCACTAATGTGAAAAAAAGTTCTGAATCTATGTTTGGGAAAAGAAATTGAACACTTACATGCACTTTGTAATTTGTATAAACCAGCCCCTTCACAGTTCAAAAATGTGTCCGACACTGAAAACAAAATAACACAGTAAATTAACATTTCAAAGTGAAACTAATATATGTAGATAAAACTGCGCTACAGATAAATTCACAGATTAAAACCAGGCACAGAAAACAAGCAACTACCCGCTGCACCCTTAATGATATACAAAATAACATTGGTTACTTATAAAGTATACTATAATCATTATGAATTATAGTGTTGGAATAGTGCCTTAAGAGTCTGCTTTTAAACCCAGGGACGATGGGCTCAAGCCCTACTGGGGCCATGGTCATGTTTCCTCATATGATACCAGGATCTGAGGTTATTAAGAAATTCTCTAAGCTTTAACTCAAGATCTCCGGATTTAGAAATTTGATTGGTCAGAAATCAGCACAGTAATGCAAACTGAACAAAGAAAATCCAGAGATTCAAGACAGAACTAAATAAAACAAGAGCACCACTAGGCGGAGCATTATATGCCCGAAAGTGATTTTTTTTTTAGTAAAGAGGGGTCTTCTGCCCAATATAGACAATCATCCTATGAAGTTTGAACACAGTGGGCCAAATGGAACTTAAGTTATGCTCCGGAAACTGTTTCCAGTTTTAAGGTAATAGTGACCTTGACCTTTGACCTTGTGACCCCAAAATCAATAGGGGTCTTCTACCCAATATGGACAATCATCCAATGAAGTTTGAACATTGTGGGCCAAATCTTGAAATGGGACTTAAGTTATGCTCCGGAAACTGTTTTCAGTTTTAAGGTCATAGTGACCTAGACCTTGTGACCCCAAAATCAATAGGGGTCTTCTACCCAATATGGACAATCATCCAATGAAGTTTGAACACTGTGGGCCAAATGGGACTTAAGTTATGCTCCGGAAACTGTTTTCAGTTTTAAGGTCAGTGACCTTGACCTTTGACCTTGTGACCCCAAAATCAATAGGGGTCTTCTACCCAATATGGACAATCACCCTATGAAGTTTGAATATTGTGGGCCAAATGGAACTTAAGTTATGCTCCGGAAACCAAATTGCTAACAGACGGACAGACGTTCTTACCAGAGCTACATTATGGGGTTTTCTTTTGTTATTTCTTTTGTTCTTTTTAACCCCACAATGCAGAAAAAAAACGCACAAGAGAAACGGAATGAATTTCATCAAAGACATCTATTGTTATGAGAACAATAGACCAAACCCCATAATGTAGCTCTGATTTGTACGGACAGACGGACGGACGCCAGGGGGTATAACATAATATGCCCGAAAATTTTTCGGGCATATAAAAATGGTGGTAGTGTTGGGGCCAGATCTTGCTTCTTTCAGGAAACAGGCTCAACACTGAGCTATATTCATATAAGCTTTAAGCGCTTTCTCCTCAATCAAGCTTAATTAAATAAACAATTGAATGAAAACTTATCAATATTGTTACCTCTCTCTAGGTCATCATACAGCTGATCTATAAACTTGTCAAGTGTATCTTTCTCGTCTTCTCCTATCTCTAAATCATCACAGTTCTTACACCATACACTGATTGAGCTGTCAAAAAAAAAAAAACACAGAACAAAAATGACACATAATAATAACACAAAGTAAAATAAAATGTGGTGCATTCACATCCAACAGACAAACACTGGTAAAACTGACTGATAGATGTGCTCTGAATCTCCTCCCATAATAAGGTCTTAATCAGGTAGAAAGGGGTAGTCTTTTTTTTTCTTCTCTTTTTTTTGGTGTGTGTGTGGGGGGGAGAAGATTTTACTCTTTAGCTTTACTGATGAAGGAAGACCTAAGGCCTAAGACCTCTGTGCATTATTTCTGGCACAAACTGGCACCTGAGTAGAACCACTGACATTCAGAAAGCTAGCTAGACAGCTTCCTTACACAAAAGTATTTAAAGTCTCTTGCTGGATTTGAAACAACAGCAGTGTGGGGAAAGTAGTTTAAAGTCAATGACGTTAACCATTAAGCCACAGCCACCCTTAATAAGGACTTAATTGGGTAGAAAGGAGAAGTCTGCTTACAGACTGAAGAAAAATAGTCTATTACAAAGAGATTACTTCCCTATGTGAAGGATAATAAAACCAATGCTTATATGGCCAATTTCACACTGCAGGTTTAGTCAGTTTACCTTGGAACAGGCACTTCATTTCATAGCCCTTAATTTTATTTCAAGATAAAATATATAAACAATGTTTTAGTTTTAGTGATATGCTCAAGACAATCTATCACTATATTATAATTTTATTACCTGGAGCCAATCCCTTGTTGATTGGTTCCCAGCAAAGCAAATATTGACCTAAAACCGTCCGCAGTCAGCCACTGTAATACAACAAACAATTTTAACTATCACAATTGTACAAATTTATCTCAAAAGTTTCTATCCGTGGCTTGAACCTACAGCGGTGTAATATAACATACGCACAGTACAGTATGAGAAAAATAAAATAAACAAGGGGTTTGAAGTCAATGACCTTAACAGAAATCCCCGTCACTGTCACATGACTTAGTCCTAGTTTGAAAATTTTTTTATTAAAAGTGTAAGGGATAACGGTATCAAAATACTAAAAGTGAGGAACCAACAGTTAGGTAGGATCAAACTGGTGGTATTTGCCTGTTATTATCTTCTTAAGCACTCAAAGGTAATTCATCCACAGCCTAATCTGGAAGTCTCATGAAGATTTAATTATCCAGAATAACATTAACTCTATTCCAAATTGATAATACCTGTTGTATTTTGTCATCATAGAAATATTCTGACACCATACTGCGTAACAACTCCAACTGCTCCTGTAATTTACAAAATATGCAATTCTTACATCAGTTGAAAATCAATAGTAAATCCTTCAATATATATCTTTTGTGATAAAGTGAAGGGAATGGGAAAATAACGTGTCAGGTGTGTGCTATTTTAAAGGGTTGTATCTCTAAACAACGTGACGTGACGTATCATTCAATATGCACACATTGTAAACAGCTGTATGACCAGAGATTTATAATACCAACTTTTATAAAAACTTTAAGAATAGATTACAATTGAGTTTTTACAACCTTGCAGCATACGTATTAGATAGTTGTAGTAGCCATAATATACCTGAAATTGTTTGCCTAACAGTTTATGGACAGCATGCTCCTCCTCGTTAACTGTAACTTGTACAAACTGGCTGAAACTAGTTAAAACAGAAGTTGGATCTTCCGCCTGGAAAATAACATTTAAATATTAAGAAAAACATCATTAAAGCACCAACTTTGGAGACTGTTTTAAACCTTGGACAGAAAAGTTGAACCTTTCTATTATTCACGTACATTTATGATTATTATATTTTTTAAAGGCCAAAACTACACTGTCATTTACTGAACTGAACAGAACATACCCTTTATTCTCTCATGTACATAAGTATAGTATGAGGAAAACAAAACTCAAATCCTCAAGTGTAAATGAAATTATATACTGCAAAGTATTCTTATTTTCATCTTGCTATCAAAAGTAGAACATATTTAGCTTTTTAAGCAATTAACATTTCATAATGTTTCTAACATCACATACCATCTATTTTTGTAACAATGAGAACAACAAGTTTACTGCCGATATCTGTGGAATGTTTTCCGGGCTACGTTTCATAGAAAGTTTCCTAAGTGTATCCTATGGACCAACTTTAGGACAAACTCAATGAATATTTTTATCTTTAGTCAAAGACTTGGACTTCAATTAATTTCAATTTCCTGAGAAAAGTTGAGAGATACAATGGCACACGCTTTAACGCACACTCGCTTCATGCTTATCTACATGGCTATTAAGAAATTAGCCGCGTCACAACAAAAACCAACATAATGGGTTTGCGACCAGAATGGATCCAGACCAGCCTGCGCATCCGGTGCAGTCTGATCAGGATCCATGGCTGTGCGCTATCAGTTTCTCTACTTGTTTATTAGGGTTGTAAGCGAACAGTATGGATCCTGATCAGACTGCGCGGATGCTCAGGCTGGTCTGGATCCATGCTGGTCGCAAACCCATTATGTTGGTTTTGTCGTGACACGGCTCATTTTATTTAAAACACAAAACTGTCTCAATTTTAGTCTTAAGACTGATTTTAGACGTAGGACTTTCAATGAAACACAACGCAGAGGTGTATTCACTTAGCTACTAAGGGGGTGTAAAGAAAATATTAAATGAATTAAAAATTGATGCCATATTCACATACCCTCAAATACAGAATTTAACAAATTTTCATTGTCATTTAAAAAAACCCGTTGCCCCGATAATTTACTAAGATTGTCATTAAAAAAATATTTTACATGGTTTAAACCCTAGATTGATTTTAAAAAAACCCCATTTTAACCTGGTTTTAAACCATAGATTTTCATTTTTAAAAAACATTTGACCCTAGGGTTTAATCATATTGTCATTTTAAAAAAACATGAATAGATTCCAGACCCCCTTTTTCCTATTGAAATAGAGACCCAAATGGTTTTTTTGCAAAAAGAGTCCTGTTTGACGTTCTATATTTTTGACTGTGATTAAATTATTTTTACATGTTTGTAAAATATAAAGAGCGTGACATAAATAGGAAACCAAAAAGGCCCAATTTTTTTAATAGCAGGGGGCAGCTTTTTTGTTGTGTGTTAGAATCGAAAAAAAAAATCAAATGGTATTTTATCGTGGTCATACGTTTGTTCGAGCCATCATTTATTGGGTACGCCCTCGGATTAATTTCGCCCCAATCCAAAAATGATGTTTTGAGCCAAAAAAAAGTTTTTGGGAATATTTTTTCTTAATTTAAACCCTAGATTTTATTTTAAAAAAACTGTACCCGTTTGCCATAGAAAAATTTTTTGAAGAAGCATTATTGGGGGTGTTTCTGGTGGGTATGATGTTCCTCCTATTTTTTATAATTTTTTCACGGGTGGTCGGGTTTCCCTGCTTTACAAAACATAAAAATTTGTTAACTTTCCAAAACTTTTTTTCTGATTTTTTTTAAGTAGAAGCTGGAAAACAAGTTGATATGTATATATCCAATGCTTAGTCAAGTTTAACAATTTACTGGATATTAAAAAGTAATAACTTAAATTTTACACCAAGATCTTGAGACTCTTTAAGTTAAAGACTGTTAAGTCAGCAGTATAGAGCTTGGTCAGACTACATGGATGTACAGACTGACCTGGGACTATACTGGTAGCATAGACTGACTAATCACTTTCCATTCATTTAATTTCATTGAAACTTATTTCATTGCTATATGACTTGTAATAAGAAATACAGCACAATTAAAAACACAAAATCAATTGTTAACCCATTACTAAGGGGTGCCAGAGGGGGGATGTGCCCCTCTGCTTAGGGGTTTGAAAGGGGCAGCAGACCCCCTCATCATCAAGAAGATTTTGGACTTGTGAGAGGCCAAAATTGGCCTTAGGTCAATCAGAAGGTAACATGTAACCAGCCTTGAGAAGCCTTTGACTCTCTATCTCAATCCATTGAGAAGTTTGTAGCACTTTGAAATTGAAACGCAAAATAGTAATTTTTGGCAATATTGATATGTCCCCCCGTTGCCATGGCAACAGGAAATTTAAGCTCTTGAGCATGCCTTAGCATGGTCCAGTCAACAGTTGTGCTAAGTTTGATGAATAGTGAAGCATCTTTTATAGTTTCATAGCCATTTAAACTAAACAGGAGGCTTTTCAATGAAAACAGCCATTTTTCACTAAATGCTCATGCAATAATGGGTTAACATTATAATATTGAAAAAAAAACAGAAACAAAAAAAATTCTTTAAGTTCTTACCCCACATTGAGGACATGTTACTATCTGGTCTTGACTGACTTCACAGCATTCAGGATGTGGTAATATCAGACTGTAGTTTTCTGTAAGTCGTTGAGCCATAGCCTCTGCAGTCTCTAATGAGCGCAGGCAGTATTCACAGGCCTTGTACTTGTAGAACTCATTCCATGCAAACTGGCAACTCACAATTGGGCTCTCATCCAATATAACATCTCCCTCCTTAAATTGTCTCTTAGCAAAAAGCCCTTTTCCCTATTTAAACAACAACATTAGAAAACAAGCAATTTATAAATCATGTTTCATTAAAACAATATGCTAAATATTTTTGTTTGCTTCATGAAACTAGTAATTTTACGTTTCAAGCCAATTATAAAGTAAATTAGACATTTTATACTCAATGAAATATGGGACTTCAGTGGCCGAGTGATTAAAGTCACCGACTTCAAATCACATGCCCCTCACTGGTATATGTCTAAATCCCAAATTTTCACAGAAAAAATGAGCAGAGAGGGTACCTTTTATACTAAAACGTATGTTTTAATGGATAATTTAGATTTTTTTTTTTTTAATATGAGCAAAGTGAGATTAACTGGTTTGCTGAATTTGAGCATAAAAGTTTGTATAGTCAATGGTTAATTTTCAAAGCAAAAATACCCGAGAATATCAATGAACACACACTTAAGAGCTTATAAACTATTGTTAAATAAGCAGAGACCGTTACTGATGATATAATCAGCAAAGCACTGCCCTAGACATATAGGAGTATGATTGAACTGTTGAAGGGGTTTAGATTTTCATCGCGAAAATATGTTATATTTAAACGACACAATTTAAAATTTACCGAATCACTGTCAACTTGATAAGATCCATCTATGCATTGAGTATGTTAAACTTTATCCCCCAATAAATCTATTATTACCTTTTTAGCATCGGTTGTTTTGACTTCCATGTCGAAAATCATGGGCGCCGCCATGTTTGGTGTGTAGGTATCATAGTACTAAATAACATTTCGTGTTTTTTTTCAGGCTCTAAAGTACTAAATGTAAATTTTCTTCTTTGTAAGTGAAGGCTACTGCTAGATTATGATTGGGTGGCACTGTCAAGGAAAAACAGTACAAGTCCAAAATATTGAAACAAATAAGTGTATTAGTTAAAATATTAAAGGATAAAGTTAAAGTTATTAAAAATGAAAATATAGTGATAGGATTTTTTGATATTAAGACCTCGGGATTGGATATGACCAAGGAGGCTATTCCAGTAACTCCAGGAAAGAACGAGTTCAGATGATTTTGGGTACGAGATAACAAATATATAAACAACATTGATGTAAAAAGTTTAAATTTCTAGTGGTAACTCAATGATTTGATCTACAAAGACTTGCTCAGATGTTGATTTTGTATAGAAAATATTCTTGAATGTTTGGAGAATGTAAATTTTTCATAAAAAAACACCATATTCTCAAGCCAACATCAAACACCATTTCATTTGCAAATTTGTTTTTCCATTAGTTTGAAGGTTCTTCTTAACAGCATTATAAATTAAGTCCCAAAGCCCTTTTCCAAGCAGAATCTCCTTACTGTGTATAAGTTTTTCGTAAGAAACACCATGCTCTTGAGCCCACTGATATAACACCATTTGTCTGATTCTGTTGTGGATTTGTTTCTAAATTAGTTTTAAGGGTTGCAGCAATATAAGGTCCAAAGCCCTAACCCAACCAAAATGTCCAGGAGATTTCCGCTTGGCATGGTTGTATTTTGGACTGCCATTTTATTCTTTCTATACATAAAGTGTATAAATTTTTGCAAAAATCACCATTTTCTTAAGCCAACTGTTAAAACATTATTTATTCAATTCTGTTGAGAAATTGTTTTTGCATTAGTTTTTGAGGGTCTTCTTTGCAGCAATATAAGACCCAAAGCCATTGCCAAAGTGAAATGTCCAGGATGATAGCTAGTTACATGGGTTCAAACCCTGTCAGGTGCAAGTCGAGGTTTCCTTGACACTAATTGCTCAGAATGGGTTCAAAAGTGTCCGAGTTCATTTGGACATATTTGCTAGACTTGAGGGCAAACAAAATCAATAAATAACTTTTATATAATTCCAAAATCGCCATCCTCTGATTTAGTAGATGCTTTTTAGTAATACAAAGGATACAGCATAAAATGAAAACAAAAACATTAAAATAATCAATTTTACTTTTTCTTTATTAGTTTTAACAAGCAAATGAGGAAAAACAAATTTACACTCTTCCAAGTTAATGTATTCAACTTTTCTTTGTAAATGAAAAAGCACGAAAGACTATGGAAATGCAACCGTATAACAGAACATAAAATCAGATTGACACACATTAGACAGAAAAATTTATTTCCTTGCAAGTGGTTACGAACACAACTGAGAATATGCAAATGAATATATTCAGCCATTAAATTGTATTCCACAAGTTGACATGGTAACCTAAGTGAAAGACTCTTATACAGAGATCAGGAAAATTTAGTTTAGAGGAAGGAAAGAAAAGAGCTGTTGCAGAAAGAAATATGATGAAACAAAAGTTGGATCAGGCATACAGAGAAGAATATACATATATAGTATAATGTACATGTATATCTAGAAAGGAAATGGTAGAAATTAGAAAGTAGGTAAAGAACTTAGAACAGCATTCAAATCTAAATGGGAAGATGCTGGACAAAAAATAGAACCAAACAAAAACAGAACTAAAATCTTTGATAAGATAAGCCTATTTGTAAAAGTAAAAATCTCTAAATGGATCATAAGAAAACTAGGGAGAACATTACTGTATGTCTGTCTGTCTGTCTGACCTATGGTTTTGCTTGTGGGAGAAATACTCAAAGTAGGAGGTATCAATTTGTAGTTTAATATGTGGATGTAGATCTCATTGAGGAGAGCAGAATATTTCTTGGCCCATATTTGATCCGAGACATCACACTGGATTTTACACAGCTATGTTTTATAAATTCGGTGTTTCTGTCATCGTTTTCATTCATTACTCTTAGCTTCAAACATACAAAATAAATGAAGGGCATTAATGAAATCTATTTAAGTGGTTAACTTCACCAGCTTATAGCACTTCCATGCTTTTTTCTTTTCCTAAGGTAAAAAAAAAAAAAAAAAAAATAGCGGATTTACAAAATATACAACTAATAACATAGTACACACAGTGTCACACACTGAAATATTTTTATGAAAAAAAAAAATATAAAAAAATCATGTTATCCTGAACGAAACACAAGAATAATAATGCCCTAACAAGATTGCCCCTATTCAATCTCACATACTTTGTCTTTTCACATCAATGTTGGACTAAAAGGACATTTTATACAGCAATCACCTCTTTACAATAATTGTATTAATCTTTTTCTTTTCCAAAGTAGTATTCACAATAAAATTTACTATCTTTTGAACAACACCCCTTTTTAACATCGAAAATTTTTATCTCCCAAAGGGAGAAATGAACTGGTAAAAATAATATCTGTTGGAAAAATAAATCATTGTCTGGTAAAAAGCATAACAACAACATTTGAATCTGATCTGTTATTGTTTTGGTGTTTGGTATTTTATTAAACTTCTTGATTTTAAACTTCTTGATTGAAATATAAGAAACCATATATTATACTACTCAACCACATCACACACTTACTTACAAAACTCTAAATATGGCACTTTATACAGTTGTTCATTTTTTAATGAATAAATAGGCATTGTATCTCACAAGCAATAAAGAAAAATTCATAGACATTTGGATGGACAATAGTAGAACTGTTAAAAAAATTTTTTGAATTTAAAGAGACATTCCTTATTAACTAAACATTAACACAAAATTTCTTTAAAAACAAAAACATTGTTAACAATGGATTATATACATAGGGCATGCACAATAATTATTGATAACACACAGTTTTTGATTATGTGAATAAAAAATATTAATCACCATAACTATTTTCGTTATGCACTCACTCTATAACAACTTATGAAAACAAAACTAATGGATATCATTTGCAAAAAAAAAACTTTACAACTATCTAAAGAAAAAGAGACAAAATCTTACAGTTAGATTCTAATATATTTGTACTTTTCTTTACATACAAATGATATATAACACAAAACAATCTAAGCAAAGAGCTATCCCCTTGTTTTATACCAGAACTTTGACATAATTACACCGTTAATAAACTTATTATTCTAAACACTTACTTATAATTTGCTATCAGTAAATCAGTGATTAGGCCATTATTATCAATATAGCCAATAATCAGTAACTGGACAAAAGTTCTTTGATTTCGTACCAGTAGTGGCCAGATAGTGTGTAATAAAAAAAATCCCCCAATCTCCCAAAAAACAACACAAGAATGTTTGTTAATGAGACACATACATATACATTACTAGGCTACTTTGAGGTAGATTAGCATGAGATTTAATATAATATATAAGTGTTTGTGTATAATACATATTAAACTTATATGTCCTTTCATACATTTGAGAACATGTATATATTAATTATTTATGCATTACTTCCTTCATATAATTTATCACTTAATTTGAAAACTGATTTGTACAGCTTTAATTTTCAAACTAAAGGATTTCAGTTTAAAAATACTGAAAACAACAACTATAATCTGAACAGACTTAAAAAATGAGCTGGACAGCTCTGTTCTTTTTATGTTGTGTTTGGTTTTACGGCTCATCCAACACAATTTAGATCATATGGTGCTGAAACAGGAAATACTGTTTTGGCTAACTTCGGGTGTTAAAACCAGGGGTCAAAACTACCTCACCTGCTGGAGCTAAAAGATGCATAGACTCCAGGAGTTCAATCTCATTTAGCAGCCTCTTATGATCAACCCAGGATAAATGGTGGCTGCAATTCTGATGTCTCAACCCTCAAAGGCAACCCCTGAGCCACAAAGGGGTTCTAGTGGCATAAATCTATAAATTTCCACATTGGTGTCATTACCCCAATTGGAGTCAATATCCCAATCAGAGTTAAATTTCCAGAAAAACAAAATTTGTTGGCATAAGTAGTAAACTTCCTTATTATTTGAAAAATGAACATTATTTTTTTTAATTTCTTCTCAAAGTTTCCACTGAAACATGAAATCAGTGACATTCACCTCTCAAGGAAATGCAACTTTCCAATATTCTTTAATTTTTTAATTCTTTGTGTACATAAATGTAGGAACTGTTGACATGTTTGAACCTTTTAATTAACTTGCATTAAATTCAATACATGAATAGGCAAACACTTAAAAAGCCCTGTTAAATGGAATGAAATGGTTTTAAAACTTGTCATGATCTAATTTAAACTCACTGACTTTGTATAATGGAAATGCTCTACATTGTTTTTTTGGACTGTCCCACATACATTAAAGGGATTTCAATATCCGAATGATGAACTTGAAAAGCCTGGTCAGACAAGATGGCATTATGCCTGAGGTATAGGCTGTCAGAAGTTTAAGAATTTGAGCTCCGCCATGACAAAACCAAAATAATGCGTTTGTGACCAGCATAGATCCGGATCAGCGAATTACAGTCAACCCGGCCCCAAGTTAACCCGGCCCCAAGTCAACCCGGCCTCAAAATTGGTCAACCCGGCCCCAAGATTGGTCAATCCGGCCCCACAGTATTTTTATTTGGTCAATGCGGCCCCAAAATTGGTCAGTGGGGCCCAAAAATCGGTCATGCCGGCCCCAAAATATATATTTTCAAAGAAAACTATTCAGGTCATTTTGTTGTATGATGGAATAAAATGATTTATTATTAATTGAATATTATTAACTATAGAACAATAGTTAAAAAACATGAACTGGCATAAAAGTGTCGGTAAATTTAATTGCGCAGATTAAGACTTTAATATGCAATACAGATAATGAATAATTATATAACTCAACAATTATATATACATCAACATTATTTCAGATGTGATAATCAAACAGTTTAAAAGGTAGCTATGAAAACAAAATCCCCCTTTTTAAATAAGTTGGTAGTATCTTTCCCATGTCTTTATTCGATGTAAATTAAAGAGGGTTTCGTGAGTGTTAACCCACGGAGTTATATTACAATGTATGGTATAAAATTAAGTTTCCAACAATCTTTATTTCAGTTCATTTGAATGTTTATTGAATACGTTCATTCAGTTTAATTAATTATTTGTTTGTTTTTTATTAACTTTTTTTCAAAGAATTATTTAAACTGTGTAAAAAAAGTATTGAAAATTATTAAATAAGTGTTTGAAAAAATTGATAGTGTTTTGTGTTTCATGCACTTTAACTGTCATTATTGACGGATAACTGTATTTGGACTTGGTGGATATATTGTGCGTGACAGACAGGGGCAGTGACCTGCCGATACCTTTTGATAGATGGCTCAATCTCATAATGAATCATTAAACTTAAAAACTGTTAATCGGAAACACTTTTTAACGTGTGCTTTTCGTCATTTCTTTTTTTAACATACAATAACACAGTAATGATTTGAACACATTAAGGTTTCTTTTCAATGATATGTCAATAAAAAAAGTTAAGTTTTTTCGTAATACTTCTATCGTTGAGATGTTAAGGTTAAAGACAGACGTCACCTTATTTTCGCGACGGTAAAAACAGTAAACTATGCATGTGTTGCTTGATTGTTAATATTGCTAGTTTTTATATAAAATAAATAATAAAAGATATCATCGGTTGTTGTTTTTGTTGTTAATTTTTATTTTATTTCTTGATAAGTGTTTATATTTTAAAGCAAAATAAATAATAAAAAAATGGGGCCGGGTTGACCAGAAATAACATTGGTTTGGGGCCGGGTTGACCAATTTGAGGCCGGGCTGACTTGGGGCCGGATTGACTTGGGGCCGGGTTGACTTGTACCGAGATCAGCTTGTGCATCCGTGCAGTCTGATCGGGATCCATTCTGTTCGCTTACAAACCCTATAACAAGTAGAGAAACTGATAGCGGACAGCATGGATCCTGATCAGACTGCAGGCTGGTCTGGATCCATGCTGGTTGCAAACCCATTATGTTGGTTTTGTCATGGCGCCGCTCAAATATTTTTAGGTACTACTGAAACTGTTGCATTCAAGTTTCAAGAAATAACATAATAAGAACTAATGTATTCAGAATCATATGACTTTCTTAAAACCAAATTTGTGCACATGATTCTTTAAATTTTTTATACAACGTATACATTGTATATTATGTTTCTCCAAATATTGCAGCACTCATGCTTTCTAGATAAATACCTTGAAACAATCCTAATATATTTGCATGATATGATTTAAAAACTGAAAACAATAATGATTATCATCCTTAATTACATGATCTAAATTAATTAACATGTATCATTGCTATGGCTATTTAATTTAAGCAATGATAAAAGATTCACACAATGACTGGAAAACTGAGCTATCATATTTACATATGATATCACTTTCCTCATTGGAGTATAAAGTGAACACAAAAATTTTATACTTCTCAAGCATTCCAACTCCTCACCAATTACAACTTAAAATACTTTCCCCAATTGTCTTATAGCAAATTGCTTGTCCTTATTCAACAATTTTCAAATCTCACATCTGGTCCAAGAATTAAATACAAAATGCGTTCACATTACTGTAAATTCACTTTAATTTTCGGTGGGCATGAAATTTCGCTGGTTTTTGTCCACATAGGAAAAATTTTCGTGAGTTCTTAAATTCTTGGATTGTCTATTTTTTCCAAAACGTAAAATAAATATAATGTAATGCAAATAATATTATAGCAGACAAAATAAAATTTTGTTGGATCATAAAGTAGTGGACTGACCTATCTATGAAAAACCACGAAAATTAGTGCCCCATGAATAATAATGATTTTGCAGTATAATGCCTGTTTTAAACAGAACTTTTTTAGTATTGAACAAAAAAAACAACAAAAAACAAAAACTAAAGACCTGTTGTGAAAAAAGGAAAATTGTCAGTAAAATAAACAAAAATTGTATGCAAACTTCTTCTACTTGTACTTTTTTCTTCATATGACTGCCTATTTAATCAGATCACACATAAATTTTCATTACAAATCCAAGTTTGAATTAAAAGTAGAATTTTTGCTTAATATCATATCTAAAGTTTAGGTAAAAAAAAACTGATTTTGGGGTACCTTTTTTTAAAAAATCACATCCTTTTTAATGCCTTATTTTTGGTACAAAAAAAAACCTTCAAAAAAATAGTTGTAAAAATTACTTTTGGTAAAAACCCCCAGTTTTTTTAATTGATCAATTTATATTTTCTTTGTTTAAAAACTATATTTGCAAAACAAGCTTTATTTTAAAATAAAAAATAAGGAAACAGTATAAATTTCCAATCTGTCAAAACCCACAAAAATTATATAATCTCATCTTTTAAGATCATGTGTTTTCTATTTTAAACAAACATATATCTTAAATTTGTATCATAGAGATCTGATATAGTCCAGGATCACATCACAAAAACTTTTTCTGCTTTTTCAATATGGAAAGCCTCTTTCCCTCGAGGGCAGAAAACATTACCCTCGTTCCTTGCAGCCATCTCCTCGAGGGCCTGTAATTTACAAACAAAAATAAGATTGAAATAATCATAGAAATATTAAATCAAAATCATAACTATATTAAGTGCACAGGATAACTTATAAAATAGTGAATAAAATACAGTTCAGCTATTATGCTTCCGTTTTATTTTGCGGTTTAAATTGAAAGGCTCTCACATCATACTTTGTTCATGTTTGTATTATAGATTATATACATCTATTACAATAAAATAGATTGGTTTTTTTTTTAATTATGTACAATGTAGTGTTTAACTACTGTAGTAATCAATAATGCTACATACAGTAAACAAAGATGGACATTGTATGCCTGAAAAGATATATCTTCTAAAATAATGCATAACTCAACATAAATAGGAGACATTTAGATTATAGAGCCAAAATGTGAATGTTTTTATACTTTGTTTCTTTAAAGCAGCACGCCTCCAGATTCATGCTTATTTCATGAAAATTTGAAAATGTATTTAACAGTATTATATTGTGAAGTTACAAAAGAATACAACTTTCACATCATCAATTGCACTTACAACCCATGTTAATTACAATAAAGAGGTCACAATATGCAAAAATAGCCCTTAGTGCGTAATTAATATAGTTATGAATACTGAAAAATCGGTCGTTAATCGCACATAACATGTAAAGTATTGCTAGAATTTTTAATCTTTATACCTTTCCTAAAAACTTTACTACATTTTTCTTAGGTTTGATTTTCATCGAAATATACCGTATTTGCTGAAGGCGTGCAACTTTAATATTATACCATTTTGTTGAATTTTAAGAATTACAATAATGTTTACACTTACATTACAACCGTATACATATCCGTTTGGTAACATCATAGGTGGGTTATGCTCATTCAAAGCTTGACCGCTGATATGACATATCAATTTGGAATTAGCACAGTGAGCGTATGGCAGGTGCTGACCTAGTTTGTTTAGGTTCCGGCTACAAACCGGACATTCAGCATTCTTACTGTTACCCTCAGTTTTGTAACAGTATCTGATGATTGATGTAAAGGAATTTAATAAGCTATTAAAAAGCTTGCATAAACTCAAACATACTTTTGATAGTACGATTCTTTCACTGACAATACAATACTTACACTGACATTACGATTCTTGCACTGACAATACAATTCTTTCACTGACATTACAGATCTTGCACTGACAATACAATTCTTTCACTGACATTACAGATCTTGCACTGACAATACAATTCTTTCACTGACATTACAGCTCTTGCACTGACAATACAATTCTTTCACTGACATTACAGATCTTGCACTGACAATACAATTCTTTCACAATTCTTTGCACTGACAATACAATTCTTTCACTGACATTACAGATCTTGCACTGTCAATACAATTCTTTCACTGTCAATACAATTCTTTCACTGTCAATACAATTATTGCACTGACAATACAATTATTGCACTGACAATACAATTCTTTCACTGTCAATACAATTCTTTCACTGTCAATACAATTATTGCACTAACAATACAATGGACCTTTCCAGTGTTTACAGATTTATAGAAATTGGCTAACTTGATATCCAATTACTACACTGAGATAATACATAGTCACTGGTTGACCTGGTTTGCACAAAAGAACACATGGTTTTGTTTGTGATACTGTTTGTGAGCAGTTGACCTAGCAATGAATGGAAAAGGTGTGGCTAAATGTTCCGCTACGAAAAACCGGAATGGTCCATACTTGCACTGACAATACAATTCTTGCACTGACAATACAATTCTTGCACTGACAATATTATATTTGCTCTGACACTTTGATTTACTGACAATAAAGTTCTAGAAAAGACAGAGAGTAAACAGTGTTCTCAACACACAGATCGTGTGTTTGAACTCTCCTTAAGTCATAACCTTGATTCCACATATGACACCAGTAGTGATTAGTTCAAAGAAGCAGACTTGAAAGTAGTTCGGGTAACATTCAAACTTTTTCTTCACAATCAAGCAAGAACAAATGCATTTAAACAAAACTACCATGACTTGTATGAATAAAGGATACGGTGTTTTAAGTGCTGACAAACCAGCTTGTAGAGTGACAGTGAAGACAGATGCATTATTTAATTGATGTAACTTGAAATTCTCATATCTGAATTGTTGTACAAGCTCCATCCATCTCTCTTGGTCCAATAACTCCTGCAGGAAAAATAATATACACAAAACTATATGAGGAACACAAAAGAATGTCTTTGTAAAACACAAACACTCCTGGCCAAAATCTAGTGATTTTTTTTTAAATGTTTCGGTCAATATCATGTGACATTTTCAATGTCATTCAAATTTTTTAAAAAGGTTTTTTTTTGTATAACCACTTCATGTCCAACCAAACAGTTTATGAATGACCAGGAGTGTCATTATGACTTTAATACAGTGTTAAATTTCATACATTATGTTAAAGGCCAACTGGTTACTTTTGGTAATTTCTCTTCCTTTCTCTTCCTTTCTCAAAGGTTCTTACACACGTATAATGTCTTACATAATTATGTTATGTAGGAAATGGCCTTTTTTATCAAATTTAAAAGCCCTGAGTTATAGGTAGATGTTAAAACAAGATATTATTTGTTTGTTTGTTTCATTTTACGCCTTTTCCCAACAGTATTTCAGTCATATAGGCGGGTAGTTTCCTAACCATCGTTCCTGGAGAGTTACACCAGTACTAGACTACCTTCCTCCGTGCTAAACTACCAAAGCATCTCCAGGGGATCGAACCCACGCCAGAGAGGTAAGATATTGTGTACCTTATATGGTGAAATGAGTGTGTCTGATGAAAATGCCAGCAATCCCATAACTCTCTGAATCTCACCCAGGTGTTGATCTTCAACTTGATTGCTAAAATATTTCCTTGCATGTCTAAAATAGAGACAAAATGTAACGTAAAAAACGAATGACGCCTTGTTACCATGTATCTTTATATTTAGTTTGTATCTTTATATTTACACAAAAACACTGCAGTAATATTTCTTGCATTACTGAAAATAGACAAATATGGTCATATTTCTTCAGACTTCAACAACAAATAAAACTTTCTACTTCTGCAAAGACCAATATATCTTTGTGTGTGTTCCAATAAAAGCTATAGCCCCTCCAATAAGGTATATAATATATATATATATATATCTCTGACATTACTACATTGTAATTTATTTCAATTCATCATAGCAACAAGGAAATGCTATCTGAAACCAGAACTCCAATTTCTTGCATTTTTATTTTGCAATTAGTTGATATTACTAAATTTGTAATTTGCAAGAAAGTTCCTATTTTTGTGCTATCTATTTTCAATAGAGAGACACTCAATTTCAGCCTTTTCACCAGTTCAGGCAAATAAATGTACATGCATGTACATAAATCAGTTAGATTATAAGATGGCTTTAAAGGCACTCCCTCCTCTTGTCTGCACATGACATGACTGGAAATATTTTTTTCTTCAAGATTTAGACATGTATTTAATGTAGGTCTATACCAAAAACCTGACAAATTTCAGATCATTAACTCCTCCGTTCTTCCTGACTAATAATTATTTTTATGTGCAAATGGACCTAAAAATGAAGCCTTCAAATGCTGTTAATTAAATTTGGGCTAAGAATCAAACTAAATATTAAATTTCAATACATTTCTGGGAATATTTCTTTTCATATTTATTAGTTTCAAGTGCCCCAGTTGATCTTTGTAAGATTATCAAATTTATGCTTTTAGGATTTAGGACCTTTAAACCTTAACCTGTTGGTTCCGTACTTACAGTGCCTGAAATGACGGATGGACTCCCATTTAGCATAGACAACAACAAGTACTAGAAGTGATTGAACTTTGCCCCCAGGATAGTCTGACAAGACTCTATACTGCCGGTATCTCATATTTCGTTTATTTTGCTACTGAAATCCCTTTAATTCGAATGGACTATTCTGAATTCAAAGCAGGGCAAATCCATTACACAAATTCAGCGAGATAAGGGATAGGGATTAATATGTCAGAAATTGAATATGAAATGTTTCAATCCAGCTGATCTAAAAAATAACAATCTTGAATTGAGACCAATACAAATTTTAAATAAAACAAACAATAGTGTTTATCATAATATGACTGCATAAATACAGCAGTTTTGTCGATAATTTTAAGAAATTGTTCTTGTTGATGATTTGGGACAGGCACCAACCAAAGTCGGCAAAATTGCATAAAATATGTTGGAACATGGCAATTTCTACAAAAGTGAAATAAAAGGTAGCAATTTAAGCCGAGACCTAGACTTTGATTATTTTCTCATTCACAAAATGCATTGCTTACCTGACTGCATCAAGACGGCAGTTACTGCGAATCATTTCAATAAATTCTTGTTGTCGTAGCTTAAACTCCAGAGTACTCTTCAAAACAAAACAAAAACATTTTTTTTTCTTCTTCTTCATAATTGTGTGTCTTTTTATATCAAAATATCATAGTACTTTACAATATAACTAAATGAAGTTTTAATTTTGTTCACCTAAACGCTTTGTTTATCAACCCTGAATCATATCAATAAACAATTCATCATAATTGATGACTGAAATCATTTATAAAGAAATCTACAAAATTAGAATTTTTCACCATAAAAAACTATTTCTGAGAATTCATTATAAAACATTGACACCAATAAACTTATATGCTTGTAAATATTAAATATATTCAACTATAATGTAGATTTTACTCAACCGTAATCTAAATGACCATGCAAAGATTCATAAAGTGAATTACCTTCAATTTTCTAAGTTTAGATTTATTTTCATAGCACCAATTCAAACAGGGGGCTGTCTCATGATTGATTAATGATTCTTCAATGGCCTTTGATGTCATAAATAAGTCTATGTTTGTTAGGTCCTGTAACAAATTAATATACATACATCTCAATGTGACATCATACATTGATAATGATTTAAAATGAGCTGCTTTTGTATAAAATGAAGCAAACATGTAACCATAACCATACAAGCAAAAATTATGATTATGTATACAAGATAAAAAAAAATGTAATAATAATGATCACAAGAGCAAAAGATGTAATAATAATGACCACAAGAGCAAAATATGTAATAATAATCACAAGTGCAAACAAGATTTTGACACTAGAGGTAAAATTTGGTAGAGGACCTATGGATGATATCATATACCAAATATCAAAACTCTAAGCCTTGAACCTTCAGACAAGAAGATATTTTAAATTTTTACTATATGCACATAGTGAAAATCAATGACCCCAGGCAGGGTCAATTTTGACCCCAGGGCTATAATTTGAACAATCTTGGTAGAGGTCTACAAGACAATACCTTATGCAAAATATTTAGACTCTAGCCTTTGTCAATTCAGAGAAGATTTTTAAAGATTTTACTATATACATATATGGAAAATCAATGACCTCCCAGCCCCCCACCCTTCTCCCCCCCCCCGACAGGCCAACTTTGACACTAGTGGCAAAATTTGAGCAACTTTGGTAGAGGACCTATAGATGTCATCATATACCAAATATCAAAGTTCTAAGCCTTGTACTTTCAGACAAGAAGATATTCTAAGTTTTTACTACATGTACATAGTGAAAATCAGTGACCCCCTGGGCCGGGGCCAATTTTGACCCCAGAGCTATAATTTGAACATTCTTGGAAGAGGTCTACAAGACAATGCCTTATGCAAAATATCTAAGCTCTAGGCCGTGTTGGTCTTTACAAGAAGATTTTTTAATTTTTTCTTATTATTCCTTTTGGTTGCCATGGCAACCTGATTTCTGCATGGAATCAAATTCTTTGAACAACTTTGGAAGCCCTTCACCAAAGGAACAATCCTGCCAATTTTCTTGTTAAGAAATAAGAGAAGACTGTCTATCTAAGAATAAAAATCATATGTATTATAAGTAGAACACTCTAGTTGTTTTGTGTCAACAAATTCATGTTTGTTTCTAAACAAGCTATATTTGTCCTAGTATTCCTCTCCACTAGACAGTGGGCGAATATACAAGTCCAGAAAAAAGCTTCAGACATAGGGAAATTGGGAAGATTGCGAAATGACATGATAAAAAAAAATTGATCAGACATTACATAAAGATTTACATGTAAATAAGTACTAAAACATGTCTTATAATGGATAGCTTGAATAAACAATGCATGGCAAGGATAAAAAAAATTCATTCTGAAGAGAAGAAAATTAGAAATCAAATATTTCACTACTGCAGCAAGAAACATATGGGGTTAATGTAAAATATGACAAAATTGCTGTCCTTAACACTTGAACAGAATCTTTGTCTGCAGAGAAGAATGTCTTACCATTACAACTAATATTTGTTCATGAACTTTTTTGTTCTGACAGATTTCCATTAAAATAACAGCAGACAAAAAAAGGTAAAAACTTGATAAAATAATTCATCAGATTTTGTATTAACATTAATCTGTTGCAATTTCTCCAAATAAATATTTAACTTTTCCAAACACTAGCAGATATTGTGAGTTTGACAAGCCTATTATACAGTGATTTTTATTTCTTATATTTTAAAGTCAAATAAAGCTGCTTCCCCTAGCCCAAAATAGGTATACCCCCCTCCACCTGCCAAATCTTTTTTATATTTTCCCCCGAAATACCCTCTGCACATTCTTCACCAGAACCATGACTTAACAGCAGCTGATTTATATCAGCAAATTGATAATTCTAATTTATTGAAAGCTGTCCCTATAAATAGCCTCTGCTATGTACCATGCATGTTAAATTGAATTGAAAATTTTAAAAAAATGTGTGGGTAAATTCCATTCTCAGTTGTTTGAATTTGATTTCAGGTTATTCCTCCGTTTTCTGATTTATCGCGTTACATGTTTATTTTTCCCTTCAGAAAGACCATCCCTTAAGAAGGACCATGGTTGTTTTGAAAATTGCCAAAAAAAAAATCACTGCAATACCTAGTCAGATTGATCACACCCTATTATACTAACTGGATACTAGCTTCAAAGCATTTTGAAATACAAATCTCTGAAATTAATCATGGACCATTTCAAATTCATAAAGCATGCTAAATCTGGTCCAAAAAGGATTCAAGGTATATCACAGATGAATGACAAAGAACCTCTTCACTAAAATGACTAACTATATTGCCATTTAAATGTCTCATCCAGAACTCAAAACACAAAAAAGTAAACAATATCATATTATATGTCAGTTCATCACTTAATTTGAATATTCAAAAAGCATTAAATTAATGATTAATGATACCTTATTTTATTTTATTTCAGTTCTGTCAGGTATTTAGGTACATGTATGTAAGTGTGATAACCACAATCAACAGGAGTTAAATTTAGATAAAATAAAACTCTTAATTCATAAACTCTCCACGCATACATGTACATTGTATTTTAGCTATTATACTGTACCTCTATCTCTGAATGCTGGGCTAATTTCAATGCTGTATTGTAATAGCCGGCTCTTAAGAAATATTCAACTAACATCCTATCCAAACGTTTCTTCTGCCAAAGAGGGCGTGTATGTTCATGAAGATGCTCCGCCTCCTTCAGATGGTCAACACGCCTCTTTATCATTCTAGCAGCCTCAAGCTCTTCATTAACACTTTCATCAGCCTAAACACAGATAAAAATTTAACTGCATTTAAATTTTAAATATATACACATGTAATATTTAATTCATTTTTATTTTCTATTAATAAAGCATAACAATAACAAGTCTTGAGTGCATAATCACCATGTTTGTTGTGGAGGTTGATCTTAAACTAAAGTCTGACCTGCTGAATTAAGTACATGAACTTCCAACTTCAATTTATAAACCATCCATTTTTAATTATCTTGATATCAAGACGAAAATTTGAAATTGGTCAGCCAACAGGCCAGGTCAGACTGCTTATCATGTGGGGCACTTGCAGATTAGGGTTAATGCCTGGTTTATACAGTAATTCAGGCAAATAATTCAGGACACTTATTTTCATAATTAAATATTTTTATAGTCTTTTCCAGAAATATTTGTAACTTGTTCTCTACAATGATATAAAATGTACCATTTTCTAGATTTGAATCAAGTAACTAAATTTGTCTCCATAGGACACAGATGCCCTTTATTCCAATGTATTATCAGTTTAAAGATATACAGCTTGACAGACTGGCATGGGCAAATCTACATCACCCCCAACCCCAAGAGGGGCCATAAAAAACAGTGAATTTACTTTTACTAAAAGGTGAATAAACTTAAAAGGCAGTATTAATTTTAGTAGTGGTAAAAATTACAGGCCAAGTGTATACAACCAGGACAGTCTGGTTTTAAACCTTTTGTGAAATCTGACTACACTCAGGGCTGTGCTGAATTTTATTGTTTTGACATGAAAATTCGGGAAATTAACAATGAAAATTTTCAAATTCAAAGCATAACAAATTTGTCTGTTTATTTGATTGGGTTTTAGGTCGCGCCAACACAGAATAGGTCAAATGGCAACGTTCAGCTTTACAAGTGGAGAAAGACCTCAGGTGCCCTTCCGTGCATTATTTCAGGCACAAACAGGCAGCTGAGTAGGACCACCGGCGTTTGGTAAGCTAGCTAGATATCTTCCTCACATGAAAGAATCTTAAGTCCCTGTCAGGATTTGAAGCCACAACAGTGAGGGGCTAAAGGTTTGAAGTTAAGTCTTATCATACTGTTTAAAGATTGAAAATATACTTTATATGTTATACCTTTCTCTTCAAAAGCTTGAGTTTCTCTACCATATTGTCCAGTGCCTTTGTCACTTCTCCAATGGTAACCTGTGGTTTTTGAAGGCATACCTCCAATTCTCCTCCAGCTCCGTGAACTTTCGATATCTCTCTGTCTATCGTTTTCTGAGCTGTGCGGAACTTCTTGTTCAGTAGCTCATACGGCACCTAAAATATAATAAACTTGTGGATTTTTTTAAAAAGTTTAATGTACAAGTTTTACCACTGTATGGTGACATTCAAGCTACAGCAGTGAAGGAAAACTCCCATGCAAACTTCCCTGAATATCAGCTGAATAATCGAATCATCAATCTGTCATAAAGCTATTTAAAGCAAGCTGAATAATTTCTCACTTACATGTACGATTGTAAATATTCTAAATGTACCTGTCAGAATTAGTAAACAAAAATTTTCAAAGCTTAGTATGAAAACATTTTAACTCACTAATCACTAGATAATCGTAACCCGCCTCCAAAATGCAACATGAAATAGTGTTGACATTTTCATCTATTTCTGAGAATAATTTACATCTTCTTTATCTGTATTGCTTTTTTTTTTTTACATTTTGGCAACTTCTTCTTTGTTTACCATAACAAATGAAGAAAAAATAGTGGAGTAGGTATCAGTAAATGTTCTTGTGTCAAACATGGTTTTGAAAAATTGCATGAAAATGCAACCTTGCAGGATAATAAATCCCTAGTAGAGATTTTACGTGTATGATGTCAAAGCTTCCTCTCAATTATGATTTAAATATAGCTTTCAGTGTTTAAAAAGATTTTTAAAAGTTTTCTGAAATGCATCAAACTCTATATCTACATGTTTGCGTGGCCATGGATATTGTAGTTGTTGTGTTTATCAATTGAAAACTAAAGTATAGAAGATGATATTGCCTTCAAAAAGTTAGAAAACGAAATCACATGGGGAAATGGTGGTTACTTTAACCCTTTACCTACTGAATTTGTGTAATGGATTTGCCAAGCTTTGAATCCGGAACAGTCTATACCATGCTTAATATGGAAGTGCAGAATAGCATTCTGGTGGCTAAAGCTACATGTATTTAACCACTTTTGGTTTCCAACAGGTAGCAGAGGTAGTGTAAAGTGAATAACACACACAGTTAACAGGGAAAATTACAATACATGTACATGTATTTATGCACTGCTACAATATTGTTGTTACGCTAAATTCTTGTTTCATAATTCTGAGGAAAGAGTCACGGACAGATGAGTTATTAGATAATGCTGCTAGAGTCATTAATAACCCACTGCCAGTGATTTTAAGGGCCAAATTTAGGTTGAAATTCCCCATGGATTCCCTTTTCAATTCTTTTTCTTTCTATTTCTGAAAAAAAAATCTGTTCAAGAAAAGGGAAAATTTCTTTGTACTTTGAAATAATATTAAAGTGAAACAGTGTTATATTAAAGATTAACTTCAGGGTTCTCATTAGCATAATTTTAACTTTTAACCCATTTCTTCATGAGCATTTTGTGAAAAAATGGCTGTTTTCATTGAAAAGCCTCTTGTTACAAGTTCAAATTGCTATGATTGTATGAAACTATAAACAAGAGGGCCATGATGGCCCAAAGTCGCTCACCTGTATATAGGCCCCTGGAGCGGGGCCAGTTTAAACCCCAGGGCTTTTATTTGAACAAACTTGGTTGTATATGTATGCATGCATATATATATAAATATTAAATATATATGTGTATATATATAATATGTATATATCTTAACAAAAAAAATCAAGCTAATGAATGACCCCCGGGGCGGGGCCAATTTTGACCCCAGGGCTTTTATTTGAACAAACTTGGTAGACACCCATGAGAACATGTTTCATGCTAAATATCTTAGCTCTAGCTCTTTGAGTTCTTTAAAAGAAGATTTTTTAAGTTTTTACTATATGCACATAGGGAAAATCAATGTCCCCCGGGGGCAGGGCCAATTTTGACCCTAGGGCTTTTATTTGAACAAACTTTGTAGACACTCATTAGAAGATGTTTCATGCTAAATATCTTAGCTCTAGCTCTTTGGGTTCTTTAAAAGAAGATTTTTTAAGTTTTAACTATATGCATATAGGGAAAATCAAAGACATCCTGGGGCGGGGCCAATTTTGACCCTAGGGCTTTTATTTGAACACACTTGGTAGACACTCACTAGAAGATGTTTCATGCTTTATATCTAAACACTAGCTATCTGGGTTTTTTCAAAGAAGATTTTTAAGTTTTTGCTATACACAGTCATATAAGGAAAATCAATGACCCCCGGGGCGGGGCCAATTTTGACCCCAGGGCTTTGATTTGAACAAACTTTTGTAGACACTCACTAGAGGATGTTTCATGCTTAATAGCTAAACTCCAGCTATTTGGGTTTTTTTAAAGAAGATTTTTTTAAGTTTTTGCTATACACATATAAGGAAAATCAATGACCCCCGGGGCGGAGCCAATTTTGACCCCAGGGCTTTTATTTGAACAAACTTGGTAGACACCTATTAGAACATGTTTCATGCTAAATATCTTAGCTCTAGCTCTTTGAGTTCTTTAAAAGAAGATTTTTTAAGTTTTTACTATATGCATATAGGGAAAATCAATGACCCCCTGGGGCGGGGCCAATTTTGACCCTAGGGCTTTGATTTGAACAAACTTGGTAGGCACTCATTAGAAGATGTTTCATGCCAAATATCTAAGCTCTAGCTCTTACGGTTTTTTAGAAGAAGATTTTTCAAGTTTTTCTTATTGGTTGCCATGGCAACCAGAGTTTTTAATGGAATTTAAATTTTTGAACAACTTTGAAAGGGGTCCACCTAAGGATCATTTCTGTAAAGTTTGGTTGCAATTGGCCATGTAGTTTAGGAGGAGATGTTGTTTGAAAAGTTTGACGCCATTTTTTGAAGGACGCACGACGGACGCAGAGTGATGACAAAAGCTCACCTTTGAGCACTTCGTGCTCAGGTGAGCTAAAAAAAGCTTCAATTCTGTTCAAACGTGGCTCAAATGTTGACTGGACTATAGCCTTAGTAATGGCCTACTCAATCTTAAATTTCCTGTTACCATGGCAATGAGAGGACATCTCAAAATTGCAAAAATCACTATTTTGCAATGACTATTCCATCAAAGCTGATTTCAAAGTGCTGCAACTTCTCAATGGATTGGGATAGAGTCAAAGGCTTTTTAGCATTTGTAATATATTACTTTAAGGTTGACCGGAGACCATTTTTAGCCTCTTACAAGTCCACAATTTTCTTTGAGATAAGGGGGTCTGCTGACACCCTTCAAACCCTGAAACAGAGGGAGACATCACCCCCCCCCCCTCTCTGGCACCCCCTCGATGTATCTTTTTGATACCAGATGGTGCCGAAAGTGATAATTTTTCAAATGAAAACAAGTTTTTGGTGACTAAATAGGGCATTTTTTTCACTATTTGTGGCCTAAAATGGGGGAAGGGGGCGGGGGTGAAAAGGCGGGAAAAGACATCTCAGGGCTTTTCTTAACAGGTTGGAGAAGCAGCCAAGCCCTTAATTTTGGGGAAAAAATACACGGTATATTGCTAAAGGGGAAGAAAAAACTTGATGTAAATTCATTTTTTGGGTAAAACTGCATGATTTTAAATAAATTTTCTTTGGGGAAGCAGCCCTATACTGGCCACTGCTATAGAAGGAAAAAAAGCCCTGCATCTATACAAGTATAGTTAATTCTATGTCAGATGTATGCATGAAAAAGAATAGTTCTGGCTTCCAAAACTTTATAAGCCGCTTTTCAATATTTTTGTTTTTCACCTGATGCGGCATTTTAGTTTTGGATTAGACCCATTACAAAACCTAACCAGAATAACACAAGTTGATTTAACCTTATTTTTCACTTGCAAAATTAATATCCTTGTCCCAATCAATTCTTGTGCATTTTGCGATAAAACAATTATTTTAATAATAATTTATGCCATTTAAAGTATCAAAATATTAATACCGTCATTAAAATTGCCTATTTAACTGTAAAACATCAATTATGCCTAGTACAGTTGGCCATGACATTTAGGTGCCACACGAGACCTCGTATGACGTCATTCCCGGGAACCTATCAGAGTAGAGTCGTGTACTATATTTAGAACATCTTTAAGTTTATTGACATGATTTCGATATTTATAATTCAAGATAATGTTTTTATTTATTTGATTTTCATTAATTTAATATTTTAGTACTTAAATATGATTATATTGAATACAAAAGTCAATAAATCACCTTCTTCAATATCTTTAAAAAAAGTAATTTATTAATATGTTTATATTTATTTGTCCATCCTTGGCTTATCAACAGATTATATATCTAGTTTTATCAAAGTATGCTTCACTTTACTTCATGGCATGTTCAATGAATGAATACGAGCGTGTCAGATTCCTGGCACGATTATTGGTGGACTTTCCCTACAGGTCTGTCGTCAGCGTTCACGTCATGTCATAGTATATAAATGGGTACCATGAAGACCTTAAGCTAGAAAAAGTATTAACAGAAAGCTATTAAAATTTCTTTTTTTCCAATAGCTGTTCACAGATGATTCAAATCTTTAAAGTGTGATTGTTGATCATCAAAGTCTTATATCTCATTAAGGGCCAAATAAACATAGTGACATTTTTTCAGTATTACACGACAATGAATTTTATTTTGATTGCAATTTTTGACAATCAATGGTAATTTTGAGATCACCCCCATTACAAATTCCTTGTCACCCTGAAAACTTTGTTATGTTTATCTCGTAATTAAATAAAGACATGAGTTCTTGCATGCAAGAAATATGAAGAAAGCTGAATTTTAAACATTGTTGCTCAAGTTTCGCTATTTATATAGCAATAATCTTTAATATAATTTAAAATTAACCTTTAACGTGGGATGTTCCAAAGCCTTAATGTCCGCCATATTTGTTTACAAAATGAAAGTTTTAATTTATAATTATTTTCTTTATCAAAATATATAACATAAACATAGAAATATAATGTTCCTCTTAAATGTAACGTTACAATTTAGTAGTTCAAATAAAAAAATATATGTTTGATAAAAAAAATATATATCTCGTATCCCTCGTGAAATAACGAGAACTAACATTTGTAAGAGTTCAACTGAATAGCGCGAGGAATCCCGCGGAAAAGCTCAAAGAAAATACTGTGTTGCTGATCCATTAAGTCTATTTCGCCATTGACATCGCAAAATTATAATCCAGACATACAAGGTGATTAATTTTAAGTTGTAGTAAAACCGTAGAACAGTAAGATATTGTTTGTAGTTTGCCATTCCAAACAAAGGCTGTTATGACTTTTTAGTGCACGTGAATTTGTAAATTGATTGCAATTAAGATATTTTGATAAGATCCTTGTGATTAACAATTTATGTATATATGTGTTAAGTGTATTGAAAGTTCCTTTTTCAGAATTGTACAAGTATTTCGTTATAGTATTGACAACCATTTTCTTCTGAAGGCTAGGAACCCCTTCCAAATTTAGTGAAAAGTGAGTGCATGACATCCTAGCACAGGATAATCAGGAAAATATCAAACCCTATTAGGGTCCCAAACTGAGCATTGTCATTTCTATGTCACAATATAGTAGTTTTCACCTCTTGAGACTAGTTATAGTGCTGTATTCTTCCATTTAACACAGACTTCCCTAGTCCTAATTATAAGACCTATACGTAACCTATTTCATATTCATCATTCATTAATCTGATATTTTACATTTTTCATTTTCCATGTTACGTTAGGTCTTAACAGATCTTTGCAAAATCGTGTAGCAAAAAAAATGACATTAGACATCGATTTAGATCTAATGAATTTAAACAATTAAAACAGCCTGTATTTACATTAATTTTGACCTATTTATAAACAAAACTAAAAAATAAATACCTTTTAACAAAATAATTTAACTGTCACATCCGAAAAGTCATGATTAAATCCTCTCATTTAATTAAATTCCTTGTACAGCCGATATACAAATGGCCGCCATAAAGTGCGAGAAATCTGATTGGCTAATACAAATGCAAGCGTTTAAATGAGTCCAGAAGTTTCTAACGGAATATTTTTTTAACGAAATAATTGCCCATGCACCGTCAGTGTGTTCGAATATATTTTTCCGTTCAAAAAATTGGAATCAATCTGTAAAACGCTTTACTTAACCAGTATGGCCGATGAGCGAAATAGACTGATATTTCTATTTTATTTTTAATTGGTAAGTACATTGTTTGAAAGTTTTTGTTAATGATAGACCATGCAATTGAAAGAACAGAAAATAAGCTTTTGAATAAAGCTTGAAAGGCAAGCCAACAGACAGTTTTTTAATTTTTCAAAATGCTACGCGTTTATGAGCAATAACTATTAGACGTCAGGCTTGACCAACATAAAACTATAACAAGCCTGTAACGTCTAATCTATTGGACTAAGACTTCCCGAAATATGTCGGTCCGACGGACATGTCCGATGAATTTTGATCAGGTCTGACGATTTTTTATTTCGGATCTGTCCGACTGTCCGGTTTTATCCAAGCCGCATGTATACAAAATGGCGTCGCTAAAGGTGCCAAACCTGGGAAAAAACGAATATCTACGTCAGAGGAGCGCGCAGAACAGCAATAAAAGGATGAAAAGAATAGACCTGAGAGAAAATTTAATGAAAAATGGAAGCAGGGCCATGAATCGTTGGTGTATGACAGGAAGGAGATAAAAATGCTCTGTATGGAATGTGCCGATTTTTACGGCGAAAAAATTAAAACCAAAAAGTATCTTACAAATACAAACATAAGTTTTTCTTTGATTTTGATCAATTTTATTCGGTCTGACAGATTTCGTTTCGGTCGACAGATTTTCATGGTTTGTCAGACCGAATGTCTGACAGTTTTTTTCAACTTTCAGGAAGTCTGATTTAAGCATAGAAATGGCCATTAAATAATTATTTCTGAAAAATATGGGGGACATTTACCTTACAATATGACATACCTAAAAGAATTCACTATTTTACGTTCAGGCATTTTTGACAGCTATTGTCAAACAACAACAGAAATAGAAAAATAAAATATTGATGAATACTACAAAACACATGTATGCGAGATGATCCCCTTTGCTGCTACATGCGATTTAGTACGTATTTTAGTTGTAACCGCGAGTGAAAACAAACATGGCTGAAGCATTCAAGATACGATGAAGATAACCTGAATTAAGTTGAAAAGATCATCAGATGCGCGACTTGGCGCGCATTGACTTCTTTAAAATGCACAATGTGCATAAAATATACGCAAATCGCGTAATCAAGTGGCCTAGATTCAACACTGAATTCATTGTATTATCATTGAATTATGGACATATGTTGGCTTCCATCTCACTAGGTATTTCTAGTTAAACATTAAAACATAAAGTTAAATTCAGTCATAAACTTACCAACAACAGCAAAGGGCCATTTTTAATCCAACCTTGCTGCGGTTGACCCACCACTTCTGCGAAAGCAACGGCCAGTGTGTGTACCTGTCAAAGAAGACTCGTGCATGCATCCTTTTATCCCCCTGAAATTCAAAAGGCTTCCTAAATTTGGACTTCTAGACTTATTTCTATTTACATGCCACACTTAATGAATTTTTGCTCTCTGAGGCCTAAAAAAAAATGTTGTGTTTCCGGTGGCCCGACCGACCCTATTTTTTAGCGCCGACCCAAAGTTTTTTATCGATGTACAAAAAAAAAATGGCGCCTGTACCGACCGTACCGAAGACGGGTTTTAGTATTGCGAGTCGACAACGATGTGAGGCACCGACGATTCGGGTTCCAATTACGTATTAACGTGCACCGGCTAATATGGCGGCACAACAAGGGTGCAGCGGAAGTGTCACTGCTGGCGATTTTCTTTAAAAATACGATCATAGTTTGGCAAAACAGCTCAAAACATTTTTCGGACGTGCATGGTCATGTTAAGAGTGATAATATTAAAATTGAAGCCAGTTGTTCGGTAAGAATAAAAAAAATGAAAACGAAAGTCGAGTCATGCCATTGGTAAAATTTATTTCAAAATAAAATATTGAAGACTAGGTTTGGTAGTCTAACATTTTAAGTACTTTTATATGCTATAGAATATAATTTAAAGTACATATAATCCGTATCTGACATATCTACAATCGTTGATTGACTAAAAAAAAAAAAAAAAAAAGTCCGACCTACCGACCCTACTTTTTTCACCTCGCCACCAGAAACACATCAATTTTTTTTTTAGGCCTGATTGAATGATATCATGACGAGCGCTCTCCTTCAGAAGTGCCATGAAGTACCTAACTGAAAACTGGAATACAAATAGGACATTTTGTGTTCTTGGAATAACAATTTACAAATAATAAAATGACTGGAAATTTTGCCGATTGAAACAGGATGGCGCTAATTATGGTAGAAATAACTTTATAATGAAAAGACATCCAATTAAGGAAGATTATAACTGGGTTATAGAAAGCGTGAATTGCAAATTTCAATGCGTCATTGGTGAAATCATTGCATCAAACGGCAAGAAATGCTGAGTAGGGGAAACTCTGAATTTATCCGAAAATTTTCCTGAACCCAAAATTTTGATTGGTGAAATCATTGCATCAAAAGGGCAAGAAAAACAGAGTAGGGGAAACCCAAAATTTGGCATTGCACTAGATTTAAATGGTTCAGGTGGAACAGCAAGCTTATTTTCATCTGTCATTTTTGTTTCTCTTTACATGCAACACTTTCAATGAAATGACATTACTATAATTGGATAATATCACTGAAAGTGCTCTTTGACAGTGGCTTGAAGTACCAAATCAAAGTAGGGTAGTTGATCTGAAGCTGTGCATTCAGGTATATTTTTACTTTAGTGAATCCTTGCACCCCTAATGTGCTGAAGTTTTACTGGTTAAAATGGTAGGTCATTGTGTAAAAAATATGAAAGTTAATATCAGATTAGAATGAAACAAAAGACCCACAAAAGCACAAGGCCAGAAGGATCGGGTGAGGAATTTAAGAAAGTCTTGGGGGGCGGGGAAAGGGGAGATAGTTACTATAGACAGAAAAACAAGAAGGGACTAAGTGTCACCACAATTGTATGTAACAAAAAACAAGACATACATCTGATTGAAACGGTCAGCAGCATATTAAACTTTAAAGTACTGCTGGGGAGACCAAGACAGTTAACTTAAGCACTAATTTTCACTTAATTAATCTTTTTTGTGGACTTACAAGTTGCCTCCAATATCTTGCGGCATTTGTTTTATCATCAAGCGCTAAAAATAATCAAGATTTCTGTAATCATCTAGCAGTTCATATGTTTTGACTGGAAAAAAAATTGTTGCTGAATGATATTGTAACATGAAATTTGATATTTTCCTTTCATAAATCGTGGCAAAAAGGATTTGACTCTCACAAACAAAAAATGGCTGAACAAGCTTGATGAAAGTCACCTGATATTTCAGATGTTCGAAATTTTGCAGGAAGCCTGGGTATGGCAACAGATTGCACCTTTGTTAAAGGACATACCATAGATATTTTGTTGAGGGTGTAACTTAGTACTGTAACTGTATAACTCTGACATGATAATTGGGTCCCCACTTCAGTCCATAAAACAATGTAATTTGTATTTCATGGATTTTTCCAATTTGCCACTGTAGATAAGCATGTTGTCTTCAAGTATATTTATAATTTAAATTCTTTTCTAGCAGCATTAAAGCGGCCTTCTGCTTTTATATTTTGTTGGAATAATAATATCTGTCATATGTTGCGGTTTGGACCGGAATATCCGTCCCGAGGGGACCCGCCCATTTGGGCGGTAACGAGGCTTGCCGAGTTACCGCCCATGGGCGGGTTCCCGAGGGACGGATATTCCGATCCGAACCGCAAACATATGTCAGATATTTTTTCTTGCATATTCTGCCATATTATTTCATATTTAAAATGGTTTACCTCAATGCGATATATGTTCATGAAAATTAAAGTCATTTCATTCATTACTATTTTCTTACAATAGCGTATGAACTTACAACTTAAATAACAACA